AACCTCAGTTGGGTGGAAATCGCTTTCACCCCCCCCTCTTCCGGCTGGTAACCCTAACCTGCATTGAGACACATAGATAACCATGCAACTCAGTGAGTTCTGCTGATGATGCCATCTTGGAGAGCGTCATGAGGTTCTTGTACAAGATGGGGGAGACTCCGATTAGTATCAGGACGAAGATGATGGGGAAAGACAAATTCTATGTCGGGATGTACAAGTCATGGTACGATGCCAAAACGAAGTCAGTGGGGCTTCACGCAAAAACTCCCTAAAAGGTGTGGGTAGTGCAGGCAGATACTGTAACAAGGGCGGTGTTTGACGTCGAATCCCATCTTTTTTCTTTGCAAAAAGAGCAGAAGGCATGCCCTAAGGGCAGTGAGGTATCTTGCTGCGAACGGAGACGAGAATCCCATCAGTTTAGCGTCATCCTCGACGAGGATTCCAGCGTTCTGAAATGCCGTGAGGCACTTAATGTCACTCGTAGTAAGTTTCGTTGCCATTTCGGATGGTAGTTGCACAGGGTGTGGAGCCTTGAGGAAACATTTGATCAGAAATTGTCGAGCCTTCGAACTGATCGGCGTGTCGTGGTCTCGGCCGAAGCACCTTGGCGCTCTCGTACGGCAGTTGTGTGACAACAAGTGCCTCATCAATCGGTGAATAGTCATCGATTTCCACTTTGGCTGCGTTGATCGATATCCGCAGCGCGCTACCAAGCCCAACAGGCCTCACGAACCAGAAAATCGACAAATTGTTCTTTCTTGAATCGATCGGGCAAACCCATGCCTGGGAAATCCAAAAACTCTCTCGTTTCTTCGTCACTAAGCAAGAAATCACGTCTTCCAAACGTCACGAGAGTTCGAAACTCCTTGGGGCTCTCGACTCCAGATCTTCGCGTGGTCCCAGCAGAGATGATAAAGCGGACGTTGTCCGGCAGCCACGATGACATACATGCAGTTCAAGTGGGTGTACCGATGAGCAAACAGGATCAACAGCGAGGACTTTCCCGGGGCTGGAGGCGCTGATAAGAGGACGAATCGGTTGTTATCCGCCCACAAACTCGTGTACACTCTTTCCATAAGTTCTTCGCGCTCGAGGTGGGGCGAGTCCGTGCTCAGGCCGTGCAGATAAATCTGGTTAACAAAGATCGGCGCGTTCAGCTCCACTTGCACAATTAGAGCTTCCTCCAGTTTTACTCCAAGGCCATCCAGTGGAGTTGCCAGCCGTAGAGGTTTCTTGTCTTCCTCCGGTACGCGAGGGTCGTAGATATTCACCTGACTTCGATTGACCCCACGCAACTCTTGCGAGCACTTGCGAAGGATCTTCTCTAGAAAGCCATTCACGACGCTAGCCCCATCCAACATGACGAACTCTGTCCGCCCATCGGGAAGCACGAACCACACCTATTGCGCCATCGAGGCAGTTTTCCAGCTTGTCAAAAGTACGGCACACTCACTTTCTATTTTTTCTAAGTATTTTTTTCTCGTTTTTGAAACATCACTTCAACATGAGAATCACAGTCGGTTGCACCATCTCGGCTCCTGATACCGATTCCTTATCTGATCCCTTCCTCCTCCATTTCGTCGGCTCGACTGTAGGTCGCACGAGCAATTCAAAAACGGCAAAGCGGTTGTCTAGGGTTCCTACATGGAACGCACGCAACGACACTACCCTCTTTCGTGCAGAAAGTTTTGGCCAATCGCATGGTGCAAATTGTTGTCCGACAAACTGTCTTACGTTTTGACGGACAAAATACAATGCAGCCACTGGTATACTAAAACCAAGATGTAGCCAAAATGCGTTGATTGCAAAACGCAAGACGCTTTGTCTTACGGTAGGCTCTCTGGGGCTAAATATCGTCTTACGAAAGAGCATGAATCACTCTTGATGAAAAGCAAGTCTAGCGCGCATGTCGTCGTTCCCTGCGTCCAAGTACTCGCGCTACAAGCGCGCCACCGCCTTCTTCCTGGACTGGCTGCTACGCGCGCGTGACCACGGACGTCACACAGGCAAGCGCATGCAGCTGGAGACGCTCAGCGTCATCGCGAAGGACATTGCGGCGGATCCGTCGAGTCTCACGCCCAACCTACTGCAGGAGCTTCACAAGGCCCTCGCTGCGTGTCAATGCACTTCCTCGAGCTTCTGAGGAGCTGGCTCGACACTCTGAAGGGGATGGAGGTAGAGCAACAACACCAGGCCCCGGTAGAGCCGTTCGGAGCTACTACGACATTCTACAGGTGGACGAGGACTACTTCCCTGACGAGGACACGGGCTTTGGGGCCTCTGGGGTCCCCAAGAGAGCCAAGGCGGACAGGAAGAGGCTGTTCGAGGAGGCGTTCGCTGAAGATCTGAAGCTGGAGCTGGTGTGCTACTTCTTGGAGCTGGAGGAGCTGGTGGAGGGGGTGTTTGACGTCTACGACCAAGTGAAGAAGCAGCAACACACGCTGGTGGAGGCCACAGTGGCGAAAGTGGCCATGAACACGGTTAGCTCAATGACGGCGCAGTTGCAGCTGAAATACCCAGCACTCAAGACGGCGGAAGATGTATTCACTCTACTCAGGGAGCAAATCCCCGAGAGGGTTCAGAAGCGTGTTTCCAATGCTGTCACTGCTGCGCGGCAGAAGTTTGAGGAGGGGACGCCTTTCACGCATGTTCCAGGCATGCTGCTGATTGACTTCGAGAACGTTTTGTGTACGTTGAAGACTTTTGCGGGTCTTTTCCCGAAGGAGGCAGACTGTTTCTATAGGGCTCTTTGGGGGAAAGTTATGGAGAAGACCGGACTCCTGAGTACGTGCTACCAGACCCCAGCTCTAGTCTGGTCATCCTGATCGCGCAGCAGTTGCCGATGTTGTACAACGCGTATGTGGATAGGGTGAACCACACTGGATCTGGATTTGATCAGTTTGGATTGGTGAGCTCATTTATGAAGCTCACGGAGGACTATTTCAAGTCACGCAAGGCTTCAGTCGAGGCTGTCATGACTTGCGTTTTTTGGATGAAGTCAGTCGTGGCGCTGCAAGGAAATGCTGATCTCGGCCGCAATGTGAGCCTTACGTTTAAGCACTCAACGCGAATAAAGGGGATTATGGAGGCTTGGCTTCAAAGACGACCGGAGGCGATTATGGAGATTTTTACAAGTTTTAGCGGCATCCAGTCGAGGTCAGCAGGTTGCGCGCTTAAAACCTCTAGTGGCTGGGTTCTTCGAACTGGATAACGACTTCCAGTTTTTGCGCATCGCGCACGACCTGGTGGTGTCGACGACGGCCTTTCGTGCGTTTGGCCACGTGTACAATGCGCTTGTGAACGAAGGATATCTCGATCATATCACGTTTTTCGACGACGAATTGAGGATTTACGAGCACATGATATTCACTCCTTCTCAAGCTACGGCGGTGCGTGGCACTTATCTGATTAGTACGGGGTTTAGTACGACTGGAGTCCGTGGAGTATACCAAGGTACACTTTCAGCTGGAAGTGAATCGTATCGAGAACGGAAGAAACCTAACATGGAGGATTTGTCCCAGATATATCGCTTGCTTCATCATCATGACGCTACTGTTCTGAAAGGCGCATCACCGAAGGATCTGCTGGAGAAAGCTGCCGATATTTGTATTTGAGACGCCCGTTCTCTCTCGGGACATGGTGACGCTCAACGACGACCTTGCTGATGTACTCTGTGAAATGTTCGACGTGTTGAGCGAAGGGTGCCTCGATCTACTTCCTGAGGCGGTCCCTGGGGAGTCTCGGAATGATCGCCTCGATCGCGCGTTGGAGAATTTGATGCCTGTCTTGGCACAGTTGGATTCCTCGCAGCAAAATGGTAGTACCATGGACCCCAGTATGATTCCGGCGGAAGCTCGAAACGAGAATATGGGAAGCGAGCGTCTCCATGAAGGATGCAGACAGATTTCAGCCATAGTCAAAGCCAAATTTGCGTCGTCATCAGGCTTCTGCGAGGATAAATACTTGACTTACCCCATCCAGGCGGACTTTGTATGGGTCGGCGTCTTTGAAGGGGTATACGGAGGCGGAAAACCATGAGGAGGTGTTTCACGAGCTGATGAACTTGCTGCAAACAAGCAATGGTCCACTCCGTGAAAGAAAGTTGGAGCACCTGAAAGACGAAATCAAGAAAGATCCTGACCTGCTGGCCATGGTGTCCCTCCGTAAAGAATCGGACGAAATTGACGTCAATGCGGTTGAATATCCCGACGACGATCTCTGTGCACTGTTCCACCAAGCCGCAGCCGGCCCTAGTCACGATTTGCACCTCGTCGAGTGGATGATTCAAATGGGGGCGCTAGGTAGTCAGCCACTACATTGTCGGAAGAAGTCTAGACAGCGGAACGTGAAGTGCGACGGGGTGGTTCTCTCGAATACAATGGCTGTACACAGTGCCGCAATTGCAGGTCACGATGACATTGTGTGCACGATTGTGGGTGCAGACAACATGCTGGACCTGGACACGCCAACCTTTTACGTTGGCGAAACACTTGCACATTTGGCTGTCAAACATGGCCATCGAGATGTGTACGATCTGGTCGTTTCGGTAGGGGCCGATCTATCTCTTCGCGATAGCAACGGGAAGCGTGTATGTGATGTAACTACGGATCAGCAGTGGAGGGGCAAAATTGTGTCCAGTATTCTGCAAAGGAAGACGGTTCGAGGATCTATGAGGAGCATGGCCCATCGAGACTCATTAATGCAGGAGCTCCGAAAATCAGTTTCTCCGCAGCGCGAAGAAGCGCTTCAGCGTTCGGGTTCCTCAAACAGCAAACAAAAAGCTAAAGCGAAGAAGAGAGGTGAAGCGAACGGGAGTGCAGGTGTTGCCTCACCGACAGCGATGCCAGATGAAGAATCAGCGCAGCCAAACGAGCTGCGCTTCGTGGAGGCTGGCGCAGCGGGGCTGCTTCAGTTTTCATTCTTCGATCTTCCTCCAGCCCCACAGATGTCCCCGCACGCCTCCCCCAAGCCCAGCCCCAAGCCCCACACGCCTGAAGAGCGTCGCCGCGTCCTCGACGCGCACAGCTCAGGTGGTGACTGGCGTGCTGTAGCCAGTCACAATGGCTTCCCCGGGACCACGGCGGAGCGCCTTGTGCGCACTGGACGCGTCGAAGACCTCCCGCGCGGGGTGCGCGGGCCACCAAGGTCACGCCCGAGATCAAGGCGGCTTTGGAGCTGTGGCTGGACGAGTGCTGCACATACACGCTCAGCACGCTACGCACCATGGTCATGAGCGAGTTTAACGTGGAAGGCTTTTGCCGAAGCTCTTGTCCGCCACAACGATGATGCCGACCTCGTTCTCTATTTCGACGAAACAAATTTCAGTTTGTACACGAAGCGCACGCGCGGACGTGCTAAGAGGGGAAGCGGGCTGTCGAGAAGCTGCCGCCTTCGAAAGGAGGTAACCTGCAGATCCAGTGTGCAGTGTCCTCTGCGTTTGGCGTGGTTGCGTACCGTACGCACCGTGGCAGCATCAAAATGGACACGAACGCTGCGTTCGTGGAGGCACTGTACACTGAGATCAAGGAGGCAGATGTCTACAAGAACGAGTTCGCCGACAAGAAGATCGTTGTCGTCTTCGACAACGCCCCAGCGCATTCCCAGACGAACGCGCTGGTGCCTGCTCATGACGACCTCGTCCTACTGCGCCTCGGGCCTTACAGCCCGATGTGCAATCCAATTGAAAACTGCTTCAGCGCTCTCAAGGGGCACATCAAGCAGTACCTGGCGCTGATGCGCGACGAGATGAACCGCCCCCGAACGCAGCCTACAAGCTCCGGCCCACGCATCTCAAAGACCGAAGCTCGCATGCAGCTGCTCGAGCGTGCTGTGCATGTGAGCATACCGCGCATCACGCAGGCGATGGTGCAGAGGATGGAGCTTCACGCAGCGAAGTTTGTCGTCGCGGCGATTCGCATGGAGGACATGAAGTACGGCGAGTAGTGTTTTTGGTACAATGTACCACTTCACATTGAATGAAGGTTAGGCAGCTTTGTTTGTCAATTTCAGATTTCCGTTTCCTAATTTGGGCTTCTTGTGCACCCCAAACTAAAACATGCCACCTTTGCTTGTCTAATTAGCTCAGGTAGACCGAGAAAAGGTGTAGATGTGTTGGAGAAGCGGCTGCTGAAAACGCCCTTCGACAAACGAGATCCGTCGACGTTTCGAGCGCTCGTCCAAATGTACTCTGCAGCGCGCGATAGTGTGGGTATGGAGTGTGCGTCGAGCCCCAGAGCGTTGCGGGCGTTGGAATGGTACTTGGAGGCCGCTCTGGGGAGCGCTAAGCTTCTGCGAGGACTTGACGGGCTGGTTGGGCACCCAGTCTACTTCGACTTGGCACCTAGAGGGAGACGACGAACGAACAGTTTGATGAGCTCAAGTCAGCGGTAGAGGGCATTCCGGAACTGAGTGGCGTGGTATGTCTTGGCGGAAAAGGCAGACGAGTTCTGTACGGCGGCGCCAACAAACTGGAGGTGAAGAAAGTTCGTGAGATTGTCATGGAGGTGGCTAATGGTGTTGAAATCCAGTTTAATGACGACGAATCGAAGGCTTCCATAAGCACTGTGCAAGTTGGTGAATTTGATATTTCGGTGCGTGGGGCCTATTGCGACCCCGTGGCTGCATGAATTCGTACGATAACGATTCGCGTTTGTTGGGATTGATTGTATAATTGATTCTTGCGTGTATATGATGTAAAGAAATAACGGGGGGGGGGGTGTTAACGATTAACCGTGTTGTTGGTTATCTGGACTTCTCAATATGCAGAATTGTACACTAGCTATCATACACAAATGTAAATACTGGCGTCGTAGACTACAACGGTGGAGCCCGTAGGCGCCCCGAGGCGTTGGTATAGAGGGCAGACAACCGGAGATTGAATAACCGTGGGTGGGTTGCAATGAAGCGACCCAAGCAGGATGAAGTAGGGAACTGTCGGAGGCATCGGCGAAGTCTTGCTCGTGTTGGTTGGTCGGACGACCGCAAAAGAGCTCGAAAATGAGCGCCAAAGACAGAGTAAACTCGATAGATCGTCGTGGCTGGGTCACGAACTGGTGTTTATTCCGGGCTGTCCAAATCACGTGAATGACGATGCAACGCGTGATCGTCCAGAGTAGTGACAGTTGCTCCGCGCTCGATACCTACCAGGTGCCCAGTGGGGCTCCTCCAGTGTTCAGATCATGGTCGAGGTGACAGAACCATCGACAAAGTTGGTCCAGTCCCGCATAACGACGGCCCAAAGCACTGCTGCGCGAGAACAGTCCAGGAAGAGATGATGTGCTGTCTCCACCTCGACACAGTTGGGATACCCACAAGCAAGATCACTGGAGCCGGGTATCCGTAAGAAATAGAAACGAGATCTTGTGGGGAGCAACATCCAGCTGAGGCGGAACTGCAGATCGGAGTAAACGGGAAGGGCAAGACTGCGAAGAAGTTTAGTCGCCGCAATTGTCGCGGCCAGCTTCGAAGCATTGGTACCGGAAACTTGGTGTGCGAGTGGGTGATCGCAGAAAGCAAATTGGGGGGACCCAATTAGCCGCCACACATCGGTCTTCTGTAGCCTTGGAAAGAGAATAACTTGCTGCAGACGACGAACTCCAACCAGAGGAAGTGATGGTGTTAGAATGCAGGGACCTTCATAAAGGCCACCAGATCTCGTAACATTGCCACTACTCAGATCCACGTAAAGGTTCATCAGGTGCCGAATACGATATAGTAATGATAGACTCGAGACCACCAGCATAAATCGTGACAGAAAAGCTGGAGCCTCAGGCCACCCAGCGTTCATGAAATCGTGCAGACAACGACATCCGGTCTCAGCAGCAAATTGCATGCGAAATTTCCGCGTCGCCCCCGCCTTGCCTAGAAGCGTGGCGGGAGCCTCCCCACCGTGCAGAAGGGGGCGTGTTGAGTGCCAAATATACGAACGCAGCAAAGATGCTTGAAAGTGAACAGGGTCAACGAGATCACCTCGTTGAAACCACACAACTGTAGACCACGCTTTCCACGTACGTTTCCACCATGTAAAGAGGAGATCAACTCGGACCCACGCTGATCGAACATTATACGGACAGGTGACAAAGCCGAATGGATGCTCCGTGGAGCCGCCTGAAATGTCAGACCCCGTGCGGTGATAGCGGCTCGCCAGGGTTCATTGTCGGGCATTGTCACGTGTTGTTGTGGCAACCTTAGCCGCTGCACACGGAAAATAGTGGCGAGGTGAGGAATCTGAAGCCCTCCGTTACGAGAAGAGTGGTAGCAAATCGAAGACTTGGCCAGCTTTGCAAAATGACGGGATGGATCCCCTCGCCTGGTCAATAAGTACTCCTCTGGCAGCGATTGGAGACGCTTAACCGTAGCATCGGGTAGCGAAAAGTGCAGGGTGAAATGCCAGAGAGAACCATAGCTTGAAGAATTAGTAGTCTGCCACGATGCGTACGCTCTCGTGGGCCCCACCGGGCCAGTCTCGTACCAACCCGGGCTTCGAGCGAGGCACAGACAACCTCATCGGTCACATGGTGGCCAATAGGAATGCCTAGGTACTTGACAGACTCGGATGTAGCAACACCGACTAGAGACGTAGGAGCCGACACTCGAGCTCCATGGAAAGCCAAAAGCTGCGACTTGTCAAGATTCAAACGGGCACCTGACCCAGCACAATATTGCTGCACAATTTCCGCTTGGAGAGATAATCCAGCTAGTGAACACGATAGGAGCGTTGAGTCATCAGCGAAGTAAAGCCCAGTGGCAACAAAGTCAGTTGAGACAGATATGCCGTGCTCGGGAACATACCGGATGAGATTTCCAATGGGTTCAATCGACAAAAGAAATACTTCTCTGTCCCACGAAAGTATGATGATTTCGAAATTGTGCTCTATCTTCGCTTCTACTTAAGATTTTTGGCCATGTGAGACCTTATCATGAAGCTTAAAGGCAGGCGCTAACGCCTGATTTTTGCTGCCCATTATCTGTGAGAACTGAAGGAGGCACAACGCCTTTTCTGCCAGCAATTTTAGTCCTTCGTAGTTTTTTTCGTAATTCTATCAAAAATTAGCGATAATTCATCGCAATTTCAGGATGAGTTGCTATTGCCAATGTTAGCTTGGTGAACCAATTACAGCTTGTGGAAAGGTCAGGTAAGCGAGATATCTCGCTTCAAAATCAACGAGGTTTTTCTAATCAAGTGTGCTATCATTGGACAAAAACCAATTTTTGCCCTAACCAACGTCAAATGACCAATGACATTTGTTGTGTGGTACACAAAAAAACTAACCATACTTTCGTGGGACAGAGAAATACTAGCGATGAGAGAGGGTCGCCCTGTTTGACCCTCGTGTCGGGAAAAGTATCTCCTGCAGTGGTCCATTCGCCTGAACGTCGGAATGCAGGAGCTGGATCCAGCGGCGAAACCCTGTTCCACATCCCACCCGCTCAAGCACCCGAAACAACTAATCCCAGTTCACTCTATCGTAGGCCTTGGCGAAGTCGAGACAGAGGGCAAAGCCCTGGTCACCGCGACGGCGTATCAGACGCTGTAAATCTTGAATATAACGAACATGATGATGCAGAGATCGTCCTCGCACGAAGCCTTTTTGCTCCGTAGAGTACCAAACCCATGATGGAACAGACCGAGCTCCTTATCCACTGCGTGCTCACCAGCACTGGCGGAGAAACTATCTTTCGTCTCGACAGGAAGCTGTGGGTACAGTCTCAAAGACGCGGCGTTTTCGCAGACCATCGCGTGCTCAGACGCCGAGCTCAAGCTGATCCTAGCGAAGAACCCCGACGGTTCGTGGCCAATTGTGACAGACACAGACATCAGAAGTCTCAACGTTGGGAGGTTACCGCTATGCTTTGTCAGCATAGTAGACAACCCGACGCAATTGGGGAGCAGCGACTTCCTTGAGGAATTCAAGTTCCGAGATTCCGTAAATCTACCAAGACCGAGAGAAGTGCACGTGCTGGTCCAGACGTCCGAGCCACTAGTTATACAGCCGATGCGGAAGCCAGAACTCGATCCTGTGTACGCTCTGGATAAAGGCAATATGTATTTCGTGATGAAGTCGTCAAGACATTACAGAGAATTCATCTGGTATCCTACTGTGGGGCGAACAACTTGCCGAAACCTGACAATTTACAGATTCCGCTAGTCGTTGCTGGCTCTGGAATGGGTAAAACAGCTTTAGCGAAAAACTATATTTTCAAGTGCCGTGAGACCTGGCCTCCTGGAAAACGAGAAGTATTCGGGCTTCACCGCGACTTGTGTCAGTGTCGGACAATATTTCTTCGGCTTGCGTCTGCTGGAGATGCTATAACTATAGAAACGGCAAACCAGGCGCTTGCACAAGCCGTGGGGGAGCAGCTTCAGCCTGGAACAGATCGCATACAGCAGCAATTGGGACCATTCTCGGTGTCAGGATATGTCAAGCGTCTAGTCAAGGAAGTGAGCCCTCTTTTTATTGTGATTGATGATCTCGAAAGGCTCTTCCAGTCGCACGGCCGCTTTATCCAGTTTTGCAGAAATGTTTTATGGTCATGGATGCAAACTCGACAAATCCACCTGCTTGTCCTGAGCTCAGTGCCATTGTTTGAGGGCAAGAAGTATGATATTCGTGTGCCTGGCAGCGTTTGCCATCGTTGAAGGCGGAGCATCTTGTGGGTATTCTGTCAAAAACGCAGGTGTGTGGAGAAGGTCTGGAAACGCTGCAAGATCACTGGAACTTGGAAACTGTCAAAGACTTGAAAAGAGCATCGGGAGTTTTGGTTGAAAAGACCTTGGGGCACCCACGAAAGCTATTTTGTCGGGTTCGAAGGGCAGCAAACAACTCGATCTTCGACATGGCGGACCCTAAGTAGCTTTATTTTATCGGTCGGAGCTCAATCGCAATCGAGTTGGATGTGGCACGCAAGGGTTAAACTATTCAATAAGTCACTCGGTACAGCATGGCAAATTATTGACAATAGGTAGTCAGTTTTTCTTTTCTTGCATGCGCAGCTTAAATATACTTCAAAGTACAAATTTCACCTTAAACTAAAATCTAGGCACAAGTGACTCTCGATGTTCACTATTCACGTCAAAAGTTTGTTTTGCCACGCATGTTTCGAAAGATGCTAAAGCTTGTGGCACATGCGAGAAGAAAAGAAAAAAAAACTGTGGGAAGAAACTCATGAGTGCGATGAATGTTGCTTTCTTGTCAGAATATCCAGTCTCATTACCGGTGCGCATTGCACTATACCTTGAATTCTACATAGTAAACCCAAGTGCCTACAGTGGTTAGAGGTGCACGTTCTTCAGGTCCAACTTCATTGCGGTTTGGGCACATTTCCGTTCTTGCGGACGAAGTCCCAGAAAGCCTTGTATTTGGCCACGAATTCGTTGTCGGTTCCCATGCGCTTCGCTCGTAGGGTGAGGGGCGTCTCGCCCTTGTTGTACAGCTTGATGAACTTCTGCTGCAGTAGCTTCTCGTACATTTTCTTCGCTTGGGCAGATAGACTAGTTGTCGTTCCGGTTAAAGCATCTTTTCCACGGTTCACAAGGTTTGAGATTGAGGTTGGCAGCGCTCGCTCTTCTTTGACGTCGTCATGACGCCTCAGGCTTCGTTTGTTGCCGCCGACGTTGTAGTTGGCAGTCAGGACGCGGTCCTCAAACACAGAGTCGATCTTCGTGTCATCGGTGCTCGACAGCTTGGACGTGGCCGCTTCGGCGTTCACAAGGAGCGACCAGAGTCGCGAGCAGGACCCAGAGAAGCAAGCGCATTGTTGCAAGGTGCTGGCCAGGTAATTTGTTGTCGGGAGAGCAAAATGAGAAATGGCGCACTTGGCTTTTGTTCGGACAATGCACAATATGCCGTGATCCGAAGTGTGGATAGCACAACGTAAAAGGGTCATGCACATCCACAATAAACATGTGGCTGCATGTATGGGTATTTTGAGGGGAAAATGACTAAACCGGTATGAAATCGCATTTTAAATGCTGAATCGGTATGACCCCCCCCCCCAATCACGCATACCGGTCGGGTCACACCCGAACTAAACACCTAGTTGTGAGCTTGTCTATTGTGGACTACTTGCTTGTTTTCATCATATCCTTACCTGAGAGCAAGTGATACTTTGCTAGACTACCGCAGCACGAGCGAATGATGTGGCTGGAATCAGGTGGCTCGAACTTTGATAACCTGTCGACTACAGCTGCGTTTGCGGTGGCGACACCAGCGGCAACGATAGAAGACGTGGTGGACGCGACCAGGGTCTTTCTTGCGTACACCCGAGAGTACTGTTGTGCGGAGTTGATTGAGCTGGTGGAACGCATCGTGGAATTTCTGGAGGAGACGCTCATGCAGGTCACGTGGTCGGCTAAGGATTTATCGGCACTTGTTTTCTGGGTAAATAATGTTCTGGAAGATTTTTGTGGAGCCACTGCGGAAGATCGTGATTTAAGACAGGTCAAGCTACGTTGCTCTTAGGACGATCGACTCCTGCGCGATTTAATGTTCGTAAAACTGCATCGCCAAGTAGACGACGCTGAGCGCAAGGTAGCCGTACCAGCCGCTTCTGGTGGTAAGAACTCCAGACAACCGCCCAACGCGATGGCAAGAAGAGGCTTGGAAAAATTCCTAAAGACGTATTACGACAGTTGCCGGTGCAGGTTGATCCCGCTACCGGAAGATCGCGCAATTTCTGCATGCGGTACCTCCCCAAGGCTGAGTACACACCAGAACGCGACGGTGCGTGCCCAAGTGGTCATGGTCACTTCGTCCCGAATAAACTGGAAGCGAGCGTGAAGACGGAAATTAATCGGTGCTTCGGAGGCCTTAAAGACGAGTACACGCATCTATGACTCGCCAAGGGTAGACCAGCAGCGCGTCTACCTTTGAAGTCTGTGGTAGCGCTGTCAACACACGAAGATGACGGAACATCGATCCAACGAGATCAGACGGAGTGTGTTACTTTTGCAGGTAACACGTCGCCAAAATTCACCTTCTCAGCAACCCACCATGAAGAAGTGAAGCTAACCCAGCGCGGCGACACCGGCCACCACGACAGTGTAATAAGCAGCAAGCGTGATGTCTTAAATAAATTGAATACGACTTACAGGATGACCTGCCCCCAGCGTCGTGAGCAAGGCACTATGCCTAGCGAGAAGAAAGCTGTGGGAAGTGCAGGTTGTTGTCGGCCGCTACTAAGACTCCACGACTGCCGTCAAGCTTGCAGTAAGACTGATATGGTGATCTGCCCCAGGCCAACAGGACGCGTCGGCATACTGCCAACAGTGCGTGACTCGCAGGCTGAGGGAAGTGCAGATTGTTGTCGGTCCGATCGATACTGTGAAGCCGAAAACGACCAGGGTGGACGGCCAAATGCTTTGACAAATCCCCATCTACAAGTTTGGCACAGCCCGTTTCCCCCCGTGCGAGACGTACTGCTTGTCGAAACTATCAGCAAGTCGATTTCAATCAGCCCTAGAAGAAACTTTATTGCGACAAGTGCAAGATTTCAGCTTTGCACCGGCAAAAAGGGTTTGTTCGAGATCGGGGGGGGTTCACCCTACTCAATAGACAAAGTCGCCCGCGAGTCTCTCTCTCAGATCATCCGCGAGCAAAAAATGAGTCTAGCCGATTTCACCAGATTCGTCCGTGGGGAAGATGCTGGTGATCGTAGACCCAACAAAGCTCTGGATCCAGAACGGCTTCGCACAGTACTGTACGGCTATCCTCACCTTGAAAAGCTCGTAAAGATAGCAGAAGAGGGCATAGAGGTACAATGGAGCAAGGGACCAACACCACGAAGGCCCCCACCCAAAAATCACGGCTCATGCGGGCGATACCTCCGTGCAGTGACTAGAAGTATCCGCGAGGGGCAGGATTCCGGTCAGTACATGGTGGTTGACGCTACAGTACCTACAGTAATTAGTCTGGGCCTGAAAAATCTGGTATTCAGATTGAGTCTGGCCCAGACTAAATCTGAATACCAGATTTTTCATCGCTCACAATTTTTAGTCTGGCCCCAACAGTGACAGACTAATTATGAATTCAGACTAATTATGAATATCTAAAACTGTCTGTTTTCCAGTAAGAAAACCATTATTTTTGTGAAATGATGTGTTTATACGTATTTGTTTTAGTATTTTTATAGTGTAGCTATATATATATTATCGTGGCTTTGAAGAGAAATCAAGACTAAATCGTCGCAGATGGTGCTTTTCTAATGGTTAGAGAAGGCTGATATATGAGTTGGATACCCAGGTATCTACTTAGTATTATATCTTGCAGATATTGTACGAGATCTAGTAAATTGGCTGCTGTCAAAGGAGTTTTTCAGCAAGCGGTGCCTTAAAGTAGGTGGGGGTGGACTAGAATCGTGGTCACCACGTCAGACTAATTATGAACATTTTTGGCCAGACTAGTAATGAAGACGTCAATTTTTGCTCGACACGAATTAGTCTGGCCCAGACTAATTTTGAAGCCAGACTAATTTTGAGCCTAGACTAATTACTGTAGGCACTGTAGAGGGTGTGGCTACCCCGTCCGCACCAGCTCAGACTTGGAGAGACTTCGACTGCTTGCTCAAGACCGACGTAAATGGAAGGCTTTCATGACTACTATTGCTGATTCACTACCAGCCATAGGAGACTCGACGTATGCGGACACCACACTATGCCGCCGACTAGCTAAACTGAGACTTGCGCAGGCGTAATTTGGCTACGCGAACACGTAAATCATTGCATTGCAAGTTTTCTTTACGGTAATTTACGTCGTTGTGTGCAGCACACCACACTTTTGATTGTTAACCACTGCAGGACGTCAAGTAAAGCTTTGAGGATCGTCCTCGCCACATCTATCGGCCATGTCCTCGTTCCCCGCGGGCAAGTACGCGCGCTACAAACGCGCCACCGCCTTCTTCCTTGACTGGCTGCTGCGTGCGAGGCCGCGGGCGCCACGCAGCGCAGCGCGTGCAGCTGGAGGCGTTCAACGAGGTGGTCAGGGAGATCGCCGCGGATCCTTCTTGTCTCACGCCCAAGCTGCTGCAGGAGCTGCCCAAGGCGCTCGCGGCCTGCAGATACGTCATCATATTGCGTGAACACGTGGCCGCCTTCTTCCCGGAAGACGACGAGGGCCAGGTCGGCCACCAGTACTTCCTAGAGCTGCTGCAGAGCTGGCACCGAGCCCTCAAGACCGTGGAGGTGGAGCAGGAGGAGCTGGCGGCGGTGGAGCTGGACAACGCTAAGTTCGAGAACTATTATGAAGTGCTGCAGGTGGACGAGGACTTCTTCTCCGACGAGGGGGCCTTTGTGGCGGAGCCGGAAGCCCCCAAGACCGCCAAGGTGGACAGGGAGCGGCTCTTCCAGGAGGCCTTCGCCGATGAGTTGAGGATGGAGCTCGTGTACTTGTTCATGGAGCTGGACGAGCTGCTGGAAGCTGTGTACAAGGTTTATTGTGAAGTGAAGCAGGAGAAACGCACCATGGTGGAGGCCACGGTGGTGGTCAAGCTGGCTCTGGACACTGCCAGTGCGCTGACGGCCAAGCTGCAGCTGAAATACCCGACGCTCCGGTCGGCCAAGGACATGTTCAACATTGTGAGGAACATCTCGCAGAAGAGCTTCCGACAGAGGATCTTGCAGCTCCACCAGAGCATCATGGACGAGCTCAGGATCGCGTACGATAGTAAGTTGGATAAGCCGGCCAAGTACGTGCCTGGTACATTCCTGATCGAGTTGCTGGGAGTGGGCATGACGCTGGACAGCTTTGTCGCCTCGGTTCCGGCTGATAGCCATACCGGCAATGGCGTCTTCTTTCCGAGTGGAGTATTTGGAGAAACTTACGGCGAAGATCGGACGCCCCTGTACGTCCAGATTCCTGATACTAACAACGACAAGGTCTTCCTGATGCAGCAGCTGCCCATGTTGTTTAACGCTATGATGGATCGGAAGAATGCTGGCAAATCCGGGATCGAGTTGGCGCCGATGGAGCCGGTCATGCAGCTTATGGACAAGTTTTTCACGACGCGTGAGGTGACAATCCCAGTTTGTTTCGCGTGCATTTGTTGGATGAAGTCTGTGGCAGCTCTGCAGGGACGTGGAGGGCTTGGTCGCAACATCAGCCTCACATACAAATACTCAACGGAGTTGATGAAAAGTATGGACGCCGCAGTGGAAAACAACAAAGCTCTGCTTGCCAACAACAAAGCCAACAATCTTCTACGCCGCTGCGCCTCAGAGATTAAGCAATCGACAGCACTTCGCCATGTTGGACGTGCGAACCCGCTGTTCGCGGGATTTCTGATGTTGAATCACCATTTCCAGTATCTGCACATCGCGAATGAGGTTATCTTTTCAACACCACTATTGCGAGCATTCGGCCACCTGTACAATGCGCTTGTGTAAGAGGGATACCTGGAAAATATTCCATTTTTCGACGAATTGTTGAGGGTGTATGGTCAAGAAATTTTCACTCCGTCTCGTGCTGCAGCGACACACGGTGGATACTACCACACTTACCTTCTCAGTTCGAATTTGAGAGCTTCAGCGGTTGATGCCGTGTGTCGTGGAGAGACTTTCCCTGTTGGAAGCGAAGCCTACAAGAAGCGCAAGGCCTTTCACTTGAGCGACGTGTCGAAGATATTCCGACTGATGAGATTGAACGACAAGTCCGTTCTGAGTGGCGGATTGTGGAAAGATAGACTGGTGGCAATCTCTGATGTATGCTCGGAGGAACTCTTTGACACGCGTGTGCTATCGCGCGATCTATTGAAGCTGAATGAAGACCTCATGGATACGTTCCCTGGCTTGATCAAGGTAGTTGGGTGTCAAGATGATTTCCAGGAAATCGTAGCACACTCGGTCGCTGGTGAATCGCGCCAGCAGCGGGTGAACCGGGCGCTGGAGGAGTCAGTGATGAAGCTTTTGATGCCGCTCTTGGATGCCATGAAGCCAGACGGATCCTTTGACACCAGCGCGATACCTGGAGCTACCATTACGCTGGATACGCTGTTTGCTACGGAAATGTGCAGGGAAGTGGCGGCGGTCATTAAAGCGAGATTTGCGAGTCTGCCTCAAATCTGTGAGCAGAAATATTTCACGCTTCCTTCACAGCCGAACTTCGCAACCCAAGAATATGGTCGACTGGAGGAAGGGCGACGGGAGGACTATGAGGAAGTGTTTGAGGAGCTGATGGAGCTGATGGAGCTGCTGAGGAGCAGCAAGGGTCCGCTCACTGGTAGTGACCTCGAGCATTTCAAGTACGAACTCAAGAGGGACCCCGATCTGATGGGATTACTTTCAGAGAAACCAGAGCAAGGTTTGGATCCTATGTATGGTGATCTGTGTAGCCTCCTTCACCAAACAGCTGCTGGACCTGCTCACGACGCTGACCCGGTCGATTGGATGATTCAAATGGGGGCCCTGATCATACAGCCTACGTTGCACTGTCGGAAAGCGCCCCTGCAAAAGGACCTGAAAATTCCTCGTGGGCTCTACCCCAACACCATGGCGCTGCACAACGCGGGCTATGAAGACATTGTCCGGGTTATTCTCGAGGGGGACAACATGGTGGACATCAACACGCCCACATTCCATACCAAGGAAACTCTAGCACATCTGGCTGTGAAGAATGGACACTGGGGCTTGTTTTGTATGCTTCAGGCATTTGGAGCGGACCTTCGCATCAAGGATGGGAAGGGGCGAACTTTGAGCGAGGTGACTTCAAACAAGGAGTGGGCGCGCAAGCTCGCTGCAGGCACCGCTCAGTATTATGCCTTCGACGCGATGAATGCCGGGAGGCTCAATGCGCGTACTAATGCACAGGATCCAGCCACCGCGCAACTGCTGCAGCAATTTATGGCTGCTCAGCAAGGCGGGCAGCACGATGAAACGATGTCGGCTGCGCGTGAAAACCTCACCATGAACACCGGTGAAGGGAAGAAGAATAAAAAGAAGGGCAAGAAAAACAAGAAGAGTGTCGAAGAAAAGTCGATCATGGCTGCTGCTGTGCAGCAGGGCACGACCGTGGTGGAGTCGGCACGAGTGCTACTGCGTCTTCTGGATGCAGCGGGCAGCGAGGTCAACGAAGACCACGAGTCTGAGAGTCTGTCGGTTCTGGAGGACAGGCTCAGAAAGCTCTCAATCGCCATTTTCGCTCGGCTGCGAGACCCAGACATCCCTGTCAGTAAGAAGGCCCGGGATACGCATGACGCCTGCAGACTGATCAAGGAGCTCCGCAGTCTTGTCAGCACGTTTTCAGAGCCGAGCAAGCTGAACTCTGCGCGTCATCACATCCGTCTCGTCATCGCGGCTGAAGCTATGCACGGCATTCACTTGATGCAGAAACTGTATCGCGCTCAGGACGCGGCCCTCACGGTCGTCGAGCTCGCTCCTGTACGACAACTATGCGAGACGACTCAGAAGTTCACGGAGTTTGTGGTGGGCACGGCGCGGCTCTGCGTCTCCGTCGACAGGGCGCCGCAAGCTCGCGAGATCCTGGACGTGCTGGAGAAGCGCTTCCTCAAGACTCCGTTCGACAAGCGGGTCCCGACGGAGTTCCGAGAGCTGGTGCAGCTGTACTCGACAGCGCGTGAAGAGATGAGGCTCGGCCAGACGTCAAGCGCCAAGACGCTGCGGTCCTTGGGGTGGTATCTCACGAGCGCCGTGGACAACTACGATGTGCAGTTGAAGCTGGACGGGCTGGCTGGGCGGCCCGTCTACTTTGAGATCAAGCCCGCGGCCTCCCTCAGCGACAAGGAGCTTCTGATGCTGACCGTTGACATCAACATCATCATCGAGCTGAAGGGCGTCGCGTGCTTGGGCGGTCAGGACAGGCGGATCACCTACGGAGGGACGAATAAAGCCATCTGGCTCGAGTGCGCGCGATGGTGCTGAATATCGCCGAGCGGCTTGAGCTCCCCCTCGATACCAGCACCATCCACTCGTGCACGCCCTCTGTCCACGTCGGCGGCTTTGAGCCCTCGAGCGCTGGCATCCTCCGGGCCGCGCCGGCGAGTTGAGGCCAAAAGATCGCAAGTTGAAGTTGGCTGCGACGTGTGCATCCTACTCTCTTACGTGTTATAGGTTGGCCAGAAGCTACAAATACATAATACATGTGTAGCTCCGTCTGAATCTGAGTCCGTTTTACTCTACCAGTTGCAACTTGAGGGGTATGAACCCCCCCCCTCAACCTGCAACGGAGCTGCTGGGTAGGGGGATCGTAGTGTGTGCGTCCAGCCAAAAAGAGGCTTCAACAGCAGCAGCCAGCGCCCGACAGCCCGGCTCGCTCTTCCCCCTCTACACTACCCTCCTCCTACTCCTCCTCTTCTCTCTTCTCCTCGGGTCTACATGCAGAACACGACGTCGAGACCGGCCGCGGCGGCCGGCAGCCAGGCGCAGGCGGCGCGCAAGAGCGGAGGCGCCAAGAAGAAGAAGCCGCAGCAGCCCAAGAATGCCAACGCCAGCGCCAACGGCAAGGACGCGCCTGCGGGTCCTCGGCCCGTGGCGCCGCCTCCTGTGTCCGGACCCTGGGGCAACCCCAAGCCCGCGGCGAGTAGTGCGCCCCCGCCAGGCTTCGCGCCCAGCCCGCCCAAACCTACCTCCGGCTTCAGCGGTAGGCTCACCCTACCTTCCTAGATACTTTTTTTCCTTTTTCCTATTAGTATTATTTTTATTAACATATTGCTTATTGTTATTATTATTATTTGAGGCAGATGCACACCAGAGGCAGCTGCGCCACCGCGCGCTGTTCGCGTTCCGGTTCCTGGTGGGCAAGGCCGTGGAGCTGCGGCTCGCGGCGTCCGAGGAGCGCTACGCCGGCGTGCTGGACTGCGTGGACCCGGACGACTTCTCGGTCGTGCTCAAGAACGCCAAGCGGCTGAGCAGCGCCGAGGACGCCAAGCCTTTTGAAGATGGCAGCACCGTCATCTTCCGACGCCAGCAGCTCGCGCACCTTGTGGCGGACGGCACGGTCAACTACACAGAGGGTGTGTTCGCGTCGGCCGGAGCCACGGCGGCGGCCGGCGGCTTCCGCACGGACACGGAGATCAGCGGCCAGAGGGGCGAGCATCTGTTCGGACGCGAGCTGGAAGCCGCCAGCTCGTGGCTGGACCCGGCGCTGGACACGGGCGCGCTCGAGGACTCGGCGCCCAACGGCCGACGCAAGAACCAGGGCAAGGCTGGCTGGAACCAGTTCGAGGCCAACGAGAAGCTCTTCGGCGTCGTGTCCACGTACGACGAGAATATTTATACGACCAAGCTGGACAAGTCCAAGATCTCCACAGAGCAGTCGCGCGCGGCGGAGCGACTCGCACAGGAAATCGAGCGCCAGTCGCCGGCTGGCAACTTCCACTTGCAGGAGGAGCGCGGACAAGCTGTGCGTGGTGGGAAGCACGCGAATGATCTGGATGAGGAGGCACGATACAGTTCAGTGGATCGCAGGGGCGCCCCCGGTAACTCTACCGGCAACGCATACGTACCGCCGGCACTTCGGAATGCGCAGCGTCAGTCTAGCGGTGGCAAGTCGCAGGCTAAGGCGACTAAGCCAGCGCCCGCTAGCGCTGCAGGCGCTCCGGGTCTCCCCGCACCTGCTCCTGCTCCCACTGCTACTGCAGAGGTGGAACCTGCTTCTGCAGCTACGCCGCCTCCGCCCAAGCCGCTCTCCTTCAGCGAAGCGGTGACCGGACGATCAGCTGCTGCTGCGCCGAAGGCTCCGGCCCCCAAGGCTCAAGCTGACGAAAAGAAAGGTGCCTCCTCTTCTCCGCAGAAAGCGCCGACGCCTGCGCTGGTAAATGGCAAGGACTCGAAACCTGCTGCGAAGTCCAAGGGCGCTAGCCCGAAGAAGAAGGATGCTGCGAAGGAGAAGAAGACGGAGAGCAAGACTGAGGAGAACAAGTCCTCCTCATCGTCGACAACTACGACGACGACTACCACCACAACAACGACCACGACTAAGCAGTCGAAGGAGGACGCGCCGAAGGCGGCCCCCAAGAAGGGGCTGAATCCGAACGCCAAGGAGTTCAAGCTGAACGCCGCCGCTGCCGAGTTCACCCCGAGCTTCGCGATGCCGCCGGCAGTAAAAGAGCACGTTTCGTCACCGTACCGTGGCGGCTCGCCTGGACACATGCCGTACCCGCACCCTGGCATGGGCTATCCTCCTCCGATGCAAGAGGAGTGGATGTACGACGGTGGAGATGAAGGCAGTGAGATGGGGATGCCTCCTTACATGCAGGGTGGCTACCCGGTGCCTATGGGCCCCAACGGAGTTCCTATGATGTACCCGCCCATGATGCCGCAGCAGAACATGCGCATGATGGGCGGCCAGCGCGGCGGATACGGCGGCTACCAGCAAGGATACAACCCGCGCGGATACTACTCGCCGAACGGAGGATACCCGGGTGCCGGTATGCCGTATGCGGGCGGCCCAGGCATGCCTGGTGGTGTAGGACCTCAGCCCCCTCTCCCCCGGGAGCCCACGCCCAGTGGCGACGAGTCTAATGAGGAATCCGCTGCCGAAAGCGCGCCTGCTCCCCCTGTGCCGGAGACGGCACCAGCAGTCAAAGAGTCTGCCCCCTCGAAAGCAAAACAGCAGACACCGGCCTCCAAGAAAAAGTAGACGAGATTCTTAGTAGGGCCTGCGCGCGTGGGGTGGTCGCGGCAAAGCACAAAATCAAGGAGGAGATGATGGAGAGAGGATGTCGAGGCGTCTGTGCTTGCGTGTTTCTTGCTTGGATACCGGCGCTGATCAATCTGCTTAAGTTATGCTTGTTATGCGGTGTTTGTGTTGATCAGGTTCAGCGTTGGATTGGGAATGGGAGTTATGCGACACTATTTTGCTTGCAGGTCTTGAAGCGACGGTGCGGTGCCCAGCAAGCCACTGGGGAGGTTGCAGAGCTTTGGTGTTTGGTGCGTGATGCTGCCTCCTATTCACAAATCGACGAATGGCTTGCCCAACAACGAGCGCCGCGGAAGCGGAGTGGGTGGAGGTTTCCTTGGCGACGCCAACAGGAAGCAAGCTATAGCCGCAGGCATGCCCTCGCCAAGTCGCACGGGGTATCCCGAAGACCAGTCCAATGGTATGCTTCAAGTCGCTGCGTCCTCTTCGTTCCCTCCAGGGTTTGATCGGATGGCAGAACGTGTACACGCGCTTGAGCGGGAGAACGCGCACTTCCGCGAGGAGTTGCAGCATCTTCGGCACTTTTATTCGAGCAACCAACAGCAACATGAAAGCGATCAGGTACGGTACATGTAGATCGTTTCCCCCTGTGGTGGCGACATCTGAGACTGACTTCCCTGGCTTGGAATGAATGGGGTGCTAGCTTTCTGTCGGCAAAATTGCTGAAGATCTTCAGCGACTCGCGCATTCGTTCAACAGCAAGTTGCAGGCGGATATGAGTCACCAGCAGCGCGAGCAACAGAAGTCTGCGCTTTTGTTCGCTGAGGTGTCACGACTTGGACATCGCGTCGAAGGCTTGGAAGGCGAATTGAGGGGTGCTATCAATGATACGCATCGGAAGTTCGAGTCGCAGGACCAACATGCACAATTTCTGGCGTCCGTCAGTTCAAAGCATCCGCAAGCGGCGTCACCGGGCCGCGCTGTAGAATTTCAGCGGCAGTTAAGGGATATGCAGGATGCTATGGTGCAGCTTCGAAGCGAGCTGGAGGCAGACCGCAGTGCAAGGTGGAAAAGTGACGCAGCGGTCGATGCCAAGGTGGACGCTCAGTTGGAACGACTAAACTCGAAGATGACGGCAGACAAGCGAGATCTAGTGCGCGCGTTGGATGAACAGCGACAGCTCGTTACAGCGACCGATTTCCAGCGCGTGACAGCGCACATGCGCGAATTCTCGCGCGTGAACGACCACTTGATGGCTTTGGAAAGGTGGCTGCACAACGAGTTTAACCAGGTCAAACGGATATTCCAAGCCCTCGCAGGTGACGTGGATGCACGCTTCCAGTGCGTTTTGGTGGAGCTTGGAAACGGATTGAGGATGTGGCATGCAGCACTGGCGCGGCACGAAGATGACGTGGGTGTGCGATTTCACGATCTCGAGGAGGCTGTACGCACTGTTGCGCTGGCAGTGCAGCGTAAACTACGGACGTTGGAGGAAGTGATCCCTCTGGAAGTCCAGGCGCGGCAGAAGAACGACGACAAGCTTAGAAGACGCGTGGAAGGCGTCGTCAAGGCTCTGGGCCACGCAATCGAGACGAGTCGAGAAGAGTACCTGCCACAGCAATCTACACTTGCTCATCGCGTTCATCAACTGGAGCTCAGTCAACACACCACTTCGGATGAAATCAATATGCAGCACAACGCAATGCGGGAGACCATCCAAGCGTTCATGGAGGACTCGGACGCGATGCTGCTTCGATTAGCCACCGCTGTTGAGCAAGAACGGATAAAGGGACTTCAGACTGCAGCGCCACCAGCCGTGGTCCCAGAATCGCACCTGAAGGAAGAATTAAAGGCGGAGACTCGGCGCATCGAAGAAGAACTCAAGACATTGCAAACTTGGACAAAAGATCACGTGGATGATTGCCATCAGCTTCTTCAGAAAATAATAATGACTCCTGTTGCAGTTCCCCCGGCACCGACTCATCCTACTGAAGAAATGAAGACGGAGGCTGAACGGGTCCAAACGGAACTGGAATCGCTACGAACCTGGATGGAGGCGCATGCGCAGCAGTGTCGCCAGTATCTACAAGCAAAACCTGCAGTGACAACCGTCGTTCATCAGCCAGTGACATCGACGATCCGTACCAGCTCGGCTGATGAAATGCGAGAGAATTCGAAACGCGTCAAGGAAGAAGTCGACGCGCTGCAAGCTTGGACGGCGATGCATGCCCAGGAATGCCGCCAGTACTTCGACTTCTTGAGCTGGTCGATGGAAGATATTCGTCGTGAGAGTGCAGTCGTGCAGTGCTTGGACGCGGTGATCGACCAGATCGTTGAGACTCAGACTTGTGGACATCTTGATACACTTGCGAAGGGTGTTAATGGAGTGTTACGGCGGACTGCAGGACCCCCGACAGTGAACACTGTAGTACCGCATGTATTCACGGCAACTCGGCCATCTTTCGCTGGATCACGCCGGACAAGCCCCTCACGCTATCAAGCGCGTGCCAATAGCCTGGAATATCCATCGCTGGCTGAGAACAGCTCTAGGACTTCTGTGTACGAGGACGCGCTCGACCTGTCAACGACGACTTACTACGCCTCGTCGGACGGCGAGAGCGCTTGGAACGGTACACGCATGGACCAAATGCCGCAGCATGGTGGAGACGAGAAAGATACTTTTGCTCAGATCACTGGAGAAGATGATAAACTCGACGAGGATGAGTACAGCATGGACATGACTCAAGAGGACGTCGAGACTGCACCGCCGAGCTACGCCAACCCTGTCACCCAAAATGCAGTGCTCGGCGACAAGGCGTCGCAGTCCCAGCAGGAGGAGACAGTCACAACGGAGCAACCGGGTCAGATCCCTATCGAAGCAGGGGACGAAGAGGACCCATTGACACTGGATCTGTAAGAAGCAGTTCAACCCTCACCGACAGACGAACAGTTCGACGACCGACTGCATTCACGTACAAGCCGCCTGACAATAACATAAGTTTAGGTACCTACCTACCTACCAGCCCTACGGGATCTGCCCCGACGTGGTGCGTCGCATGCTTTTCACCGCGAGCGACGCCACAGGATCGTCCACAAGCTGCTCCTGACGGCAAGGCACCACCACCGCGGATTCCCGTCCCGCTCCCGCCGGGTGGAACTGGTCCTGCGGCGGCGTGATGGGCACATACCAGCCCCACTGCGGGCTCTCCGTCTGCGCCGCCTCCGCCTCGGAGTCGTTTAACACTGCAGCGCCCACCGCCGCGTCCAGCTGCTGCGTCGTCACGCTCTTGCGCAGTCCGTCCGTGAGCGCCCGGTGCTGCCGGAAGCCGTCCTCGAACCGCTCGGCCACGTCGTCCCGCGCCTCGTCGTCACTGTCGCTGTCCTCCAGCCTTCGGCCCCGCCTGGCGACGGGCGGCGCGTCGTCCTCGAACACCTGCGTCAGGCTGCCGCCGTGCTCGTCGCACCAGCTCACGGCGGCCGACAGTTTGCCGTCGCTGGCGGCGCCCGAGCCCTTGCGCGAGAGCGACGGCGAGCCTCTGCGGCGCGCGGGAGGCGGCGGCTTCCTCCGCGTATCGGCGGCCTCCTTGGCCTCCAGCTCTAGTTGCTCTTGCTCCTCGTCGTCCTCTACCGCCGCGGCCTCGGGCAGCTCGAGCGCGTTGAGGTACGTGATGACGGAGACGGCGGTGGCGGCCGCGGCGGCCAGCACCGGGTGGTCCTTGAACCACTGCACGCCGCTCGAGACCTCCTTGGCCGTGGGGAAGAACGAGGCGTGCGGCATCAACGCGTGCGGCAGGTGCGCCATCGGACAGAGTGATGGTCGGCACGAACGGCGCAAATTGGCGAATGACGAGTTGGGTCAACCAGCGGTTTAACTTTTTTCTAGCAAAGAGGCACATTGCTCTTGTAGAGGGAGAGAGGAGTGGGGCAGAGAGTTCTTGTAAACGGGAGATGCACCACTTCAACTCGGGGGCCGCGTGACGTCACTTGCAGGGGAAAGCACTGTTTTGTCTGCGTGCGTGTATTATACCAGTAGCGGGTGTATGATGTGTGGTGATGGCCACGATAGAGGGCGATCCAGAGAGCGCTGGGCAGCGCCGGAGCCATGTTTAGCTAACACCGCCAGTCTGATCTACGACCTATTGAACGGCATGAAAGCATGCAGTACGACAGGCTTCAGTCCACCGAACCCTGCATAATCAGATATCTAGCCGACGCTTGATAGATATCGTCTTCCGCGGGTTGGTGTGCGCGCACACGATCCACGACGACTTTGAAAGGATCAGCACCAGCCGCCAGAGAGAAAGCGCAAAGCGCGAGAGCAAGTGCCAACTACCTAAACGCCCCACGACCCCCGCCCCGACGTGCGTACACTCGCTTTAACACTAGCTTAACCGCCCTCCCCCCTCTCTAACCGTCCGCCCCCTCCTGCCCCCATAGAATTCGCCATGGCCGACGAGGAGGAGCCCGACTGCTGCCCGCTGTGCATGGAGGAGCTGGACATCACGGACAAGACGTTCAACGCGTGCCCCTGCGGCTACCAGGTGTGTCTCTGGTGCTGGCACCAGATCAAGAACGAGTACAACGGGCTCTGCCCCGCGTGCCGCCAGCCCTACGCCGAGCTCTCCAAGCAGAAGAACCCGCTGGACCGCGAGGAGTGCGTCACGTCCTAACTACCTAACTACCGTTTAGCACTCTCTAACCGGTTAGCACTCTCTAAACGGTTAGAGAGTGCTAAACAGCAACAAACTTCTTACGCAGTGTCTAACCCTGGCAAATTGATGTGCTCGCAGGGTGGTGCGGCGCACCAAGCAGCGCAAGCAGAAGGAGAAGAGCGAGCGGCGCTCGGCCGCGCAGGCTAAGAGCGCCACGGTGAACCGCAAGAGCCTGCAGAACGTGCGCGTGATGCAGCGGAACCTTGTTTACGTAATCGGCTTGCCCGTGCACTTCGCCGAGGAGGACATTCTCCGCTCGAACGAATGCTTCGGCCAGTACGGCAAGATCGTCAAGGCCGTGGTGAACAAGTCGCACTTAAGCGCGGACCGCCAGAACGCAACAGCCAGCGCGTACATCACGTTTGCCAACAAGGAGGACGCGCTCTGTTGCATTGTGGCAATAGACGGATACTACCTGGACGGGAGTCTGCTGCGGTAAAGTAGAATGCTTCTACCTTTTTTCACTTGGAAAGGTGGACTGACAGTAGAGTTGTACTACCCAGGGCGTCGTTCGGCACCACCAAGTACTGCAACTTTTTTCTGCGCAACATGCAGTGTAACAACCCGGACTGTCTGTACCTGCACGAGCTGGGCGACGAGGACGACAGCTTCACCAAGGAGGAGATGCAGTCAGGTGAGAATTTGCGACGGAGTTTAGAGACTTTTTTTCTCTCTCTTCCAGGTTAGAGAATTCGGTGACTGAGTGAAGTGTTGCTTGTTGCACGCAGCGCTGCACTCTGGGAAGGCTGCGTTCCGGGACATGTCGATGGCAAATGGGCAGGTGCAGGAGCGGGAAGGCTCTCGGTTCCCTCCGCCTCACAGACCAAGTGCTCAGTCTAGATCATCTACTAGTGCCAGTGCCAGTGCTAGTGCTAGGGCGCCGTCTCCGGCAAGAGGGGCGTCTCTGCTCAGGTCACACAGCGAGGAGCAGTTCGAGAGGCAGTCACAGAGCGCAGCGGCCGTATCAGCACTCAGACAGGGCGACAGCAGCAATAGTTCAGGGTCTTCGTCGCCTGACCGCGTCGACACAGCAGCAGCAGCAGCACACAACACAGAATACCCGCCGCTCAGCAGCAGCTTGGCAAGAGGAAACTCCTATAGCAAGATCGTGGCGGGCGGACACAGCAGTAGCAGCAGCAGACATTCAGGCGTACCAGCAGCAGCAGCAGTACCAGTACCAGTGCCCGCTCCAGCAGAACCAGCACCAAGCAATAAGCCTCAGCTGCACGTAGACACATCTCGGGAAGAAGACAACACACCGGCACTGGAGACGGTGGTAGGGCCGCTGGAAGCGCTCAAGCTGGCGACCGGTTCGTCCACTCAGGAGCCGGCGTGGGCGCAGCCGTTCCCGACCCCGTCAGTGCAGCAGAGCGAGAGCGAGGAGCAGACAACAGCGACCAGCAGTGCAGCAGGCGTCTACAGTCCCTTCGGTCTCGGCTTCGAAGGTGGAATCCGTCGCGCCAGCAGCGCCCGGGAGCTCACGTCCAAGTCGCCAGTATCTGGAGACGTGTGGGGGTCCTCTAACGCGCCCAAGAGCTCGCTGGACCCGTTCCCGCCTGCCGCGCCGACGATGGCGGCGTCTGCCAGCTCGTCATCGTCGTTCGCGTCCATCGACGCCATCTTCAGCCAGCGGAACGAGTCGTCCGAGGCTCTCGCGGGTCGGCTGGGTGTGCAGCTGGATCCGACGCCTCTGAACCACGGCGCCCCTCTTGCTGCCGCCCCCAAGGACGCACGCACATCGCGGTTTTCGTTTGCTAAGCCTGCGGACGCTGGTCGTGGCATGCAGCAGCAGACGACGGCGCGCTACGAGTTGCTGGACGGTACCACAGTGAACAACCGCAGCTCGTTCGGTGGCTTTGACGCTCCTCGTGTCGGAAACCCTCCGTCGGTACCGTCGGCGTTCCCGTCGACTGCGGACCGGTCGGGCTTCCCGCCGCTAGGCAGCTCTCAGCAGCTTCACCACGCGCCGCCGCCTCCCCATCCTTCCAGGAGCTCGTTCGGTGGTGGCGACTTCCGCGGCAACGACATGGCTCTCGGTGGTGGCGGTGCGCTGGGCGGAGGATCCGGTGGACTGGCGTTCCTGCAGCAAATGCTGCCGAACGTGAACATCAGCTTCGGTGGGGACTATCCCAGTCTGTCGGGCGCGGCGTCGAGCGGCATGGGAGCGTCCGCGACGCCGATGCGCAGTGCGAGCGCCGGTCGAGGTGGCAGCTCGGGTCGTCGCCTCTTTGAGCGCAGTCAGAGCGCGGGTGCTGGCTTGGTTTCGCCGGATTCGTGGGATGGCGGCAGTCTGAGCTCGCTGGGCTTCGACTCGCAGTCCAACAACCGCCGGGCGTCCAGTGGGTCGTCCTTCTACGATCCTGCGCTGGTGCCGCAGGCGTCGGGCGGGTTCTCGAACAACCTCTACGGCTTCAGCTCGTCCAACGCGATGGCGCCCAACGGCAGCGACAGCGACCGCCTACACATGCAGAACGATTTTGGAGGCGACGCGTACCGCCGCTCGGGCTCGTTGATGAACAACAGCTAGATGAAGCGGCCAGGGAACCCCCCTATTGCGAGTGTTGACTCGACCGAGAGGAACGACGACCACAGCCCGGGTTCGAATGACGAGAGGCTGGAGTGCTGACAGGATTACCACACAACACACACCACACACACAGTCTGACGGCGAATTGAAGGGACGAGAACAGCGATGATGAAGTAATGAGTCCCGGACCGGAAGACGCGAAAACACACACACAACACACAATTGCTGATTTCAAGAATGACGCGAAGGAAAAGGAGAAAAGAAAACAAAAAAGAACGAGGAGAGCTCCAATTCACACACAAAAGAGAGCGACAGGTGTGTGAAGGCGATGCCAAGACACCAAACACACACACACACACACAACACACATGACGACGGATCCCGTTGAGCTAGCTTCGGATGAAGTCCACCCCCGTCTTGATACGCCCGAACACAAACACGTGTCGTTTTTGCTCCCTTTGAGTTTCGCGTTGAGCTAGCTTCGAATGAACGTCTTGATGCTCCCTTTCGCGTCTGCGTGGTTTGTTTCCTCGCTATTCGTGCAGGTTGCGACGTTTCAATAGTCGACGGCTCCTGGATTTGTAGGTAGGTTTGTGGCCATGGTTTTGGTTCGGTTCACTGATCCCTTTGTCTCTGCGTAGTCGGGATCTGTGGACGATGCACGGCGAGCTGGACGATGATGATAGCCTTGGGAGGAGTGCCGCCGGCGATGAACCTGAGGGTGATGAAGACGCAGATGACAAGGACGGGTCTGGGAACGAAGTCGACGCAGGTGAAGACGGGCTCGATGACGTTGGCAATGAAGCGCTTATGGAGGGTGCCGGAGAGGAAGACGCGTCTGACCACCAGGAACGTGAGCCCGAAAGTGTGGAGGACGACGATCATGACCACCTAGTCGAACAACACGAGGGAGGCGAGTTCGTAGCCGAATGGATCCGAACCAATTTCCCTTACGTCGCAAGCGAGGCAAAGCTACGGTCAGAAGCCGCAGCATTAGGCGATAAGGAACCAGAAATAGGCAACGCAGGTCAAGACGAAGCTCCATTCAACGCCGACGCTGACTGCAAGCCCCAACTGTGCGACGAGTGCAGCAACTTCTCTGCGGTGTTCACCTGCGACGAGTGTGGTCTTACTCTGTGTTTCAGGTGCACGGATGCCATCCACATCGTACGTAAAGCACAGATGCCGGTTTAAGGAGGATCTGTCGCTGACGCTCGTGTTTCCTGCTGTGTAGATTCCATCTTTATCGACGCACAGCATCCGCTTTGGCAGATTCACCAGCACCAGTCAAGCTCCAATTTCCGAGCGAGAAGCTCGAGTTGCCGTCGAGCCTTCAGAAGTCTCTGTCGCAATGTCTACGACTTCGACCAAGACGATGCCAGAACCCCCTCCTCGAGTTGCAACCAAACAAGTGGAGGCGTCCCGGCTGGCTTTACCTGCAGGGACGAGCATCTTCTTCCGAGCTCCAGACTGTGCGCGGTGGCCGCGCGAGCTGCTCTACGGTACGCTGGTCAGTCGAGAGCCCGCCACGACTTCAAACGGAGACACGTTTTACCACCGCGTGCTGTGGTTACGAGGCGTTGAAGCTCTGCCCAACGGCTTCTTCCGTGCCACACTCGCGCTGCCCGGCTGGAACATCAGCAACGAAAGCGAAGTGGACGTCGGAGAGACCTTCTGGCCGCACGAGATCGGCGTGTACCCCACGCAGCTCGGCGCGTTCCGTGCTGTTGTCACGGCTGAGCAAATAGCGCGCGCCAAGTTTCGACGAGAACTCGAAGGCGGCCGCATCCACCGCTGGCGCAGATTCGAGCTAGATGATGATGACTGTGAAGGCCAGCACGGTGAAGACGAAGAAGAAGCGTTCCCATCGTCCGATATACTGCACGAGGTTGTTGCGGAGACCGCTGCAACACTCGCCACTGAGTTCGGTGTGCGACTCACGCGCCAGGAAGACGCGGCATTCCACCACCAACTCTCTCAAGGCACGTGGAGCTATCGCAAGTGGATGGAGAGCATCGGACGCAGTGATGACTTGCAAGAAGAAGACGCCGTGCCATTCGAACGCGGCGTAGCTCTCCCCGACGACACTCAAGCGCATGAAGAGGACGCCTTCAACGAGGAGATAGAGTCTCCAGTACCCACTCCGTGGGCTCCTGCCACTCGCATCCGCTTCTTCATGGTCGCGCAGCACGATATAGTATTCCCAGAGCGCGTGTGTCGACAGCATCTTCGGGCGATTCTGGAGCAGCTTCTGTTCGTGTACGCGGGCTTTGCCTGGAAACTCTGGCGTGAGTACGTCGAGCGCCATCGGGAGCGAGAGGAGCAGCAGAACCGCGAGATAGCTGCTGGAGTTCTTCAAGCGTGGGCGAGACGCATTGCCGACCGGAAGCGACAACAGGAGCGCCAGCGTCTGCTGAGTATGGCGATTGGGTCTTCAGTCGATGCGCTGGAGCTCTATCGACGCCGACAGATCGAGGCGCGCAAGCTCTACGACTTCCTCACGCGACAGATCGAGCAGCGGAAGCGCAACGCATTGCGCGCGTGGCGTGTGGCTGTGGGTCCGAGCTCTCCGCCGCCTCCGCCAGCGATCACATGGCACCCAAGTCACGGAATGAAGGCGATGCTGCCCAAACTGCCGCGGATGGGGGCGCGCCGTCGCAATGCGCAGGACAAATCGGTCGCGCCGGGGACGCAAGTCATCATTGAAGACATGGCGACGTACAAGCTCTTCCGCGCGAACCACGCGGGCCCAGCAGATACTTCGTACTGGGTCATCCGAGGACGCGTGCTAGCTGGGGCCTGCCCCATCGGCCCAGCCTTCCGCGAGGCACGGCGACTCGTGTCACGCACCGACTTCGCGACGAGTGTTCTGCTTCAGCAGATCAGCGTGTTTGTCTGTCTTATGGAGCCACAAGAGCTCAAGAGCACGGAGACAGCAGCAGGTGCAAGCTCCGACGCTGAGTGGAGCTACGAGCGTCAAGTGCGCAGCAAGTACCAAGCCCTTTGCATGGAGTTGAAGGGCGCCGAGACGATCAGCAAGCGGCACGTGGAGCTCGCGCAGCAGGCACTGGCTGACTTCGACGTCGAAGCTGCTAACGCGGCCGCGCATGCTATTGGAGGCTCTGGAACCAAGAACACCAAGAACCGTAGAGTGTCGATGACAATGCAGCAGCAGCTGGACGAGGACGCCGCTGAAGAAGCCAAGATAAAGGAGGCGCGTGAAGCGCCTGAACAACGACTGCAACTGGCGGAGCAGCAAGCGGTTAAGGCGTCGCACGAGGTCGCGCGACTGGGCATGATGCAGATCGAGTTTCTGTACTTCCCGATCGAGCACGACGGGGTCCCAGACAGCGACGAGTTGATTGGATTCCTCGAGCAGCAGGTCGAGTCGAGGCTGCGCGCAGGCAAGAACATCTACGTCTTCAGTCGTCTGGGTCATGGACGCACGGGAATTGTGTCGGCGCTGCTGCTTGGCCGCGTGTACGGCATCACCGCCTCGGAAGCTTTGGAGCGGGCTCAGCGAACACACGACTGTCAGCGTCCAGGAGCTCCGCGCGGCTTGAGCTTCTGCTCACCTACCACAGCGCCGCAGTTGACCTTCGTACGGCGCACTCTGGCTCGCTGGATGGATCCGATCTACGCTCCCATTGTGCTGGAAAACTCCGAGGGGTTCCGCTCTACGCGCGTGCAGCAGCGAGGGCTGTTGGCTGAGCTCTACCTAAGAGACGAAGGTTTTATGATCAGCGCTGCTGGAGATGCCCAAGCTCGGGAGCGTGAAGCTCTGGAACAAAAGAGGCTGGAGCGCATCGCAAAGCGTGAGAGTGCAGCTGCAGCACTGCAGCGTGATCGACGCAAACAGCGCCGTGAACATGAGAGTATGGAAGGTGAAGAGAGCGTTCAAGCAGCTCACGAGGTGATAGAAAGTATGGTGGGCAAGATGACGGAGAAGCCGTGAAGCTTTCATAAATGGTTAATAGTATGCAGAGGGTGTTGGAGATCTACGAGCGAGTGATAGCGACTCTGGTTACATGACGCTGCACTTGGCACCGCACGCCGGCTCGAGCTTCTCCACCTCGGCTTCGGCCTTCAACTGGGCGACTTCCTCCTCCTTCAGCATCTTCGGCGACGAAGGAACCGCACCAGTGGGGGTTCCTGCTCCCGCCTTAGCACCACCGGACTTTGGCGACGCTGCAGACTTGGGAGACACCACCACGGGCGAAGGTGCCGGCCCGCTGATCGCCGGCATGGGAGGGAAGGTCGAGGCGTCGGCCAGAACCGTCTTGGGCTCACCCTGGTCCGTCTTGATTGGCGTCGGCGGGGGCGTGGCCGTCGTCATCGGCTTCGCAGCCTCGGGCTTGGTCTCGGTCTTCGCCTCCGTCTTCTTCTCGGTCTCAGCCTTGGCGGTATCGGCCTTTGTCGGCTCCTTCTTCGCGGCTTCAGGCTTAGCAGCGCCAGCTTCCGCCTTGGCAGGAGACGCAGCAGGCTCCGCAGTCTTGACGGGCGACGCAACAGGGGCCGTCGCAGTCTTCACAGGCGACTCGGCGGGCTTCACCGGCGACGCAGCAGGAGACGCCGAGGCCTTCGCCTTCGTGGCCGCATCCTTGGGCGGAGAGGCCGGTGTAGCAGCAGCAGTCGTCTTGTTATCGCCAGGCTTCACCTCCATCTCGTACGACGAGCTGTTAGCACTCGCGCTCGCACTGCTGGTGGTTGAGGCCTTCGCTGCTGGGAGACGAGCGGCGACCTCCGCAGCGCTCACGGGCGTCGCCATTGCATTGGCCGGGCCAGCTCCACGAGGACTCGCGGGGTTCGAGCTGAGACCGGCGATGCTGCTGGAGCGGCTCATGGAGTCGACGTCCGAGTCGCTGCTGTCGATACGGTCGGCTCGGCCCAGCTCGTCCATCTTAGCCGGACTGAGCGCGTCGAGGCTGGTGCGCCGCGCCTGCGGGTTCTTGACGAACTTGCGCGTCTCCGTCTGGGGCTTGCCCTCGGCGTCCACGGCTCGCATGAAGCTGAAGGTCAGGGCCGAGCCCTTGGCGCCGCAGGTGGCGAGGCCGCCGGGCGTGTCGCTCTTGGGCTTGGCGACGTGAGTCAGCACGTGGTTGAGCGTCTTGCGCACGCGGTTCGAGTCCACGACGTGGAGACTGAGCCCGTCGTCGCCGTAGTGGAGCCCCGCGGCGTTGGTGCAGCCCTCCTTCTCCACCTGGATGTACATCTCGCCCTTGGAGGCCGACACCTGCAGACTGATGCCCTCACGCTGGCCCGTGACCTTGTTGTTGAGCGAGTAGGTGCTGCCGTCCTTGCCGTCCGAGGTGCGCAGCACGAACGGGGTCTGGTACGTCAACGGGGTTCCGTTTGCCTGCTGCTTCTCACCTCGGATCGGAGTGCTGTAGTCAAGACCAGACAAGGGGAGGGGTGAGTATGGAAATTTGAGGGCGTCAAAGGTGAAGGAGGCGACAACGTACATGATGAACTCGGCCTCGTTGAAGCGGTCCTTGACCTCGTCCTTCACTGGAGGCACGACGAGCAGCTGGGTCTGAGCCTTGCCGGGGAGTTCCAGGAAGCCCAAGCAGGCGGGGGTGGCGCTCTCGACAAACGCCGACTTGGTCTGCAGCTTGACGACATCACCGAATCGAATGGGCTCGTTGACGTTGCTCATGTTTGTGCTGGAGGCTTTCGAAGGCGGGAGGCGAAGGAAAGGGACGCCCGGGGGCTCTGGGCGCTCGCTAAAAAGCTGGAAAGTTGGGAAGTGAGGCAGCGAAGGAGAACCGCAACAACCTCGCAAGCCGTTGACGAGTTACAGAGCGCCGCACTATTGTTGGCCGCCGGGCTTGTTGCTGCTATCAATAGTGATCGTCGTCTTTCATCCTTGGCAACGGAGACTTTGCTGCATGAGAATAGAAGCCTCGGCTTGAATAGAAGAGCGAGAGCTTCGTCAAGTCCCAGGATGATACCCATATATTTAGGCAGTCTCCATCGCACTCTGACCAAGTACAAGACGCACAAGGTGCGATAAGGCATCGCGCAAGTGGAGGAAGACCTGCAGCCTAAGAATACGCGCAACTCACTGCACTGCATGACGCTCGCAATGGCGAATCTTGGATCCGAGTTAAAGTTGAAGTTGAAGTGGTGACAATACCTGTTGAGGGGTATAGCTGCATGATGGAACACGTAGTGCTTTGGAGCGCATGAGAGAGATTACAGACGTACGGATGGATATTCACTTTCTCTTTTTTCATCTTATGCCACTCGCAAAGCTAAAACTAAAATGGCGAGTTTGCTGGTAGGAGGCTACACTGCATCTCCGCTTCAGCGCCGAGCTAGCTTTTCATTCATCTCCGACCCACGCGCAGGTCGTGCATCCTCTCGTCAGCTCGCTCGCTCTTGCTCTTCTTCCTTCCCTTTCTCGCTTCTCGTACACAACACACACCGACACGGCTCTCTCGCTCGTGTCGTCTCCCTTTACCCACTCGCTGCAACGGGTTTTGCCAACGAAGCTGCCACCGCACGAGACGACCACGCCCGACATACTTTTCTTCACCACGCTGGTCTTGCTACTTGCTCGGCTCGGCAGCTTTCCCCATGCAGCTCGCTCCCTCCATCCCTCAACTTCGTCGGCGTCCTTTGGGGGCGGGTAGTCGTCTAACAATCCGGGGCCTTCCGTATCCTTCGCCTTCCGTCAACTCTTGCTTAGTTCAGGTGCTCGTTGCCGGGCATGTACGTGAAGCCGTCGAAGTGGGCCTGCGCGCGATGCGTGGCGCCCAGCTCCTGCGTCACTGGCGAGTCGCGCGCCATCTCGCGCGTGAAGATGTTGGCAACGTTGCCCGTGTCGGCCTCGCTGTTCACCACGGGCTTGAAGGGCGGCTCCACCTCGCGCTTCAGCAGCTTGTCGAAGTCGATGCTAGCGAAGAAGGGGTGGTCCATAATTTCCTGCACGCCCGAGGGGCCGGAGCCTAACCGCTTGGCCGGGTCTCGGCGAAGCAGACCGGTCAGCAGATCCTTGGCGTCCTCCGAGAAGGCCTGCGTGAATACAACGTCCCGGTGCAGAATGTTGTGGAACATGCGCTTCCGGTTGCGGTCAAAGAAGGGCGTCTGGCCGGTCATCATTTCATACAGCAGCGTGCCGAAGCCCCACCAGTCCACAGCCTTACCGTAGGGCAGGCCCTTGAGCAGCTCGGGGGCAATGTACTCGGCCGTACCACAGAAGGTCTTGGCTCCGTCGGGCACGTCCACGTTCTCCTTGGACAGACCGAAGTCCGTCAGGGCGATGAAACCCTTGTCGTCCATCAGAATATTCTCCAGCTTGAGGTCTCGGTAGGCGATGTTGAGCTCGTGCAGGTGAGACATCGACATCAGCAGCTGGGCAGCGTAGAAGCGAGCGCGCTTCTCCGAGAACTTGCGCGACTTGCGCAGGTGGAAGAAGAGAGAGCCGCCGTTGTAGTAGTCCATAACCAGGTACAGCTTGTCCTCGTTCTGGAACGCGTACCGCAGACGCACCACGAACGGGTGGTCGATATCGCGCAGGATACGGCGCTCCGACTTGGTGTGCTCCACCTGGTTCTTGGCGAACACGGACGCCTTCTTTAGCACCTTCATAGCGTAGATGGCGTTCGGGGTCGTCGATCCATCGGGCACCTTCTTGCGCACCAGCATGACCTTACCGAAGGCGCCCTTACCGATCACCTTCAGCAGGTCGAAGTCCTCCACACTGAGCTTCGAGTTGCCAGGCGGCTGCGCGTTCGACTCTGACCGGCCCTGGTTCGACATCTGCGTGTCCGAGCGGTTGCGCGCCTGGGACATATCCTGCGAGGAGTTGGTCGTGGCCACGGCGTCGCTAGCCGTGCGGTTAAGGCGCGGGTAGGTCGGGGGAGGCTGGTTGGCCGCCGGGTTGTTGTTAGTGTTGTTAGTGTTGTTGTTGTTGTTGTTGTTGTTGCCGCGCGGACCCTCCGTCGCACACTCGGTACACACGCGCTGGGCCGTACTCGATCCGGGCAGGAAGAGACGGTCGCGCGAGCACGCATTGCAGACAGCGCGGTGGCACATGCGGCAGTGGTGACGCCGGTCGAACAGCGTGAAGTGGAACAGACACAGGTTGCAGTGCTTCTCACTGGTGCCCATCTTGGAGTTGTTGGCTTCACGCCTGGTGGACTCCTGGCGCGCGAGCTGCGGGCCGCTTGGGGCGGCGGCACCGTTGCCCATGTATGCCGGCGCCGAAGCAGGTGGATCCGGCACAGGCTTCTCGCCGGCGACGTAGGTGGTGGCGTCCCGCGTGTCGAGGAACCGGAACAGCGCGTCCTGGATCTTGTTGATGCAGAAGGCAGTGACGTAGTAGTGGTTCGCGTGCGCGCGCGGCGGCCGGCCCGCCGACAGACACGTGCAGCCGGTACGGTGCGGGGCGTCGCCGTCCAGCTTGGTCTGGAAGAGCTGGTCGTTGCTTTCCCAGTACATGGTGCGGTGCGCCAGGATGGACTTGACAGACTGCGAGTCGCCGTCCTCGATACGGTGGCTCGACTCGATCAGCGCGATGGCTCCGTTGCGACGCATGAGCTGGTCGCCGCGGGACTGCAGCAGGTACTTGATAAGCACGCCTCCGTACGAGTATCCGAGGAAGTAGACCCTCCTGGCGGAGGACCGGGCGACGTACGAGTCCCAGAGCGAGTCCATGTGCTCCTCGGGGCTGGAAGACCCGGGGATCTGCAGCCGCTGCTTGCCGTCGCGCATGACGATGACGTTCTTGTTGGGGTTGGCCACGATGATGCCGTAGCCCTCGTCGATGGCCTTGCGGAAGTACTCGAGCATGCTGCCGCTCTTGACGCCGGCGTGCAGCACGAGGCCGCGGCTCCAGAGTCCCGGGTAGAGGCCGCGGCTGACGGCCACGAACACCAGCAGCTTCTTGCACGACTCGTAGTTGCGCGACACGAAGACGTTAGCCTTGACGGGCGCCTCGGGCGTGCTGTTGGCCGGGATGAAGACCTCGCGGAAGCCCAGCTCCTTGCGCATCGAGTCCTGCACGTACTTGACGACCGTGTTGATGATCTCGTCCTGGTGCACGGCCAGGTCCGAGTCGTCGAGCCCCTTGCCCGTGGCCTTGAGGTGGATCATGCCCTCGGCGTCCATGGCGTAGAGCGGGTGGGAGAACGGCAGCGGCGCGCCGCGGTTCGCGGAGGGCGCGGCGCGGCCCCCGCCCGAGTTCTGGTAGTCCGCCGACGCCGGCGCGGGGGGCATCGAGCCGTTGGACTGCCACGACTGCTGCGACTGGTAGTCCGAGCCGTTGCTGTAGGTGCGGCCGGCGGGCGCGGAGGGCGGCGCGCGTGGGACGCCCCCGGCGGAGGCGCCGTCAGGGTAGTACTTGTTGCCCCCCACGGGCGGCTCCTTGCTCTTGTTCTTCTTGCGGCCCCATCGGGGGAACCGGAACGACATGGCTGGCGGCCTGGTAGGACGGAGGAGATAGATGGACAGCAAGAGGTCAGCCCACGCGTGCTCTACCCAAGTGAACGAACTGCCGTCTGACGTCAAGATCAGTGCGTCCGAGGCTCGGGCATTCCCCTTCCCCCCTTCCTACCGACGGATGTACGTACCCCTGTCGCTGTGCTGGTCAGGTGGCGAGTGTGGGCGAGTCTCTACCGCTGCTGCTGCTGGGCGACCTCCGCGCGGCTGGTGGCGTTTGGCCAGCGCAACAATCCGAACTGGACGTCCGTCTATCCGTCGTACTCGGGGCCTCTTCCTCTTGGCTCGTGACGGCCCCCTTGCGTCGTCGTCTGAGCGAGAACGGCGAGCCTGCCCGCGTCTCGGAAAGACTACGCCTGAATTACCCCAAAGTACACTTATAAGAGCGACGGGCTTTCCAGCACACCGCGTTTTGACACACCTAGCCCGCTCTCGCATTTGGAGCAATTTCATTGGCGAAGACGAGTGCAACGCGACGACACGATGCCGCTGGCCTTTTTCGTGTCGCAAAAAACCTCGCGACGCCAGCCCCGGCGCCCGTCCGCAGTCCAGCGCGACGAGCCGCCGCTGGCACCGGCAAGCAGGGCCCAACGGTGCAGCAACGCGCACGCTGATGGCAGTTGCAGGAAATTCTTAGTCGCGCGTGCGCCGTGGGCGTGCTGGCGAGAAGTGCAGCCATGACAGACAGGCTCGCGAAGAGCCAGGATGAAAAACCTCGACGTCACTTCGTCAGTCGCGGCCGTTCTCTGGCACATGTACCCAAAGTGGTGTACACCAACAAATGTGGCAAACACCACGGTGCCACCCCTCAATAGTTATACTGTGCAGGTGTCAATCCGCAAGGCCACACAGATGAACGAGGTAAGCAGCTTTGACTTTCTACCCGAGACATCAGTCAGCCCCGTTATGGTATGTACCGCATAGCACCAAATGCTCCTGATTACGATTTCCTTTTTTGGGAGGATCGATGGAATGCATCCGCAGATGTCCGTTCTAAAGAAGGTCTTACTCCACATGAGTCGTTTCCGCATGTTGAATAGAGCAATGCCGACGCCTTTAGCCGCGCTCGACCGCCCCTCTACGGAGATCACAATGAAAAACGCAGCAAAACCACGCCCGAATAGTTTGGCGGCGCTTCCAAACTGCATCCCCCGTGCAAAATACCAGCTTGTACAGTACGTATAGAGTCGTGATCAGGGGCCTGCATTGATCTTACCTCGTCAAGTGGCGGGGCTTATTCAATGTGCTATGAACGGTACCGAAACCACATCTTCCTCTCACCAATCGGGCTTTTTTCGACTTGACTTGCGTTTTGTATGAGGTCACAAATATCACTCTTGAAAGGTTTATCGACATGTAGCCATCCGTGACACGATGGCTACATCGTTGGCATTCAAATGCCCATTTGACACGCTATGCTAGCCTTGGAAGATACTTTTCACCTCGTTGCCCTACGTGGTCTTATCCGATGCCTTATCCGCAGTGTTAGCAGGACGAACACGAACATTGAGCTATATGAAGGCATCGGGCGTGCTCAGTTTGCCGCTGTCGGAATGCCCGCCAGTGCCCAATTTGATCGGCAGTGGGTGCTGATGGCAGGTTGGACGTGTAAAGGCCATTGGCGGGAAGATGACGGCCGACTTCAAGACTGCTGGACGCGAGCTTAGGTCTCGGGAATAAGCAATCACTAGAGAGATTTCGGGATTCTCCTCGCCCTTGCATTACCCTCAAAGCCGTTTTTCAGTCATAAGTGCGCCTTCACATATTGTTCAATGGCTCCGAAATCTCTCTGACTCACTACGTGTATGAACTTTAGATTACCCTCCTGCGGCGGCGGGCGCTGCCTTCGACGCCCGCTGCCTTGCCCCTAGAGCCCTTCGATCGTGCTCTGCGCCTACGTCCTGCCACTATGTTACCGACGGCACTACACCACGGCATTTTTTATCGTCTTCGGGTGTGTGTGTTATGAATCGTCAATTATGGATAGGTTGCAACTTACTTTTCGGACAGCACGCACAGAAGCTGCGGCACCACCTCGATGCGGAAGGGGCCCGGGCCCGCGAACACCTCGCCGTCCACGTTCAGCACGTCCTCGACGATAGGCTCGATCACCATGGCCTTCACCTTGTAGTAGCCCACAAGCTCCGACTTGAGGAACGTGTTCGACAGGTAGCGTACGGCGATCTCAGCCGTCTGCATGACGTTGCCCTTACGGGAGTAGATCAGGTCTAAGTTGCCGTCCGACGGGTGCGCGTACTTGGTCTCGAAGTACACGTTGGAGCCGCCAGCCGACGTCAGCTCGGACGTGAAGCTCTGCCACTGGCCAGCGTACTTCTCCTCGCTGGCAGGGTGGAAAATGGTCTCGGCGTCGCCCTTCCACTGCTTGCTGTCCGGGTCCGAGTCGTCGTAGATACTGCAGCGCTCCACGTTATGCTGGTCCTGCGCAGTATCGTCCATGATCTCGTAGTACGTGCGCAGCACCTGCTCGCCCGTCTCGGGGTCCACCGGCGTGTTGTCCGACAGGATGTAGCTGACCTTGGCCTCGTGCTTGTGCGGCGCGAAAATGCCGCGCTTGATCTTGAGGTAGAGGTAGCGGTGCACGCCGAGCCATCGCGTGGCCTCCGACTCCACAGCGATATCCGAGCCGATACCGTAGCTCACACCTGTGCAGGCAAACTCGAGGCGAGTCGAGCCGTCATCGTTGCTGGCTTGGCACGTCATCACGTCCAGCGGGCGGATCTTGCGTTTGATGATGCAGTACACCGACGAAGCGTGAGTCGGGGTGCCCACGCCCTTGCCGAAGGCGTTATCTGTGCCGGCGCAAATGAGCGAGACCGGGGTGGTAGCAACCAGCGTGCGCCACACGCTCTCCTCTCGGGAGAAGACGCCGTTCATGAACTCGTTCACGGTGCCGTCGCCGCCGACGAACACGATGGCCTCGTACTTCATCTCCAGGTCAAACGCCGCGCCAATGTCGCGGGCGTGGCCGCTGTACTGCGTCTCCTCCACATCGCACTGGATGTCGGCGAACTCCAGCAGCGGCCTCCAGTGCTCCCAGACCTTGCGTCCACGACGGCGGCCGGAGTGCGGGTTCACCACCACCTTGATGCGGCGTGTCACATTCTCGGGTACACGGGCCATCCACTTGATGAAAGTTTGTAGCGATGTCACCAACTTGGCAGCTGTCTCCTCGTCACCGAACCGCAGAGTCAACGTGCGGTAGCGGCGCATGAGTCGGCGGTGCTCCTTGCCGTTGCCCGGCAGCATGAAGTGCAATTCCACGCTGGTCTTGCTGCCGGGCGTGAGGGCCGCGGCGAGCAGGTCGTCCTTGGCGATCTGGATCTCCTTGGTCTTCTTGCGGAAGAGCGACACGCGCTGGCAGTTGACGCCGTCGCGGTCCACTTGCACCGTCATCTGGCGCCAGACCTTGCCGACCTGCATCTCCATGGGCGCAGTCATGAGGACCTGCTCGGGGAACTCGCGCAGGCGGTGCGAGTGCATCTCGCGCACGACTTCGCGCGCGGACGCGGCCGTGGAGAAGCGGAAGCGCACCAGGCGCTGCTCGATGGCCTCCAGCGCGGCGTCGCGCTGCGGGCAGCCGGCCCAGCTCTTGGAGCGCGTCAGGCGCAGGCTCGTGGGCGTCTCGCCGGCCTCGCTGCCGCTGTCCGTGTCCTTCTCGGGCGCGTCTCTCTTGGGCACGAGCCCCGTCGTCGGTACGGCGACGGTCGTGGCGCGTCGGAAGTGGTTCTTGTTGGCCGCCGCTGCAGCCGCGGGGGACGGCGACGACGCGCGGTTGGCGTCCTGCAGCACGCGCTCGCGCAGCTCGCGGATGCGCTCCTTGTCGTCGCCCGTGAGGGCCTCGCCGTCGCTGCTGGCCGCCGTCCCGCTGGACAGGCGCTTGGCGCGCACGGCGAGCTCGTCCTCGTCGTCCTCGTCGGTGGTGGGCTGGGTCTCGAACAGTTGGTTCTCGTCCTCGATGGTCTTGACGGGCCCGACGTGCTCGGGCTCGTCGTCCCTGGCGCGCGTCGGGAGCACTGCCATGGGGGTGAGTCTACGGGTGTGCAGTTGTGGTCTCTTGCTGGTAAATGTGCGAATGAGCGATGTTGCCGGCGGAAAGAAGTGAGTGTTTGCGCTCACAAGGTTGCAGTCAATGGCGCTATCAGGGTAGGGTACGTGTTCCTGAAGGGAGGGTAGAACTGCAAGTGGCTCGGGGTTTACGTCGCGTGGACCGAGATATATGCAGTATAGCAGGTATTGCGAAAATGGGCTGTAATAATGCAAGGCCGGGGCGGAACGGCCCATTCAGAGCGCCCAATTACGAGCAGAAAACTGCAAGACGCGCGCCATGATCGCAGGAAAACCGGCGCAAACACACCGCGAATAGCACCTCAACGACCGCGTTAGCCCTCGCTGCGTGGAAGTCCTCGCGGTCACGATATTTCAACTATCAGGCGGACATGATTTGGTTCCAGATCCGAGCTGGAATGCCGCCGAGCGCTACTAACAGCAAATTCACGCTGGCCTCTTCGACGGGCACTAGTCGACTATCTAACAGCTTGGATAGCTTGAGCAGCGTGCTGTCAGCGCGTTTTGAGCAGTCGGATTGCAGGGGAATGTAGCGGTGCAACGTTAATCTGCCGACTCAAAGTCGAACTATTCCGTCGAAAGGCTCGAGATTTCCTCGGAAGCCAAAACGATCACAACAACCCGAAAGTAACCTCCTCGGGTATCAAGACAGACTGGTATCGGGTAGCAAGTGTATATACACTCCGACATGCACGTCTCTCTTGGCTGTACGCTGGTCAGTGGAGGCGTTGTCGGGAGCGAAACCACCGACTGACTGCCAGGGGTGCTGTAAATCTTAACTAAAAAGTCGCGCAACTTCACAACGAGAAATCGATCGCGGCAGAACTGGGTGTCTCCATTGTAGCCCACCACCCGAAGTGTTTAGTGACGGTGTCCTGTTATCAACTGCATGCCAGCCAGTCTGGAACGTGCAAAACCTGCGTTGTTGCAGACGACTGGCTATCGAGGCAGGATTCTGGGCCAAATCGGGAAGGCATATACCTTGACCACCTTGTCAGCTTATTCACACCAGGTAATGACTAGTAGTGCCGTGGTACCAAGAGATATACTGCCGTGGGGCCCTGTTACCGGTATCATATCCCGTGTTTCGTAAGCCTTACCATGTACAGCGAAGACAACGCGAAATCGTCAGTCACATCAGGAGCATCCCGCTGCTAATATAATCTTACCGCTGTATTTAAGTTACAGTTGTATCGCATTGCCGGACTCGAAGTGTAGGATATTGTATGGGCGTATCTACTGTAGTGAATTTGGCAAATACAATTTGCTAGTTCATTCGAAGGGCAGAAACAGAGTAACGTTTGCACATGACGCGCGGACAGCAGAGGAGGAAATGAGAACTGACCGAGCTACTTACTGGTGCGGTCACCGCAGCTACTGCGCATTCGCGCAATACACTACAATTATGAGCGATGCTCTCCGGGATCAACGAGCATTGGATTCTACAAACACACAATCATGCTGTCTTCTTATCTCGCAGAGGTATCTCGCTCTATTTCCCTCTCTCGCAGTGCCTTGTCGGTGAGGAGCGATAATGACTGGGTCAAGCCCCGATGCGAAACAGCTTCCTCTTCAGCGTGTGCGCCCGCTATCTACTAGTATCGAACCCTGCCTGCAATAGCAAGGTGTACGCCCAAAGCAGCTCGAAACTCTTTGGAGCCCAATTATTGACTCACTTATGAAAATGGGTCTTTATGACCCGGCTCTGTCCCTCCGATTACGTGCGATTGCGCCAGAGCAAATGCGACGTCCAGTGTACATAAGAACTCAAACCGAGTAGGTGATCTATTGCGAAATTCGTTGCTGTATTTGTGCCTACTCAGTGATTTGGTTCGTTGCAAAGTGAAATGGTGGGGAAAGCAACAAAGCAACGGAGATTTGATATTTCCGAAGTCACTCAGTATTTTACTCGGTTCTAATCGAGTGCATGGCACACACAAAGTCGCTTAATCTCTTCGGGCAGACTACTTAGGCTCACTTGTTTAAGATGCTAAACACTGTCGCGTCATTATCATCCCCCTGCACCTGCTCCTTCGATGTCGCGACGGATGCGGAACATGCTACGGATGAGGACCGCAACGCTTGCGGTCACGCTTCTTCGCATCGAAGCTCGCGGCAGGCTAGCAGCAGACGCACGCCGTGCAGGCTGGGCTTCATTGAGCTAAATTAACCAGGTAACTGTCGACTGCTTCTTCGCGGGGCGCTCGAGCTCCACTGTATGCAGGCATGTCGTTTGTTAGTTAACCAGGTACACAAGTGGACTCGGCGCCACTGTAGGTGATGTCGAGACCGGCGCCAAGTAAGGCCAGAAGTGTCCAGTTTGACCGACAAGCACAGCGTGCTGGGTGGTTGCGAGTCATTGAGCAGGTCTATTGTGAAATTTCCGATATAGCGCCAAACTACCGATTAGATCAATCCTGCGCCCCGAGCTAAGCTATTCAGACTTGCTAAAGTATTTAACGAAGATCACCTTCAATAGCGAGTAGCTAATCTCGGCTGGAACGACCTCAGTCTTCGACAAGTGTATCATAGCAAAATCGTGTAGTGCTAAGAGTCTGATAGAGCGCTGACAAACTCGTTTTAAGGCCTATAGGAAAACTGAAAGGCAACGTTTGGCTCGGAGCACTGCTCTTGCTCTTGCTCGCCCCATGTGCAGTCATCCCCCGACACGATATTCGCGCGCCGTGCCGCGGTCTACCGCACGCTGGTCGGGCTGGCTCGACGGAGCAGTCTTGCTGCCAGCACAGACTGCGCTGGCAACGACGGTTGGTCGAGGCGTCGAGGCGCCGGCGGCCACTCGTCCGACCCGGGCCCGCCTCAAAGCACGCTGCTTGGCGTTGCCGGGCGCAGAGACGGTCGGCGGGGCTCATGTCACCGGTGAAGGCCCATTTCTCGGTGCAGAGCAGCGGAGACCGAGGATCGCCGACCAGCGGATCGGTGCCTGCAAGTCTCCATTTTGCAGGCGGCGCGGCTGCTCCGACCTTCATCCAACATGGCTGCGCTCCCGAGGCCGATGGCTTGATCCGAGACAGGCAAATGGCTTGACCGCGTTCCCGCGGGCGTTTACGCCGATTACGTGCCACGACTCGCGGCCCGATCTTCGGCGCCTGGATTCCGAGCGCCGCTTTGCCGTCAGCCGAGCGCTTCAACGTGCTTCAGTCGCGCAGCAGCAATTGGCTGCTGGTGGTATCTGCCCTGCTTAATGTAGCCTACTACTAGTCGAGTACCCGAGAAGCCGTGCCTGCATTACTCGTAGTGCTCCCCGCCATGAGCTCAAAAACGCTGGAAGTCGACGCAACGGCAATGATCAACAGGAACGTGAGGCTGAAGGCTGCCGAGATTTTTTCTCGGCGACGTTGATCAAAGACTAAGCAGTGCTTAGTCTTTGGTGCTTAGTAAGCACCAGCTCAATGGGACCCTCCAGCAGTCCCCGGGCGACAGACCCAGCCAAGTTGAACGAGAAGGAGACAGCCAGGGGCGGACCGCCATCCAACTAGGGTGGGGGGTGGGAGTCACCCCAGCACCCCCACCCCCTCGAGCTGCCAGATCCCTGTTTTGAGCTGCCTGTTGCCCCCTTGTTTTGGCCCGGCCCTTTTATTAATAGTTTTGCAGGCGGTGTAGCTGCCGAGGGCAGGGGGTAATGTTAACTTGGTACCAATGACATTTTTCGAGTATACTGCAAAACCTCTAAATGAGCCGCACCCTCTAATAGTACCCCACTCTCTACTAAAAAAATATAGAACCCCTCCCAATCTTAGTACCCCCCCTCCATTCGAATATGAACCTTTATTGGCAGTGTGAAGTTTCTTGTTGTCGGCCTAACATAAGAAGGGTTATGTAGTTACCGTCGTGTTTATTTTTGGGCTGCAAAGGTGAGATGTATTCACTTAGAGATAGTTACCTTCATTTCCTGGACACTGTATTGCATGTAACTTTAACTAAATTTAGCGGTTTGCGTGTAACGTTAAACCAAGGATAAAAGCTGATTTTTGAATTGGTTTTAGATTGATTCCCTAGCTTCTGGTTTAAATCTACAATCATGCAAGGGCGGCGGGGCATTATTTGAGGGTGGGGTGCTAGCAAAAAGAGCAGTGTCTGATTAAATATCCCCGTCTAAAAGTTAGGATCCCAGGGGCACAATTAGAGGTTTTACAGTATAGTTAATATTGATAATTTTAAGCATCAATATTATATCAGGTAGAATGCCAATCAGTTAGATACGTCATATATCATTTCAAATCTCACTGAATATTGAATACTCATTATATATGACACATACCCTGGCTGCAAGCAGTACAAACCCCACAACAGCAGCAACGCGCAGCAGTCCATCGAGTCGAGAGCTGGAGGGACAATTATTTTCAGAAACACAAATTCGCTCTAAGGCAGCTTTTGTTGCAACTCCTATAGTGGCTTTTTGGAGGGGTTGGGGTGACGTCCTCCCCCGGAACGCGTGGCCAGCATGATGCTGGTCTCGGGCTTCCGGCAGGTGCTCTCGGGCATCTGCAAGTCCTTTGCGGGTATCAGCCTCCGCTCACCAGCAGTCCCCGCTGTCAAACCCCCTCCTCCATCTCGTCCTAACCAGACTAACCGCCTCCGTGTAGGCACGTTTAATGTCCAGTCGCTCAACTCGCACCGCAGGCAATATGACACACTACCACGAGATCTCCAGCGCTACAAAGTCGACGTCCTTGGCCTCCAAGAGACCAAGATACCCACACTCGGTCGGAAGTTCATCGGTGACTACACTCTACTAACTCTACCCGCTACACAGGAAAACCACGGCGTCGGCTTTGCCGTCTCAGCACGCCTGCGACCATACCTGTGGCGCTACTGGGCTCACTGTGACCGCATCGGCGTCCTCCAACTGATACTGCACAAAGCGGCGAATCCTTCCTGGGGCCACACGCACGAGAAGTGCGCAACCGCAACGGCCATGCTCTAGCTAACTTTTGTGACTCGTTTCGTCTCTTTGCCACTAACACAGCATTCCAAAAACGCGCGAAGCACAAGACCACTTGGATCCAACACAGGACCGATGTCTGCATCTACAATCAGATCGATTATATCCTCTGTCCACAGAACTGCAGGCGCTTTTGCATGGACGCTCAATCCTGGGGTGGAACCAACACTCCGTCCGACCATAAACTCGTTACGGCGGACTTCGTGCTTCAACACTCTCAGAGATTACGATTCAAGCCCCATCAGCGCACCGAACGCCCCCTCCGACTCGCACGTGACCAGCTCATCCACGACGAAGAGACCCGAGCCAAGTACAGCATTGCGCTGCAGCACGCCCTTGCCAACAACAAGGACGCCGACACACTCTCCACCCCCATGCAGTGGAAAACGACCCTCGACCTAGTCAAGCAGACAGCCGAAACGACAGTCTACTTCAGCTCCCGGCGCCAACGACACCACAGATACGACGATGCCGTTCTCCGAGAGCTCTCGGCCCGCCAACGAGCTCTCCAGCTACGCATCTACAATGATCGCAGCACAAGCACAAGCGCTCTCCACCGAGAACGCAACGCAATCTTACATCAGATCAAGTATCGGTGTCGTGACCTCGCTAACCAGGAACTCGACGAAAAATTCTGCCAGATCGAAAGCCTCAGCGACACAGCTCAGTTTTACGAAGCTGTGCGCGCGATCAAACCGAGACAAGCCGATCCGCTAATGCTGCGCGACTCTACAGGTAAGTATATACTTCGCCAGGCTACGACTAACACCCGTGTTTGCTCACACTTTCAGACCCAGTTGGCCATACCTACGCGATCACCCATCGCTCCTGACCATGAAACCCGCGTACTCGACTGCCCCATCACGGCCGACGAGGTCCGCCAAGCGCTACGTCAACTAAATAACCGCCGAGCGTCTGGCCCCGACGACATCCCAGCCGAGCTCCTCAAATATGGAGCTGATGAGCTGGCTCCGCGCCTTGCTACTCTGCTGAACAAAAGTTTTGAACGTGGAGAACCTCTCGACCCGGGGCAAGCACGCTGCTGTGCCTCCCTAAGCCGAACAAACCGCGCGGGGCATGCTCAAGTCTCCGCCCAATCGTCATCCTAAACAGCATCAGGAAAGCTGTCTCGCTAGTTGCACTCCGGCGGATCTCCCCAGCAGTAGACCGCTTTCTGTCGCCCAACCAGAGCGGCTTCAGAAAAATACGCAACACCGCTGACGCGGTATGGACACATCGATGGCTTTGTGCCCGGGCCCAACGCTACCAAGAAAATATTCACGTCCTCGGCGTCGACCTCTCCAGGGCATTCGACACTATCGACCGGCAGCGGCTTCTCTAGGTTCTGGAGACCTTCCTGACCCGTGATGACGTCCGACTTATCCGGACGCTCCTGACTAACACCACGCTGGCACTTCGAGCAGGGTCCAAAACGCTCGCTCCATTCAAGAGTAATACGGGCACCCCTCAGGGCGACTCACTCTCGCCAATGTTATTTGTAGTTTACTTAGAGGCAGCTCTTAGAGATGTAGCTAGAGAACTAGATGTCCCATTCCAGCTCCTGGAGCAAATGGTGGTTTACGCAGACGACGCAGACTTCATCTGCCGCGACTCGGCAGTGGTCGACCTCATCCTCGAGCGCGCACCGGCGATCCTCGCGCGATGGTCGCTCCAGATGAATGTTTCCAAGACCGAGCTTACAAGGATTCAACGGCACGTCCGACCAGCAGGCGAAACCAGACACACCCGAGCCGCGAAGGAGACATGGCGATCAACTAAAATGCTCGGATCACTACTCGGCGATGCCGAAGATATCAACAGACGAAAAGTCACTGGCAACAGCGGCCCTCAATCGGCTCTGGGCGGTGTGGCTGCGACTGCACGTCACGACGGACAAGACCAGGATTCGCCTCTACAACTGCTACGTGTTGCCGGTTCTACTCTACAACAGCGGGACCTGTGCTCTGACGCAGTCAGAGCTCCACAGCCTGGAGAGCTTTCACCGTCGGCAGCTACGCAACGTACTCAACACCCGCTACCCTCGCCACGTCTCCAATCAAGGCCTCTACGAGATCTGCAACGAGCGGCCGCTCCGACACCGGATCACGGCGTCCAGGTGTGGCCTCTTTGGCCACATCCTGCGGCGCCCTGAGATCCCGGCGTACGTTCAAATGGCGGCCTACTTTGCTCCGAGCGATGCAGCTAAGTGGCGCGGCCGACCGCGCACAACGTTGCCTCTAGTACTGGACGCAGACCTCGTTTCAAGTGGCTCCGGATACCGACTGCGCTGCGCGCGCGATCTTGACGAACTTGGACAACTAGCACTGGACAATACAAGATGGAAGACACTCATGACATCAATCCTCGACTCGCTGCCTGCAGCGGGAGACCCGACATATGCGGACACCACTCTATGCCGCCGACTAGCAAAATTGAGTCTAGCGCAGGTATAACTTCGGCTACGCGAAAATGTATCTCATTTCATTTCATTTCCTATAGTGGCACTTGTTAGTTTGGGAAAATCATTAGCATCTTCAACAACCCAAAATGAACTTGACAGCTTTAGTTGAATTTCAGGCCAACTTGCTGGGCAAAAGTGTATTTGGCCAGGCAAAGGTGTAATTTAAAATTAACAAGGTTGCTGGGCTTTGGCTCGGAGATCATTTTCTACTTGTACTTTTGTCCTGGAAGTGCAAGTTTTGCATGGTTACTTAAAACAAAAATGTTCAGATGCAGCCCTCTGTGATGCAGATGCGCCACAACCTAAAACTATCTAAGTGAAGTGGTTGGGCGCCTATCGCGGGCTCATATCCTAGAGATCTAGCAATACGACCACCGTAGGCGGAGATACAGCAGTGCGCGTCTCCGGGAGTAGGTAGCCGACTAAACCGCAACAAATACAAATATCTAAGTAAAGTAGACGTGCGTACTTCTAATAGACTTTGTATAAAATCCGTTGCATATTCTTTAGTGGCCGCGTTGGGACTTAAGCCACACACCTGCAGCTTTTGGGAAGCCCCTCACAATTCTTGCAGTCGAAGGCAAGCAGATGCAGGAGATGTCCGTGGGGGAATAGCGGGGAGAGATCGGTAACTACGAAAGGTTTTTCGAGCTAGCCACACGGGCCAAAGCACGTAACCCGGCGGCGTTTAAAGCGAAATAAGGAAGTCGTGACGATACACTGTCTACTGCAATCAGCACAATACATTTTTTGTTTCGTGAATGTCCATGTAGTACCATGAAAATTATCACTAGTACAGTACCAATCTCCTGAAGCAGGCAATGTTACTGCTCCTTTAGGATGCGTCCGCTTTCCAGTTCAATTATCGGCGATAATTTATCGCTGTTAGCAACATCTCTAGGTAAAAGTTTGGAGTTATCCCATACAAACTATTATTTCGGTAGTACTATTAGAACTACATACCCGAACGGAAACTCTCAAAAGCCTGTTTACTACCTTAAAACTTCTGATGAGCAAAGTTTTTCGCTGCTCTTTGCACACGCTCCGACTCCTGGACGTTACCTGCACTGTGAATACATTTCGTGACGAATTAAAATTTGTGAGGCTGGTAAACCAGCAAGCTGGTATAAGTGGCTTCTGACTCCGTGTGGGCGAGTTGTGGAGACCTACATTTGTACTGCAGCTACATGTAGTAATGCCAACGAAAGTGGCGTTAAAGGAAGTAGTCATGCACACATCCTCCCCGGTGCTAGCAGACGTCCGCATCCTCGGGGCGACACCGGAAGCCCTGCACAATCTCCATGTCGTGCAGCGCGCGCCGCTCGGGCGGAGGAAAGAACCACGACGCCCGCATGCCGTCTGTCCCGCAGATGACACTCAGATGCCGCTCCAGTGTTGACTGCGACTTGTCGCCGCCGCGGCGGGCCGAGAGCTGGTTGGCGATCATCGTGAACAGTGGGTCCTGATATATATTGTACAGCTCCATGGCCAGCATGAGCGAGCAAAAGAGCCCGAACACGGCCGCGGCCGCAAGGATCCAGCCGCCCAACTTGCCCGGGAACTGGTCGTTCTGCAGGCCGCACGAGTACTTGCCCCGCGAGCACATGATGTACTGCATCAGCACCAGCAGCGCCGCCTGCACACTCGTGGCCGTCACGTACAGCAGCATCAGCAGGAACGCCTTCTGGTTGCCGATGCCCACGCAGTTGTTCACCCACGGGCTGCAACAGACAAATGCACCGTCAGCCACGGCGCGATAACTATAAAACACACCCAAGCACATCCGTACCAATGATGGTCTTGCAGTACGATGCACCGCTCGCACGTGTGACAGTGCATTGCCCTGTACATCACATCACCATCAGTCCACAAAACACCCAGCTTCATAGCCTTCGCCATTGTTGCCTGCACCTTGTCGGTCGGTAGATCTCGCACTCGTCGCAGTAGATGAGCAGCGAGCCGTCGTCCTCCGTCTCCTCGTACTCGTTGAGAAGCATCTCCTCCTCCACCTCCTCCACGTCTTCGCCTTCCTCCAATTCCTCCTCCTCGTCGCTGCTAGCTCCAGGCGGCGCCATCCCCTTGAGCTTGAACGGCACCGTGCCCGGGTTGCTGGTGGCCACCACGACGTGGCACCAGAGGCACATGGCGAAGAGCCCCGTGAACCAGAGGCCCTCGGTCGCCCCCATGAGCGACAGCAGCCCCACCCACTGCGAGATGGACGTGAGCACGGCCCCCAGCAGCGCGAAGAGCAGCACCCACGCGAAGGCCGCGATGACGATGCCCGCCGGGTCCCACACGAACCACAGCGGGCGCTTCCGGGCGTGGCGCGACGGCGGCATGGAGGGAAAAGTCTTTGTGAGACGTTCGGCACCTGAACCTTAGTCTTTTTGGGACAGATGCGACCACCAAAACGTTGAAGTAACTTGCTTTGGTTGACGGGCTGGCGAAGCTTTGTCTTCAACCATTGTTGTGAGTGACATTACAAGAACGAGAGTCGTTGAAGGTCTGGATCGGCACCGCTGTGAAGGCATGAAGGAACTGCCTGTTCATGAAATAGTTGCTGGGAGCGACTGACCACGCAAAGCATGGAGAATGGTTTACAGATCTGGATACTTGTACGTCGAACGCCACTGGCGAAATCTTCTCCTTTAACCGTCGAAGGAGCCAAACCGCTACGACGCAGGTGGATATGTCTCGGACCCGCGCCATCATTGCTGATGCCCAGGGCATGCCTTCCGCTAAAACAGATGTGTAGGCGATACCGAGGGATCCGAGCACGCAGACTGCTGCGAGTCTGAAGAGTTCTCTCGCCCAGCCAACAGGAAGGAAACTGCGAGCCTATGCTTGGTGGCAGTTGTGGATAACTTACCAGACAGCAACAACATCGGACTTGCTGCCGAGGCCGTAGCCATGGCCGGCGACTTCCTCGATGACGTTTGGCTACGAAAGTACATGCTGCACCATCCCAACCCACCTTAAACTCTAGCACACGATACCACACGGTTCCCTGTCACTTGAGTACCATGGAACAATGTTGGGTTTTAGTATGCTTACTATGCAATAACCTTTTCTATTTCATACCTACAAGTTGTTATCACACATCCATTCCCACAAGTCCCTCTCATAACGGATTCTCCGCGCGGTTCTGTGCACCATTTTGTCGCCACTTTGACTGGCGACTCGAGTGAACGACACCCCGCATTCGCGTCACGAGTCCGTCGCCGCCAGTCCCGGTTACTTCAGTTATTACCTCTCCTTGCAGGCAGCGCAGCGTCCTCTACCGACGTCGCCTCCAATTGACACCAGCCAACGCGCCTGCCTTCCCCTGCCGGCAAGTGGATGACGAACTCGCTGCGTTAGTCGCTGCCAACCGTTACTCTCGCCGTTTCACACTTGTCTGTCACCGCCACCAAATGGCTTCACTCACGAGCGACGCCAAGTCCTCGGGCGTGTGGCTCAAGAGCTCGTCCAAGTCCATGTCGCTCTCGCCCGAGGAGCTGTCGCTGAGCCTGGACTCGCTGCCCGCGGAGCTGCGCGGCGACCCGCTCGTGCTGCTGCACGCCGCGCTGCCGCCCGACCCCTTCGTGCTGGGCGAGCGCCGCGAGTACGGCTTCTACGGCCTCGAGCCGGACGGCGCGCTGCGCCCCGGCGGTCAGGTGCCGCTGCTCTCCAGACGCACAGTGGGGCTGCTGTTCAACTACGCGAGCATCGGCGCGCTCTACGGCGGCCTCAACAGCGTCGTCGTGCCCTTCCTGAGCCACTACCTGGAGCTGGAGCAGTACCAGGTGCGCGGGGCGTCGACTATGATCAACGCGGCGTGGAACTTCAAGGCTTTTGGCGGACTGTTGACGGACAGCTTGAGGATATGCGGCTACAGGAGGAAGCCGTACTTGATTGGTGGGTGGTCGTTGTGCCTGGTGAGTCTGCTGTACCTCGGAGTGAGTCGAATGCCCGCAGCGGGGAATACGGACGCGGCGTGGAGATATGTGCTGTTCTTGACGCTGGGGACGATCGGCTTCTTCTTGGCGAACGTGGCGGCGGATGGAATTGTGGTGGAGATCGCGCAGCGAGAGCCGTTGCCCTCGCGCGGACACACGCAGGTGTCGATCTACGTTGCGAGGACGATTGGGTTCATCGTCATGGATTTATTCGTCGGTGCAACGCTACATGGACCAGCGTATGGAGGAACGTTCTCGTGGTCGCTGAGCTTGAGCCAGGTCCTGTTGGTGCAGGCTGTGTGTGCGGCGGTGTCACTTGTGGGCTCCATTTGGCTCCTGCACGAAGACCCGGCGGCGCAGACAGTGCCGGTTTTCTCCTTCACTGGCGTCGTCTCGTGCCCTGTAGGACCTGGAAGACAGCATCCAGATACGGCACGTCTTGACCCTTCGCTGGGCTTTGCCGCGCGCTGCCAGATCATTTGGAGACTTCTCCAGAGCCGCGCCATGTGGCAGTTCTTGATATTTGAATTCATTGCGAGTTTCTGCGTGACGATTGACTCGAGCGCAGCCCCGGCGATTGAAGCTAACTGGGTCGATGTCGAGGTGTGGCCGAAGACTGTTGCCTCAGCTGTGTGGTATGTGGCGTTTGTGGGCGGGTTGCTCGCGACTCGGCGCTTCCTGGTGCGCGGAGCTTGGGGACACCTGTTCTGCATTGCAACCTTTTGGGCGGTGGGTGTAGAGGTGATCACGGTGGCGTGCACAGTGTTTCATGTGGTGAGGAGGCGGGGTTTCTGGCTGTATATGCCAGTGTTGGCAGCACCGGCAATGGCTCTACGTTTCATGGTCTTGGTGTTCCCGATTGTTGAACTGGCCCCGCGTGGGATCGAAGCCACCACTTATGGTCTGGTCATCACGTTCCGTAACATGGCTATTTCTCTGGGGACGACGGTGTACAAAGCTATTGACTCGCACTTCTCCGTCTCCGACGAGGCCGTCCACAACGACTCCGAGTCCACGCGCATGCAGGTCACCTACACGTACCTTATCGTGTGGGCTTTCCAGCTCTTCAGTCTCGCTTTCATTGGCCTCCTTCCCCGTCAGAAGCTCGAGGTGCAGCAGCTGCGTTACTACGGAGGCTACAGCACTTCAGGCGGGTGGTTCGTGATCATCGTGCTATTCAGCGTCCTTATCTACATATCCACCGTGAACGTGATGTCACTATTCAAGAGTACGTCTTGCCTACGGATGACTGGGGGCTCTGGCTGTTAAAAGCCGAGGGATCAACGTTCATGTGAATGTCTGTCTGACGTGGAGTGAAAGAATGAATACCGCTAGGAGTGCGTGACACAATGATAAGCAGATCCAACCTTGCTGGAGAACTATGCACGCCTTCTACCGCTGATTCAGCGAGCAGAATGGCCGTGGCTGAGATCAAGTAATTAAATCTAGTAAATAGTGTGATAATTTATCTCCCGACTACGAAGCCTATAGAAAGACAAGTGGTCATCGAATGCATTATCCTTGGAGTCATCCAAACAGTAGAAGGAAAGCACTGCAAACGAAGTTGAAGTATCCTTCTATTCCTTATTCACGATCCACAATAACGCTATCGTCGTCACGATAAGGAATCACTCGAAAGTAAACGTGTCGAAGCACAGGCGGTGCCGCAAATGCGAAAATGTTAAGCAGTACAAGCTGGTCCAGCTCACCGATAGCAGACCCGTTGCGTCCCACCTGAAGTTTCGTCTTCTTGATCTTCACTGAAGACGTCCGGTGAAATGAAATGACGCTTAGAAACGCTGATTTGGTCCCCGTCGATAACTTCATTCCGCGATTGATCAGCTCAAGGTGATACTTCTCAAAATCGGCGGCGAAACGTTGGTGTTAAGCTGTGAGACCGACTTCGAGTCGCTCCAAATTGCTGTTCGCGTTCAGCACTCTTGCTAGGGCCTGCAACTCGCTGTCAAGACGGGAAAAATGACGGCCACCCCGGGCGCTATAATCACCATCGAAGAAGTTGAGATGCAGTTTACGAAGGCTTTTGGCCACTGGTCCGCTCGCATCGCTTAGTAAGCCGGAGAGTGCTACAACATCACCCCAATCAACCTTTAGACCGGAGTTGAGGTCACACCGCTGCCCCAGTTCTGAGAAGATAAACTGCGCGCTCATCGTATCGCCCGACAGCGCAAGTTCATCCAGTTTTGGGCAGCATTCAAAATTTTTAGCGATATTCACCTCTGAGTTCACCCCGCCGACCTCCAAATACCGCAGTGACGCCTCTACTGCTGCTAGAAGTCGGAGTAGACCGGCCACACCCGACGGTTTAGATCCCTGAAAGCCCGATCTAAGGCAGCGTGGCCGTACCTCACGCGCCTGGGCTTCATAAAATACCAAGTCATCCCGCTGAACTTGGCATCTCCCCAATCCAGGCACCATCACGTCCACCCATCTACTCTCTCCATCGTCGCTAAAATCCAAGACAAATTTTTTTTTTGATATCGGTGATGGAAATGTTAGCGGGCGTGAGCTCGTCACGGGTTGACCATTCTCATCAAATTGCCAGCGGACCGGAGCCCCACTGGTCAACATCGCATCTCTTTCCTCCTTCACTCCACGAGGAAGGCCACAGAGAAGTTCTTCAGGATGGTCGGACTCAATTATTGCCAGCATTTCGTCCACGTTCTCAACAGAAAGCCCTCCGATTGAACGCAGTGAAAACGATTCCAATGAAGAACAAGCCCGCGCTCTCTTTGAAAATAGCGCGTGAGCCAGCCACTTTTACATTTGCGTGCTGACAAAGATAACAGGGTCATGACGTGCCAGCAAGGCGTCCATCCAGTCCATTTTGAAACTCAGCTGAAGTTTCTTCTTTGTCTGATTTCGTACCAGAGCAGAACACATCCCCTCAAAGTGTTGCGTACGCGGTGATTCTTTCCAGCATAGCCGGACTGTTTCCAGCTGAGACTTCTGCTCCTGAATCAAGCTAAAGGCCGAAAGGTAGCTGGTGTTTGCCAGAGCGGGGCTACGGCGAGCGCTGTCAAATAGTCGAGACATTAGCTGGCCTAAATCTTCTTCAAAGCGCGCGAATTGGCCAATAATTCCGGTTTGACAGTCATCGACAGCATTATTTGCGAGAACCAGACATTACGAGCCACCATACTATCCAGCGCCTGTGCCAACTCGGAGCTAATCTTGTATTTCTCGTAGCTTGCAATCATGGGCTCCAGCACAAACCTGCACCGCATGGCTCCAGATGGTACAACGATGGCCTCAGAGTCCCTTTCAAACGCTTCCCACTCCCTCTTGATCCGCTTTTCAGCATTTCTGATATCCGCGAGCTCTTCCATCACACCGCCGGACGACCCACGCCCGTACACGCGGAAGTACACTCGGATTGGGATCTTGAGGTCCACCCCTGGCTTGTCCGGGCGTGAGTTCGAGTCCAAAGCCGCAATTCTCGCTAATGTCTTAACATACTTATCACTGGGATTCCTGATTTGATCGACGCCGAGGAACCGCACCAGCACATCCTCGTACGTCGCCGTGCGCTCGTTATTCCTCCCTTCCAGAAACAATTCTAGCAGGAACCGCGCCGATACATGCTCTTCAAACGCACGGTCCGGATCTCGACCCACGAATGCACCGCAGTGCTTCATGAGCAAGTACGCGCACGCGCTGTTGTCCACGTGAGCCACCGCTGCCATTAACTTGAGCGCCTCCATCAGGACCAACCGGGCACGTCCGCATTCCTGATTAGATACCTGCACCTGGAGATTCGGCACACGGCCAGTATTTGCCCACATATCCCCATGAACTCCGTGCAGATTGATGTCGATCAGAAGGGATCATGAACCCCCAGCGCTGCTCCATGTCCAAGAAAAGTATCTTAGTGTGCGCATACATAAATCACGAGCTTTCTGATGATGGTACAGATTACGCGCGTGGCGGTACGTCTACCGACCTACATTGAAGTGAAGTGCCATTCTGGTGCACGAGCTGAACGGTACGCGACGCACCGCTAGCGATTTTGTCTGAGTCATCCGAAATTGCTGGCGGCATTGGCTCTGGTAATTGGGCTCTGGGTCGACTCGCCCTTTCCTTTCGACGAAAAAAGCTTTTGCTTTCGAGCCTCACTCAGCAATTTGCAGCGTCCTCGAGCAATCCAACGCGCCAGCCAGCCAGTAGCAGCAGCAATGGAGCCGTTAAACTCCACGCCAGCGCGGAAGCTGTCGCTGAGCTCTGTCCAATTGACGCCTCGAGTACGGGAGCTCTCGTCCCGGTTGCCCTCGCCCGGCGAGTCTCCTCGCTGCGTGTTCGTCCAGGTGAACAGACTGCAAGAGGACACGAGTGAGCAGCACTATGACCTACCAGTCGACCCCAAGCAGTTCGACCGAGCCACGAGCATCAAGCCCAGCAGCATGCTGCGACCGCACATGCGCATCTTCTACCTGTCGTGGATGTCGGCCATCACGGGCTTCTTCGGCTGGTACGCCATCCCGCCGCTCATGCCGGTGATCAGGACGGAGCTCGGACTGACCGACGGTCAAGTGCTCAACTCGGACATCGCCAGCACAGCGAGCACCGTCTTCTCGCGCATTGCGTCGGGCCCGCTGCTGGACCGCTACGGTCCTCAGGCAGTGCAGAGCGCCGTGCTGTGGCTCGGAGCCATCCCGATCTTCTGCGCTGCGTTCGTCAACTCGGCCACGACGCTTCTGGCCGTGAGGTTCTTCGTCGGCCTCGTGGGCTGCGTCTTCGTCACGAGTCAGTACTGGACGACCATCACGTTCGCGCGCAACGTGGCGGGCGCGGCCAACGCCATCACGGGCGGCCTGGGGCTCTCGGGCATCGGCTTCGCGTTCCTGCTGCTGCCGTTCGTGTTCCAGGCCATCACGTCAAGCGGACACGTCTCGGACGACCTGGGCTGGCGCATCACCATCGCGCTGCCGGCGGTGCTGATGATCACTATGGGTGTGGTGATCCGCTTCGCAGTGGACAGCTGCCCCACCGGGAACTTCCAAGAGCTCATGAGCAAGAAGCGGCAGGCCGAAAACCCAAATGGAGATGACAAGCAGCCTCCGAGCTTGTTGCAGTCGTTCAAGATTGTGTTGTCGGACCGGAACGTGCTCGTTATGATCGCGCACTACGCGGCGTGCTTCGGTACCGAGCTGCAGTTGAACAACATGGGCGCCCTCTACTTCTACAAGGGGTTCACCAAGAAGGGCTGCACCGACAGCATGTTCTGCTCACTACTGTCCAAGACGAGCGCGGCTACGGTGGCGTCTTCTTTCGGACTGATGAACTTGTTCGCACGCGCGGTGGGAGGTTTGACGTCTGACGCTGTCAACCGCCGACTGGGTATGCGCGGCCGGCAGTACGTGCAGTTCGCGCTGCTGTGCGTGCTCGGGGCTTTCGTGATGGCGCTCAGCCGATCGCACTCACTCGGGCTATGTATCGCGTTCTACGTGCTCGTAGCTATCGCGGCGCAGGCGACGGGTGGCTCGACCTACGGCATCGTCCCGTATCTGAACGAGCACCATACAGGCACAGTCAACGGCCTAGTCGGCGCAGGAGGCAACATGGGCGGAGCGCTCTTCGGCGTCATCTTCCGCGTCACGGGGTCGTACAGCACGGGGCTGTTCTACATGTCGATCTTCATCTTCAGCTGCGCTCTACTCACGCCGCTGCTGAGGTTATCGCACCTCAACCACCACCACAACATCAGTGCAGCCGACGCCGCCAGTGATCACTCTGAGCATGGACCGAGTACCAGCACGGCAGCCAAGCCGTACCTCGAAAGCGAACCACTCGAGGCTAGCGAGGTGCAATACCACCGAGCGCCATAATAAATACGTTTACCGCGCAGTGGGTTTTGAACTAGCTCCTAGTATCTCCAATTGAAATACCTGCGCGTGACTTGTCCTGAACTGAAAACGCTAGCAGCGCCGAGCCTGCTACTGAATCGTTCAACCGGGTTTCGAAAGACGGTGTGTTAGCACAGTTTAAAAAGCTGATGGAAGCTGCACTTGCTTGAACTGCAGACCGGCGGTGGTGTATGGAGGTAGAAAGTGAGCAATAACGGATGTGACCCATCGACATGAAAGTGAAGGACGACTTGGAAAAGAAGTCGACGGTGATTTCCTGAAGCGGTCAGTTGTGCATCGATTCCTGCTTTTCCTGTAGATGTGACAGAACGTTGGAGCGAGCTCAGCCTAGTAGTAGGACCTTATCTTACTAAGCTTCTCTCCTAACTCGTAGTTAGCTGGCAGCTTCCTTTTCTTCGCTTGACCCCAGTCCCCGACCTCGACGAAGAGAACCACCCTGCCTGCCCCGTTTTCCTTTCGAGTGTCATGATGAGAGATGCTGCTCACAGAAGATCTCGCTTCCATCAGCTCCTGAAATGGTTGCAGCTCAGATTCTTTTGTTACGCGGTAAAACTCGGCGCATTGCAGCTTCGTATTCTCCAGAAGCCCAGCAGGAGTCCCTGAGAAAGCAGACTCGAGTGTCAATCCATGCAAGGCAGCGATGCCCGGTTCTCCATCGGCATTTGCCGCCACGTCCGCCGGAGAAGATCTTCTGGTGAAGTAAGTCTTCTGCAGCGTCTTCACAACCACAAGGTGAATTGTCGAGTTTGGAGCACCAGCGAGAACACCTTCAAGATCCTTCAGCGAAACCGCACCGCAACGATCGAATACGACGCCCGAAAGGATCCTTTGGTCATTCTCAGCAGTCGACTTGGCCTCAAAATCCAGTAGCTTCGACCGTGGTGTGCACAGTAAGTTGGCGAATTGAGCAGGACTATCCTTCCAGGTCTCCAAAAACGCTTCCGGCCAACGCGTATGCGGCGTAGACAGGAACGGAACTGTCACTGCGTTCACACTGTGGTCCATCTCGACACCATTCGTAGTCCGGCGTGGAGGGAAGTCTACGATCGTGTCAGCCCGTTCAGCCACGCCCAGCTCATACAACAGTCTGCCCAAGAAAGCCGGCAACTTCACCCCATAAAAGCCGCCGACGTGGCTTGCAACGCCAATAGCAGCACTCACTTGAGCACTGAGGCGCGTACATGTACTCGCTTGCGAAGGTCTGCAGATATTTTTCGGATCGTCCAAGAACGGATGCTGTAGAATCCGATACAGTGGGGTCTTCGTCGGACGCAGTACGGCTTCGCAACCCCAGTGCCGAGAGGGAAGCTGCACGTGGTCCCCCCCCGTCAGCGTCAGATAAAGCAGCAAGTCCTTCTCCATCTGCGGGAACTCACAACGGCCCTCCCAGTCCTTCCCCTTCTTCAGCAATCGGCCTGCGCCACTTAGCTCGAGCTCGAAGGGCTCCCGCTCTTCAAAGCATGCGAAGTGGCTATCGACCAGGTCGACACATCTGTCGACCACTTTGTAGCTGGATCCGATGAGCAAACAGGCCTGACCGAGCTCAAACTCTTGTGGCCGTCTCCTCTCTTTGAAAGCTCGGAACCGTGGGGCCAGGTGTGCCGTCATGCGGGTCAGATACTCAAGCCGATCGACCGCGTTTTCTCCCGTGTAAGGGTTCTTCTCCACGTAGTGCCAAGCTGATTCAACGAACAACGGACGACTGTGCTGGAAGATCCACATTATCTCACTGGGTATTTGCTCGTCTGCGTGGCGGATAGCAAGAGTCGGGAGTGAAGGGACCACCTCACACCATGGAGTTCTTTGCCCAAACTCCGACGTCACTCTCGAGCGCTCACCAACCGACTGAAGAGTTCGCGCAGTGCCGTTAGTCGAACTGGTGACGACCAACAGTCCGAATGAGCGGAACACGTTGCGCATCGACCGGATCTCCTTCTCACGAAGCTGGCGCTGCTGGCCAGTCAGAAGGGAACCGACTCGAGGAAACTCGTCCAGGAAGAAGACAAAGGGCTTGGCGTTGCGCTGTTGCCGCTGGCGAAGAACCTCCTCCACATCAGCACGCGTAGCTTCGCCCTGGCACGAGTCGTCACCTCGCAGAGCTGCTACGATGAAGGCATACAGGTGCAGGCGTATGCTGGTTTGGAACTCGGCCACAGAGCCCTCTCGCAGGACCCCCACGTCGAAGTTGATACACGCCAGGAAGGACATCGTCCGACTGCGAAAGGATCGGTACACAGACTGCTCCATGTCCCCTGGAAGCGTGCACAAGACGTAAAAGACGTCAAACACTCCACTCGCAGTCAGGTTGAACGCCATTTGCGTCTTGCCGGTGCCTGACGAGTTCTCCAGCACGACGAAGCGCCCATTACCAGACTGGTCCACGCGCTCGAGCGTTGCTTCCATCGCCGCCACACCCTCGGATCGCTTGAGGCGTTCAGCAACAATGGCGTAGGCCTGGAAGGCTGCAGCGTGAGGCTCATCAATGGCCATAGACAGCACGACTTCTTGCGCTCGCGTCGCACCCGGTTGCTTCGCGTCCGGAATCTCCACGACGACCGCCTTCTCTCTCGAGCTGCCAAGTCCTTCAACAAGGGCGTCAGCGTCCAATGGTTCGGCGTGCGAGTCGTACGCCTCTCGAGTCTCGAAGACTAGCAGTCGATTCACGGCGACGACATCTGTGAGGAGGCAGTCTCGATGGATCTTGCGGCGGAGATCGTCCAACAGCGTCTCGTGGTCGGCAAGCTGCGCGATAGCCGCCGCCGTGTGCTTCGGGCGCCGGCGCGTGCTTTGCTCCACCAAGTCGTACCAAACCTCCGTCCCCATGGCCTGCTGTCAACTAGGCAAGTTCAGGAATGGGCGGTTAGTTTTTCGATTCGCTCGGTGAAGTGCATCTTGTTAGCATTTGACACGGATGGGTTGGGCTGAAAGATGGACAAGACTGCCGATTTTCCGTTCTTGCAAGCCAACGACGGAGTGGTGTACGGAATCGAGGAAAACCTGGCTGGGGCAGGACGTGTCCTGACAGTGGCAGGCAGCACCACGAGAGCCCAACCGCAGAATGACCACCATCGTTGGGATCGCCATGTACCAGATGTGCCGGTACATCAGGTCGGATTTGGACCCCTCGCGGCGTATCTTCGCTAAGCTTATGCGGCTGCTGCCCGCCTACTGCGTGCGGCTCAACGGCTCGGCCCTGTCGACTGCGCAATGCACGCAGCTCGTCGCTCTGCAAGGTATACGCACACTATCCGTAACACTAGGCAATAATGGAAGAGTCTAAACGTATAGGTGTCAATGTATCAATGTATCAATGTGCAGGGTCTCAGCTGATTCTTCTGCTGCTGAGCATGAGGCGGGTGCTGCAGCTCGCAGGAAGACGGACGCGCTCCTTACGTTGCTGGTCGGAGCTCGACGCCGTGCTGTTCGTGCTGCATTTGCTGCTGGTTATTGGCGCCGCGGCCTGCTCGGTGGCTGTGGCGGGTGTCGCCGCTCTCCATCACTCGTCGGCGTCGTTGGTAATTGGAGCGAGCGTCGCGGCGGCGGCCTGGGTCTTCTACGCCGCGGGGGTTTTGTACGAGTTCCTGCAACATAAGAGGAGCTGCAAGCTCGTCGTGCTGTTCGTGGTGATCGTGGGCGTGGAGGAGCTCGCGATGAACATGGAGAGACTTGAGTCTGATCCCTTGGTGCTGACGCTCGTGGGTTGGAAGGCTCTAACTGCGGCCTCTGTGGCCGCATTCGCACTGCTTCGGGTGCTGGTGTATCAAGTGAAAGATGAAGAAGACGGAGGGATGTACGAGGTGCTGAAGGACAAGAAGATGCACGTGGTGATGGAGAGTCCACTGGACCGCGTCGGGTGGCTCTCGCAGTTCTCGTACCATTGGATCTCGCCGTTCATTGCGTTGGGCAAGAAGCACAGACTGGAGATGGAAGACGTACCGAACCTCCCAGTTCGAGACGACACGGCAGTCGCTGCGAAGCTGTTCGAGACTGAGCTACAGCGTGAATTCAATGAGTACCGTCCCTCAGAGAGGTCCTTCTTGCGCGTCTCGCGGCGCTTGTACGGCGCCGATGTGATGGTCTTCGCCGTGTGGTCGACGGCCAACAAAGCCATAGGGCTCGCGAGTCCGTTGCTACTCAAGCTCTTCTTGGACTGGGCTGGGTCGTCGGACCCGTCGCTCTCGACAGGCTACTACCTCGCTGCGGCGATGGTGGGGAGGTCCGTCCTCTCAGCAGTCTCAGGAACGCAGTACAACCTGGCGTGGAAGAGGTTCGACTTGCGCGTGCGCGCCGGCTTAGTGTCTGCGATTTACGCGCGCACGCTGCAGCTATCAGGGCAGGGGAAGAGACGAGCTGGAGGACTGGGACGCATCACGAACCTGCTGTCCGTTGACGTCGGGCGCATCGTTGGCATGCCCAACACGTTGTTCGACATGGTGCTGATCCCTGCGGAGATCGCGGTGGCGCTCATTCTGCTGAGCCAGGCGGTCTCGGTCGCCTTCGTGGCGGGGATCGCCGTCCTGGCGGTCATGCTGCCGCTGCAGACTGTGCTGGGGCGCAAGATCCAGCGAATCACTGCGGACATGATGCGCTTCCGAGACGAGCGTGTTGGTCTCGCAGCAGAGAGCTTGAAGGCGATCCGCACGCTGAAGTTGCTGGGGTGGGTTGTGTCAAGGCTGGAGGCCATGAGCAAGAGCCGTTCGCTTGAAATGGGGAGGCTGCAGGTGCGCAAGTACCTGGACGCCTTCTGCGTGTTCTTTTGGGCGTCTACACCGGTGATCGTGCAGGTCTCAGTCTTCGCCACTGCGGTCTTCTCGGGGCGTGACATCTCGGCTGCAGACGCCTTCACGGCAATCGCTCTCTTGGATCGCCTGATCTTCCCGATGAACTATTTCCCGTGGATCATCAACGGGTTCCTTGAGGCGCGTGTGTCAGCGCTTCGTATTCGCGGCTTCCTCTTCGACAGAGAAGACGAGAACGTAGCTCAGATCACGAACAACTACGAGCCTCCTTCTGCCTCTACAGAGTCAGCAGCAGAGAGAAACCAAATTGTATCAATTCGCGATTGCGAGTTCGGGTGGAGCTTGATAAAGGCCGACAGCGGCGACGAAGATGATGGATCAAGCGCCGAGACCCCTCTCCTGGTAGGGGATACCCCGCTATCACCCTCAAGGATGGCTAATCCCTTCGTGCTGCGGATCAACGAGCTGGACTTGAAACCCGGGTCGACGTACGTGGTGTGTGGCCCTGTCGGCGCTGGGAAGTCGTCCCTGTTACTTGCATTGTTGGGCGAAATGCCTCTGCGGTCGAGCCCGTACAGCGATCCTGCTACTGTTTACAAGAACCAAAACGCCTCGCGTTGCTCGTATGCCCCCCAGAGTCCATGGCTTTTCCGTGGAAGTGTCCGAGCAAACGTAACTTTGTCCAATAATGAGCATGAAGACGTTGGCGGTAAAGACGACGGCGTCGATGACGCTCGATACGAGCGCGTTCTTCGAGCGTGCGAGCTTAACGTGGATCTCCGCAGAATGAGGCCTCCGTATAACGTCTCCGAGAGCGGGAGTAACTTCAGTGGGGGTCAGCGTGCCCGAATCAACCTCGCACGAGCTCTCTACCAGCGAGCAAACCTTTATTTGTTGGATGATCCACTCAGTGGGTTGGATATGACCACAGCGAGCAAAGTGGTCACGAACTGCTTCATGTCGGGCTCCAGTATATTCCCTGCAGATGCTGCTGTAGTTATCGTGACACACTCGCTGCATCTTCTGCCTCTTTTCCCTACGGACGCGCAAATCGTCGTCATGGACGAAGGAAACATCATTGAGCAAGGAACTTACAACAGTTTAAAGGCACCAGACCCTCCAAGTCGTCTGATGACGCTGATGAAGAGCTCTCTTCGTGGTGACCACGCGGAGGACATTTCCGATGGCGATTCCACGCCAAAATCCGAGCAGGAAACAGAGAAGTACGAACAAGCGGAAGATGAAGCGGAGTCGAAGTTGACAAGCCAGAAGGAAGAGGCCCCAAAGGAGTACGAAGAGGAGCATCGAGAGTCTGGGGTGGTGGACTGGCACGTCTGGAAATCCTATTCATTGTCCGTAGGCTGGGGTCTCTCGGTCGTGATTCTGCTATCTGTAGCGGCCATGCAGGTCTCACGCAACTCTCTCGACTGGTGGATCGCTGTGTATACGAACGGGAAGCACTCGATTAGCCCGCGAGAGTTTGCGATGGTCCTGCTGTACATCGCGGGAGCGAACATCGCTGCCGTATTTTTCCGGTCATTTCTGTTCGCGTATGGAGGTCTGCGTGCAGCCCGCGCCACGTACAACAAACTGGTACGCAGCGTGTTCGCAGCTCCTCTTCGGTTCTTCGAGCGTACTCCCACGGGACGTGTGCTGAATCGATTGAGTGGAGACACCTACGCCGTTGATGAATCGCTGCCGTTCCTACTCAACATCTTCCTGAAGGACGCGGCGGACGTGACGGGGGCTCTTGTGATCCTCTTCTACGGGAACCGCTTGGTGCTGGTGCTGCTTGTCCCGTTGAGTGTGCTCTACTTCCACTTGCAGCGAGATTATCGCCCCAGCTCGCGCCACCTCAAGCGACTGGACGCAGCGACGCAGTCACCACTGCTGGCCATGTTCACCGACACTTTAGACGGCCTCACCGTGATTCGAGCGGCGCGCAAGCAGCGACAATATGCCCATGGCTATGGCGTGTGCTTGAATCGCAGTCAGCGAGTCTCGTTCCTCAGCTCCACCACTGGCGCTTGGTTTGGGCTGCGCTTGGACATGCTGGGCGTATGCGTCACCTCGTTCGTTGCCGTGTTCGCCGTGGCCGACTTCAATCTCACAGGAACTGTGAACCCCGGCATCCTTGGACTCACCCTCACGTACGCGCTGCCAATTGTGGGGAAGCTCAACTCGATCCTCAACAGCTTCGTCGACACTGAGCGTCAGATGATCGCTGTCGAGCGCGTCAAAGAGTACGCAGACTTGGAGCCTGAGGAGGAAGTCGTAGGCACGGGAGACACCGCAAAGGCAAAAGAGATGCCGTACGTTTGGCCGACAGCTGGACACATATCGATAAAGGCCTTAACGGTGACGTACGGCGCAGCAGCTCAAAGTGCCGAGAAGCATGACATTTTTGGTGACGCCGAATGGGAGTGGGTCGGACCACGGGTGGCGACTCCAGCGCTGAAATACGTCACGTGCGAGATCCCTGCTGGCCAGAAGATCGGCATTTGCGGTCGGACAGGAGCTGGGAAGTCGACGCTGTTGAACGCGCTGTTCCGAGCTGTGGCATGGGAGCGAAGCGGTAGCATCATGATCGACAACGTGCCTCTGGACTCGTTGAAGCTCCAAGATCTGCGGTCACGACTCACGTATATCCCACAGGACGTGGTGTTGTTCTCTGGTACAGTGCGTTCAAATCTCGATCCTAGTGGGGCGCTGGACGACGAGCGCCTTTGGACGGTGCTACGTAAATGCGGCGGTCTCGCAAATGCCATCGCCAAGTTGGATCGCGGTCTGGATACAGTCGTCGAAGGCGGCGCCGAGGAGCAAGCGGCGACATTTAGCCAGGGCCAAGCCCAACTACTTTGCATTGCTCGAGCGCTGCTGCGCCCGTCGAAGGTTCTTTGCATCGATGAAGCTACAGCCTCAATCGACCACGAGACCGAGCGTGCCATTTCAGAGGTAAGTCAGTTCCCCCGGTATAACTCTGCTGAGATATTTGTTTTTGATTCTGATCGTTTACTATGCACAGGCGATTGCATCCGAGTTCGCGTCGTCCACAGTTCTGACCGTGGCTCATCGCATTCAAACGATCATGCACTGCGACCGAGTTCTGCTGCTCGATAATGGCCGCCTCGCTGAAACCGGTGACCCGCAAGAGCTGGCGCAGAATCCTCAATCTTTATTCTATCGTTTGGCAAACTCGTCTGTGAGCGAGACCGAACTGCTTTGAAGGTATACCGCTAACATGAACATACGATAACATGAGTTAATGCCGCATGGGTTTATGCTAAACCAAAGATTTTGCGGACGCTGGTTTGTCTTCCTTGGCGAGCTTTCCATCTGCCTTTTCGCTCTTTGCACGTTTGAACAACGATTTTTTAGCTGGGGAATCGTTGGCCGGAGTATCTTTCGCTTGACTTTCAGCTGGTTTGTCGGTAGATTTGCTGGTGTCCGCCGCAGCTGGTTGAGCTGAAGTAGCAGGATCAGTCTTTGCCTCGTCATTAGTGGCAGCTTCTTTTGCCGTTGGCTTTGCAAGCTTTCTCGGCGGCTCCTTGAAGATTTTGATTTTGTAGCGCACGATGCCGCGGATAAGGTCCTCCACAAACTTTGGCAACCACAAAGAGTCTTGGTACTGAGATCATCACAGCAGAGTAATAAAATGTTTGTTAATTCTTAGTTTGGGAATAGACTCGTCCACGTTATGCTTACCTTTTCGATTGCCTTGATCAGCTTCGTATGGCCCCGGACGTTGGCCCAGTCAAGTGGGCACATTGCAGCCTGTACAGTACACCAGGAGCAAACAACTGCTCAAATACCAAGCCCGGTAGCACCCGGAAGCACAACGAATACGTACGTCGTAGTCCTGTACGTAAAGATCTTTGACGTCCGATGCTCGCAGTAGAAGTATACTAGCGTCGACGTGGCCAGCCCAACACGAGAGATGTCTGGAATGAGAAACATGAGTGTATAATGTCACTCGTGGCCAACAACGACGTAAAATGCGAGGCGTTTGCTGCTTACAAAGGTAAGCTACCGTTCTCGTCCAAGCATCTCGGGCTAGCTCCTGCAGTCAGCAAATAGTTTACGACTGGCACCGAGCCGCCTTTTGCTGCCCTGTGTTCTCTCACATGACAATCACTAGTTAGCTCAGTTTTTCCAGTATTTCTTTCAGCAAAAGCTCACCAATGCAGCGGAGTTTGGTGAAGCTGCCGCGACCAATAGATGCAGTTTGATATCAAATGGGTGAGACCGTAGCAGCAAAAGGCAAACTGCGATGATACAGCTTACATTCCATGGGTCCAGATTGCTGTCTGTTGGGCTCTCGCCCTCGATTTCAACAAGGTGCTTCACTCTCACGATATCCCCCTTTATTGCAGCCCAGAAAATGTCGGACAAAACGCACTCAACGCTCGAGCTGCCAAAGTATTTATCCATCGGGGACAGATGCTTCCGTGTCTACATCGCACGAGTCACCGTACTCACCCCGATCAGTGTTGCTGACAAGCACCAAAACACAGCGCTTCAGAAAATAAATTACCGCCGGGAGGATCCGAATTTGCACGGGCATGCGCGTTCGTTTGATGGCCTTGACGATGCGCAGCTTCATCTGGAACTTGGCCTTCTCTCGATTCACAAAGCCAGTTTTCTTCTTGGACAGTTTGGGCGCTTTCGCGACAGTCGCAGATCCCTCTCCAGAAGCATTGTTATCTGATTGTGCAGCTTCTGCGATTTCTAGCGCTTTCAGTCTTTCCTCCTCCTCCTTTTCCAGCATTTCTTGCCTCTTTTGGATACGCTCTTCGCGGGTTTTCTTTCCAAACATAACGAAATTCGTCACAACCATATAAAGATCGATCACCTCCAGCCACAAATAATAAAGTTCCTACCTTCTTCCTCGAGGGCGACGTAGCCCTGCCGTTTTTGTTCGTCTTCTTCTTCTTCCGTGGAGTTTTCCTGTCGGGGGTTGCCGTAGTCTCAGGCGTATTGGGGCCAACCGAAGCTGAACCAAGACCCTCAGTGTCCGTCTCATCTTGAGGACCCCCCTCTCTCGTCCCGGGATCCGTCGGATCTCCACTGTACGGCGTGTTATTGCTCTCCTGCCTCGACTCCCAGTATGTTTCTTGGTTGAACACGCTCGTCGGCGACTCGGGTACCCCCGCCAAGTTTCCTTCTTCATCGTAGTAGTAGCCGGTCGTCTGTTCCGCCGTGAGCTGATCCAAGTACAGTTGCGGCTGAGGTTCTTCCGGGTTGTAGCTCCAAGCCTCTTGCCCCTCCGCTGCATAACTCTGCTGTCCATCGCCGTACTCCTCCCCGTTGGCATAATACCCATAGGTTTGTCGCCCATCCGCGTTGGGGTCGTATCCCTCGTACTGGTATTGGTACACATCATTGGCGGAATTCCCCTCCTGGCCTTCTTGCTGTGCGTAATAGCCTTCATAGCCTTGTTGCTGATACGCGGAATAGTCTCCTTCTCCTTCTTGCTGCTGCTGCTGATAGTAATTCGCGTAGCTGTCGGCGTCGTAGCCTTCCGGATACGCGTACTCCGCCCCTACTTTTGTTAACAGCAGAATTATCAGCACCCCATATACTACGTTCAATCTGCGACCTAATTCTGCTGCACTCACCTCCATTCTCGCCCCCAGCGGCTTGTTCTGCACTATACTCACCCTCCATGGTAGCTCTCCACCGGGCAACTTGAAGCGAGCTCGCGTCGCTTCACTGCAGGTGGTACCGTAACCAGCATAATTCTGCGTCAATGATGCCGCCAAATTATTTGAGGCACATTTCTATTTGAGGTCAAAAGAAAGACAATGATGGACTTCTTCCGCCAGCTGGGCGAGCGCCACGAGGCGCTCAAGAAGAAGATCCACAGCACGCGCATCCCTCTGTCCAAGAACGGCCAGCGCTTTATGGGGCTCGTCTACTTCACGACGCCCATCGTCGGTGGCTACTACGTCATGAAGTGGGCGGAGCGCCGCGCCGACGCCAACTTCCAGCGTGAGGTTCGACACTAATTTGAGTACAATAATTATAATTATTGTATAATAAAAAGCAATAATTATTTTGTTTCTTTTAGGAGACCGTGATCCGCCGAGCCGCCGGCAGCAACGCCAAGTACGTGGCCCAGCAGAACCAGCAGCTCAAGAGAATGCTGCAGGAGAAGCAGGAGTGAAGAAAAAAAACTCCAAAATGTGCTAAGAACGTGAAACAAAAGTTTTGCTAGGGTACCTGGAAGTTTTGTGCTCTTAGACATTGTAGTTGCTTAAGCTCAGATTGAAGCTAGTTTTTCTCTTTCTTCGTCGTGCCTCGCAACGAGTTCCCAGCGGTCTTTTCTTCATTCTTCTTGCACTTGGCCCGCTTCATGTAGCATTCATTCGAGTATGTGTTGCCTTGCTCGTCGTGAACAGGATCGTAGACGTCAAAGCAGACGAGAGGGCAGTCACTACCAGTAGCAGCGCTGCTATCACTCCCCTTGCTGTCCGCGTCAGCACCGAACGGGAGCTTCCCGTAGCGCTTTTTGTAGTCCGCGTAGATTTCCTCCATGCTCTTGCGCTTCTCTTTGCCCTGGCACTTTGCGCGGCGCATCTCGCACTCGTTCGAGTACTGCACGCCGTTGGTGTCGTACACGGGCCGCATGACGGCGAAGCAAAACGCGGGGCAGTCCACGTCGCTTGAACCGGACGAGTTGTATGGAAATGAGGCTGGAGTGAGCGGCTTGCTTGCTTCGGCGGAGACGGTCGCGACGGCGGCTAGGAAGAGGACGGCGGCGAACTTCATCGCGATACGAAGTGGCTTGGGTTCTGCGAATCCAGAAATGACCACCACCACTGCAGACGAGAACTAAAAAGTATCGAGGCTGTGCTTCAAGAAGCAAGCACATGCTCGATCCAGGATAATTTTTGTGATGAGAACCCCTTGTGGAGATTACGTGCTTACGTAGCATGATCAATGGCCCATGAATCAATTGACAAATGGGCGGACGCTGCGCCAGCCAGCTTCTTTCTCGCAGCAAGCGTTCGCCTGATGGCGCTCTTTCGCACATTTGCACGGAACTGTACGTGCCCACACTTTTCTAGAGATTCCGTGAGCTCGCATGCTATTCGATAGAGTACAATGGCAAGATTTCAGTTAACATAGCTTGGTGTTGGTCTGTTCAATGCCCCGCAACGCTGGAGTATTAAATTAACAGGTCGAAGACCTGTGCTTGGCCCGGCAAAAAACTTGTAACTTTCCAAAACCGGGTACCAAACCGGGTCTCTCTTTCTTAATTGTAATGTTAAAGCTAATATTTGCCGGAATCGGGTACCCGTCGATAGATGCAACTAGAGAGTTGGGCTGGTAGTGCTTCCAAGGATTAAGACAAAACAACTTTGGGATTTACTCAACTATTATCCGTTATCATCGTCCAGGAAACTATTCGTCGACCTGTGTACCCTCCCGGAGCAACGCTCCGGGTTGCCTATGTGTGCTTACGTAGTCGCTCACTTTTGTAAATGACTCGGGTCAAACTCAAACAAACATCTATTCGTGCATCGGACGTTACCACTCAGCGACGGTTCCCTCCCGGCGAGTATTTTTCAACTCCATCTACGCAGCAGCGCTGCGGCAGCACCGAGCGAAATGACCGACAGCAAAGTAGATGCGGTGGAAGCCAAGCTGCGCGAGATGTTCGAGGTGCGGTCAGGTTACCGCGACGAGCACAGTCAGGCTGCGATGCTGGCCAAGCACTTCCGCTCTTTCGACCGCGACGGATCGGGCGTCTTGGACTTCGACGAGTTCGCGCGGGCGATGCTGTCGCTCAACTTTGTGGGGGTGCAAGCGGAGACCGAGGCGCTCTTCGACCGCTACGACGCGGATCTCGATGGCGTTCTCAGCTACGTCGAGTTCGCTCGGGCAGTCACGGGGGTATCCGGTCGAGTACCGCTGACTGGTCGAGCTCGGTCGCTGCTGGAGTGCGTACGTGAAAGCATACTCGAGGCGGGCGGCAACAACGGCATCCGGACATTAGGCGTGATCCTGCGACGAATCGACCAGAACGGCAACGGCATGATCGAGCTAGAGGTCCGTAGACTTAGTGGCCAATTCATCTATCACCGTTAATACCTGACGTGACTCTCTCGCTTGTCAGGAATTTCGCGATGGTATCGCCCAGTTGGGTATCCGCGACGTGGACCCAGAGGAACTGGAACGCACGTTTCGCTGCTTCGATCGAGACCAAAGCGGCAAGATCACTATCGACGAACTCATGCGCGGACTTCGGGAGTCGATGGCTAAGCGCCGCATCCTGCTTGTGAAGAAGGCCTTCGCTCTCTTGGACACTTCAGGTGACGGTCATGCCACCATCGACGAGGTGCAGCGCCTGTACGACGCCTCCCAGCACCCCGAAGTCCTCGCTGGAAGGATGAAGCCACGCGACGCGATGCTCGAGATGATGAGCGTCTTCGAGCAGTCCGACTCGCGCGGGGACGGAGTCATCACGTGGCACGAGTTCCTCGAGTACTACAAGGACCTGAGCGCTGGCATCGCCAACGACGACGAGTTCGAGTTCATGGTGCGCAACGCGTGGCACCTCAGCGGCGGCGGCGGCGGCTGGAGCGCCAACTCGTCCTGCCGTCGGGTGCTCGCCACCTTCCGAGACGGCTCCCAGCGGGTGCTGGAGATCGAGAACGATCTGGGTATCGCTGCGTCGGACACGCGTCGCATGATGGAGAAGCTCGCGGCTCAGGGCTATCGGGACATTGTAGGCTTGTCACTAGCTCACTAGGTGCCCCTTGTCCACCATGACAGGCAGACACATAGAAGCAACATAGCCACCCTCTTCTCTTTAAGCCCTATCTTCCACTTGGGTCCAGTCGCAGATAAACCAAGGACTTGGTATCTGATACGTATGTCGAGTAGATCTACGTGCCACGCTCACCGGAAGTTTACGTGCGGATCGAGTCGCCAATGGACATCGAGGCGAGCGACAGTCGAGAGGACTACGCGTCGGACCCAACGCTCGTGTGCTGGAATGGCGGCACTTGTCTCTGAAGGTGGCAAAGGAGAGTAAACACCAAAGGGAGAAGACGATTCTGGCTGATGTGAGTGGGGCAGCTCGCTCTGGAGAGCTGGTGGTGTTGATGGGGCCTTCCGGGGCGGGTAAGACGTCGCTCCTTGACTGTCTGGCCGGAAGGAATCGACGCGTCACTGGTCGTGTGACTGTGAATGGAACCCCACTCAATGACAACGTGAAAGCGCTCATGACGTACGTGGTGCAGGACGATCTCTTCTACGAGACGCTCACAGTTCGAGAGCACTTGATCTTCCAAGGAAAGCTCCGTATTGGGGTTAGTCTACTTGCAACTGGATTTGGGGCAGACTGGCGTGCAGAATTTCGTTCTTCTTCATGGTTGTGAGCCAAACGATGATCACCGCCAATGGACAATTCAGCTCCGTGCCCTTGGAACTCACTCTCATCGCGCGCGAGTACCAGAGCGGACTCTACCACGTGACATCGTGGTATCTGGCCAAGATCGTGAGTGAGCTGCCCATGCAAATTCTACTACCAATGGTGTTCTTCCTCCCCGTATACTTCATGATCGACATTGGGCATGGCGCGCTTGTGTACGTCTACCAACAAGTTATGGTGATTCTTGTCCACAGCGCCGCGGTGGGGTATGGCTACATGATTTCATGCATTTGTCGGCGTGCTGATATCACCCCCATCATTGGAATTGTTCTACGTATGCCCATGGTGCTGCTGGCTGGACTGCTCATCAACTCGGAGGACATTCCCGTCTGTCTCATCTGGCTCGAGTATCTCTCCCCTCTGTGGCCCAGTCAGGAGCACAAGTGCTGATTAACTGCAGCATGCACGGGAGGATGGATGACTAGACAGCATCCGGCTGGATTGGCGTGATGAATTGACGGAACACTGCGTCGCATTACGTCTACAAACTGTAGACACATGTTGCTTGTTTTAATACTTAATACGAAGTATTTGAAGTATATGTCTTGATTGGTATTTCCTCTCTAGAGATATCCCATGACAATAGCCCCGCCGATAGCGGCAATCGCGACCAAGTTGGTAGCTGGGACGGCAGAATACTCGTGCTCTTGCGAGTTCATCATGGATAGGTACATGGTGCCGAACGCGACTGCCAAGCTCAGCGGCACCCATGGAAAAGGTGCTGCAGATTTTTTGCCCCACTCCAGCTCGCGCTCCTCACGCTGGGCCGCTAAGCTCGTTGCTACCTCCTTGTGCCACTCCTAAGTTACCATCAAATAAAAAAAATGTTAGTTTAGCACCAGATCTGAAATCTTTCAAGACAGATAAATACTTACGCGTAGCAGAAACTCGTCTCGACTGGCATCGCGAAGGCTGACGTATAGCTCCTCTAAAAGCTGCGGGAAATCTTGCTGGAAATGCTGAAACTCTTCTCGACGAGCGGTGACGTCTGCGAGGTTTGTTTGCACAAACCTCATGGCGACCTGCTTCAGGTGAGCAGCGTGCACTAGCTCAGCAACTACAAGCACTTCTAGGCAGTTCGCTACGGTCACATAGATCGCATGCTCGCACAAGCGCTTCATGCGCTCGAGTCCGTACTTGTCCGCGGCCACAAGATCTTCTAATAGTTGGTCACTTGCTTCTTCCTCAACGTTGAATTCTGCGCCATCGTCGCCACTGACATCGACGTCGTTGTGTACCAATCTTGCGTTATTCTCCTCCTTATACTTCGGTAGCGTGACCTGGTCGTAGTAAATGAATCGAAGGACGCGTACAATTCCGGCGTACGAGTCTTCGACACTGACGACGGCCAGTTTACCGTCGTGAGCATCATTCATGAGTTGAGAGGCTGAATGCTGGAAGGCGAGTACCGCTCGAAAGTACTCGCTTCGGGCTACCAGCATGCACCGATGTATTGGAATCTGTCGCCCCTCCGCTATTAACACTGTGTCTGCCCACGCCATGTCACTCAAGGCGAATTTCATGTCGTCGTTTAAAGTGCGCGTGGTGCTGCCTACGTCTTCCCCTGCTACGCCTTCTTCAGTGTCAGTGTCATCGTCTTCCTCCTCCATCTCGTCAAGCGCTGGTGAAGAAGTAGACTCCCCAAAGAGAGACGAAGAGGAAAAGAGACGTTCCTGGCAGAGTCGAGCAAGACCAGGCAGTTTGTAGAGCCTTGCAGCGCGCAGGACGTCATTCACCAGATAGTACGAGGTCTTGGTCACTTCCATCGAGAAATTGTCCGTGTAAATAAATTCCACCAGCGCTCTGGCAACGTCGACGCGTAGCTGAGGAAGCAGCAATTCCATGACTTCTGTCCGGTTGAGTGCGTCACCTTCGGCTCTATCAAGGCGATTCTGCTGCTGCTGCTCTTCGTCGAGAATGAGTTGACGCAGAACGGGACTCCGCTGAGCAAGCAGCAACTTGTGTACCAGAAGGCGCTGACCGGATACCACCAACACGAGGTCAGCGCCTGTGATGGCTGTTGCTTGATCCAGATCACCGACTTGTGCGTGGACGATAGCCTCCCTGTAGAGTTTAGTCATCGAACGAGCAAGAAAGCTGCCGGAGCTGAAGGCGATCGTCTGATGACCACCACATACCACGTGCTCGACACTGTGCGTCCCTATATCGGCGATAAACTGGTCAACGGATTCTTCTCCTTGCTCAAATCGATGACCGCAATTCACAAGCTTCGGTAGACTGGAGAGAGCCAGTTGGTTCGTCTTGGAGCCATCCATGCTAGCGCCCGAATATCCGTCTCCCCACATGTAAAGGTCTCCGCTATCTGAAATGGCTGCAGCATGCTGAGCTCCAGCACTGATGCGGCAAATTCTGGTATCGGGGGTAGCGAAGCATCGGATCACTTGCGGTGCCATCCACTTCATACACGGCAGTGTCGGGCACGGTACGGCGGCAGTCGCGGACTTCTTGTGCTGCGAAACGAGTCGCTGGTGGTCCTGCAAGATTGTTTCAGCCAGAAGAGCATTTTTCTGGCTGCCGTAGAGTCCGTGGCCAAGTACTGCACCGCCACAAGCACCCCATGTCCACACTTGCCCGTCGTTTGATAGAGCCATGCCCCAGTTCTCGCCCGCTGCAACATCACGCCACCATTTCTGACTGTTTCCTTGGAATACCGCGGTGGGTGCGAGTGTATCGCTGGCGTCGCCTCGCCCTTGTTGGCCGTTGTTGCCTCTTCCCCAGGTGACCAACTCCCCAGCTCTCGTCAGACCAACGCAGTGGGCATCTCCACACGCTACCTTCGTGAATAGAGCTTCCCCACATAACCTGTTGTGCGATGCTTTCGTTCCCACCGAGTAGAGGTTGTGGATCTGTCTTGGTGTGAGCTGAAACGACTGGAACTGCTTCCGCACAGCCCCTCCTCCATGCCGCCGAGACGTCCGCGCGATAATTGGGATCCGACCAAGACCAAGACGTCCGTCACTCCATTTGCCCCAAGAGAAAGCATAGCCGTCTCGTGTCAGAGCCACACAAAACCCACTACCGCACGAAACTGAGTGAACAGAGGATGTCGATGGCTTTGTGATGGTAATCCCATCGCGAGTTAGTTCCACTGGCGGCAAGTCGACTCGCTGAGGTGTCGACGCACTACGCAAAGTCCCTCTCCCCAGTGCAATGCCCACGCCCCACGAGAACAAACTCCCTTCCTGACTCACAGCAGCAGAATGAGCCCCGACCAGTTGATCTCCACCGCAGGAAATATCGCGAACGACAATCAGATTGTCGAAGAAGAAATCCACGAGTGTCGGCTGTGCGACGTAGCCGTTGACTTCGTACCCGAGTCCCAGTGCACCATCCAAAGTGTGGCCACAAGCAAACACCAAGCCCATGTCGTTGAGGAAAAGTGTGTGAAAGCGACTGCACGCTGCCTGCACGATGCGGTTCCTTGGGAATGGCTTCAAACACATCACCACAAGCATCAACAGTGAGCTCTAGCGTGTCAAGTACCAAAACCTAGAGCAAGCTTAACAGAACGTACCGTTTCAATCTCAATCTTCTTGAACCAGCTACCAGCGTTTTGTTTACACTCTGGACTCGAGACGTTTTTGCCATCCAAGCTGGGGTTCTCATCGTGTGCCCCCCACTGCGATATGGCAAGCAGCTCAGATAGCTCTCCCGCTACTGGTAGGGCGTGAGTACCCACTTTACTCTGATGATCAGCGTTCGTTCTGCTGTGGTCCGTACATTCGTCGCTCTGTTTCTCTGGGTCATCCCCAAATACCACTTGGGAGGCTTCTAAGTATCCGTTTGACACGCACAGGCGCTGGAGGATTTCGTCCAGCTGGTGCGTGGACTTGATCATCTCCTCCAGCACTTCGGCAGTCTTCAGCTCCACATCCACTCGCTGCTGGTCTGCCGCTGGCATCGCTGTACGGCTCGCTTTCTGCCTCGTCGCCCCCATTCCGAAATAGTGATGCCGTGAAAGATCGCGAATGGGAGCGCGCCATTTGGAGAAAATATTCTGAGCCCATGTGTGTCAGGAACATTTCTGATTGGCCAAAATTCGGCAAGTGGTGCTGGTGCTGGCTAGCGCCTTCGTCGAGCAGGAGGAGACGCTGCACGAGGTGCGCAGGGAGGTGTACGACAAGCTCGTGGAAGAGACGTGGAGGATCGCCATGCGGACCAGGCACTACCTGACCACCCAGTGCCTGGACACGCCCTGCGACTCCGCGTGGATGATGTTGTACACGCGCGGAAGCGACATCAACTTCCTGAACGCGACGAGCTTGACCAGGTGCGACCCTACTTACCATCTGAAGTTGCTGCGCTATATCTTATTCATGCATGCTTTCAGGTCGGCTTTCCACCAACTACTGCGGCGCTTCAGCCGCTTTTACTACATCCCACGCAGCACGGCACGCGGGCGGCTCCCGAAGCTCCGACACTACCACCAGATCCTGGGCCTGGTGCTGTGCTTCTACGTCGGGTCGATGGAGCAGAGCTCCCTGTGTATGATGTTTGGGGCTCCGCCGAGCACCATATCGAGGCCGCTACGCCGCGCCGAGGAAGCACTGTCGCTGGCGCTAAAAGGCTACGCTCCTGCCAGAATCTCTTGGCCCTCGCCTGCTCGCCAAGCCGAACTCGCAAAGCTTGTGGAAGCCCGCGAGCCGCTTCTCAAACACACATTCGGCTTCATTGATGGGAAGAACTTAAGGGTGAGTTGTAGTTTGTAAAATGTTACTTGCTATGATAGAATGCTAACATCAATGATATTGTAGGTTCAGCAGCCGTCGAATGCGGACTCGCAGAACGCCATGTATAACGGGTGGTTGCACACCGTTTTCGTGACTGGCACAATCTGCTTCACAGCCGACGGCTGCATCATTTGGTGTAAGCACAATTGCCCCGGGTCGTGGAAAGACTCCGACACCTCCTTGGGCTTCCGTTCCAAGTTGCTCGACCTTACCCTCTGCCCGGACACACGTATGAACGTGGTGTCGGACTCGGCTTTCCCGTGTTCGACCAGTATGGTCGGTCGCATCCTGACTCCTCAAAGATGGCGATCTCGAGAGGATTCTCCCGTCGCTGAGAAGCTCCGCGCGGACGCTTCATAACGCCATCACGTCCGTGAGGCAGGCGGCGGAGATGGGCATGGGGAGTATGCAAAAGGTGTACAGCCGCCTGAACCTCCCCCTGCCGTACGACCCCGAGCTTCGTGGCCACCGAATCAACAACATCTTCAGAATGGCTAACTATCGCGTCCGCACGGTCGGCATCTCGCAGATACGCACGACGTTTTCAGGCGAGATGGAGCTATCCAGCGAGTAGGGTGTCGAACTAGCCGTGTTTGTACTGCATGCAACAACACATTTTTCTTTGTCGTTGAATTGAGCTGCTTCATTATCTCGATGTTGCTGGCAGCAGCGTGCTGCAAACGTTTTGCGACGGAGAGCCGAACTCGATGCTCGTGCGTCTTGCACTTGACTTCACAGAGATGTGTACGCAGCACGAGAAGTACATGTGATGATGAAGGCGCTAGAAGATCACGTAACCCGTGACGGGCACGCTAGCGGATCATGAACAACATGTTTGATTTGAGGCTTAGTGGTAAGTAACAAGTATATAGTAACTAGAACGTGAATGATAGCCTCACTTCGAAGAGCATGCGCGCCTTCCGCTCACACCTTCTTAGTCAGTGCGCCGATCAATATGAGCAGCTCTTGAGTGCGGGCGCGCGCATCTTCGCGCTCACGGCGCGCACGGTCCTCTCTCTCCAGCTTCTCCTCACGGCGGCGCGCCTCAGCTTCAGCCTTCGCTTCCAGAAGGCGGGCCTCGTTGGCCGCCTTTTCGTCGCGGCGGCGCTGAGCCTTCCGCTCGCTCTCTTCGCGGAGCAGCAGAAGCGTCTCGAGGATGCCTCCTCGCATGTTGCTGGCGTTGTTTTCAAGGCCATCCAGCTTTGTCTTGAGAGCTGTTGTTGCCTTCATGGCACGGATGCGCTTAGCTTAACCGTAGCTAGCTTCCGCCGTGTCTTTGTCTTCTTCATGAGCGCGCTTGACGCCCACCGTGTCGCGAAAGCCGGCCAAGTCCACGCCTCCGAGACGGTTCGACGTCTTGTGGAGCTTGGGGTACTTGGCCGCTTCGGCGGCATCGTGGTTGGTGGCAGCGGCGGCACCTTGAGTCGATGGCTGCTGTGAAGCATCACTACTGGGGGCAGTAACAGCCGTCTTACGTGGTGCCGGCAGCCCTCCCGAGCCAGCACGACGTGTACTTGGCGCTGCTCGGACAGGAGCAGGACGCGGCGTGCGTGCAAGCTCGTCCAGATCATCGGTGGTCAGCGGCGACGAGAGCAAGTCTTGGAACGCGCCTCGGCTCGATGAGCGGCTGGAAGCCGTCGACTCAGCCTCGGCCGACTCGTCGGAGCCCGGCGACTCGCCGTAGTCGGACCTGCCCACAGTGGCGGCAGTGGGCACTCCCAAACCTTCGCCCTCGCCGTCGCCGCCCTCGTAGAAGCTGTCGTCCGGATCGACTTCAAAGCAGAAGTCGGGCTGGTCGTTGTCGGTCTCGTCGTCCATCTCCACGACGTTGGCCTTGTCGTCGATGGCACGCTTGACCTCCTTGGCTTTCTTGATGAGCGGGGGGAATCTCCTGCACGCCGGTCGGCTTCCGGGTGCTGTGAAGCACCTTGAACTTACGCCGTAAGCTCTCGAAGTCTCGCTCGGGCGAGCCTCGAGGCCTGTTGGCGTTGTACGTCATAGCGAGGCGTTCCCACTCGTCCCTGCCGAGCGACAGCATCTTCTCGACGAGTGTGAGGAGGCGGTCGACATCGGCCGTCGAGTAGTTGGTGGTTCCAGAGTGCTTGGGCATCTACACACACAGACGAATCAATAAAAAGTCAGCCACGCTGCTCATTGCCACGTTGGACCGTGTTGGCGCGTCGTACCGGGAGTGGTGGGCAGAGGCGAGGCGGCGGAGACACGCTTGGGGGGGGAAGAACTGCTCGGAACGTGGTAAAACCAGAAGTGAGAGACGACGACAGCTTCGCCGCGGCGGCAGCTTGCCAGGGCGGTGTCTTCGCCGCCACCAGTTCGCATCGATCTTGAAAGGATGCTAGTAGCTCACAACTTCAACGCTGCGCGCGCGAAATCTTCGCCCGCAAATAGCAAGTCAGTGTACGTGAAAACTTCGAACGAAGATGAGCCCATCAACCCGTCGTTTGGCGCGAGCCTTGGCGCCAGTTTTTCATGCTTACCTGCTTGTTGCTAGCCTGCTGCTACTTTGCACTCACGGCAACCACCATCAACAACCGCACAGCAATAGGTTATCTCAATGCAATTCATTTGTTCACAACACGCTTACCTACACAACTACACCTCCTTCACTTCGCTCCCTCCCCCTTCTCGCTGGTCTCTCTCTTCACCTTGCTTGCTCTCTCGTCCTGCTCACTCTTTGGCCCTCTCACGGGTCTTGGGCGTCTTGAATGTTGCGGTGGCGACAGCCATCCGGCCCACAGCGGCAAACAAACCACAAGTCGTCGTAGTCGACTATCACCTCCTTGCCGCGGTGGATGTCTTGCGGCGACGCCACGACCACGGTGGTACGGCGGCCGTTGGCCACTTCCACGAACTTCGCCACCGGTTGGCACGAGTGGTTTACGAAGCGCATCAGCCCTCTCATGTTCGGGCAGCAGTTGATATTGCAGTAGAGATGCATTAGCGAATTGCGGCAGGAGTCCACACGGCACGGCGATGGGCAGTCGCACCACCCAAAGTGAGGCACCGACGGAAATACCGTCGCGAGCGGGGTGAACAGCTCGCGAAGCTGAATCACGCGGTGCGGCTACTGCGCTGGAATGAACCGATCCCGTGACCGCGGCCCCCGTAGTTGCGTCCGAGGCGATCCGTCCGCAGTGACTCGCATCGCCCCGCGTGGGTTGATGACGGGTCGGGTATCGCCACGCCGACTGCCGGCGAGCGTAAGGCGCGGCAGCTTCACGACGCGCACGACGGCCCTCGTGGCGAGGCTGAAGTGCCGCTGGGGATCTCGGCGGCGTCTCTAGGAGCACCGGCGACGACGTGGTGGGGCTGGCGTACGGGCGGCTGGACACCGGCGGCGACACGGGCGCAGACGTCGACTCCTGGCTTGGCGGTGGGTTCGTTGCCAACTTGGACTTGGGGCGGCTTCTCTCTGGCGGCAGCCACGGAGGCGTTGCTGTGCCCGTAGCGCTGGCGGACTCGCTGGCGTCTTCGATGCGGCGCTTGATGTCGCGGTCGTACTGGTGGCTGGGCTGGATGTTCGGCGGCGTGTTCTCTTCGTCCTCGCTGGACGTGTCATTGATGCACCGACGCCGCCAGTGAACGGCGGGGTGGATTAAGCGCACCATTGTCCCTGCAATCAAACACGAGGTGAGTCCTCTCGTAGAGAAGTGCATACAAAGCCATCAACCACGCTCACCTTTCGAAGTGTTGGCTGCTGTCGACTTCGCGCCGCCGGCGGCAAATTCGCAACTGAGCGTCTTTTCGATTTGGCGGAAGATATATGATCATCGATATGCCCGTAGAGTGAAGGATGCATATGTTAGAATGATGGTCAGCATAAAGTATACTAACAACAAGACAAAACTTTATGATGGCTACACGGCATATATCTTGGGGTAGGGCAGTTTATCGAGACGATATCTGCGTCCCGCGAGATCTATGCGCGTATATGACGCGGCATATCAGCTGCTGGTATGACAGCCCGTTAATGTATATCTGGTAGGCGTCCACTGGTAGGGCGTGACTACCCACTTTACTCTGATGATCAGCGTTCGTTCTGCTGTGGTCCGTACATTCGTCGCTCTGTTTCTCTGGGTCATGGAGAAAGAGCTCGACGGCTATAGACGCTTGGAATTCAGCCTCTGTCGAGCGAAGATAGTGAGCTTGTTTGGATAACTTTATTAAAGGTTTTGTACGACAATAGTTCCCCCCGTGAATTACGCGTAGTAAGCGTTGCCGAGCTTCATCTGGAAGTTTGCGTCCTTCATCGGCACATTGGCGTCGCCGAAGTCCGTGTTCTCCAGCGCCGTGCGTGCTGTGCCTCAGTCTGGACACGAAATAGCTGTACGAAACGTTGTTCTCCGGTGGCGGTGAAGCAACCACGGGCAGCACCGTCGAAGCCCCGTCCGATCCAAGCTCAGCAGCTGCACTTGAGGGGGTCAACGATGGGAAGACGAATGATGTGTCGCGCGTACAACTGGCGAAGCGCACGACAAGGTCCCCTCCTGCATCCAAAGAGTTCAACAACCTGCTAGTATTCACCGGAGAGGCCGGAAGCTCGACAAGACTTTACTCGTGAAGTGTGCGAGTTTGCGACGCGGTGTGGGGTGATGTCGTGGATGCTAGGACAGCTTAAACTTCATAGATAAGGCTGGGACTATCAACACTTTGTCGTCCTACCTGGAAGTATTCCTCTGCTGTCAGCTCGACGCCGTCACTTGTCGGACTTCCGATGCAATCCTCGAACGAGTCACTGTCTGCGTCCTGCACACCTACTGAATCAACTGGTGCTATGGTTTGCTCGCCTTGGACTGTCGCCGTGGAGTCTGCAGCGCACAGGCGCTGGAGGATTTCGTCCAGCTGGTGCGTGGACTTGATCATCTCTTCCAACATCGCGGCAGTCTTCAGCTCCACGTCCGCTCTCTGCTGGCCTGTAGCAGGCATCGCTGTACGGCTCACTTCCTATTGTTTCCTCGTCCTCATCCCAAGCAATGATGAAGGATGCCCGCGAAAGATCGCTAATCTGATAAGGCAGCGCGCCGTTTGGACATCGACTCGGAATACACCAACAAACCTTGAAATAATGAATTGTTTTTTGTTTTTGTTTTGGCCAAATTTGGCGTTGAAAATAGCATCACGGCTTGAGGGTCATACAAAAGCCAAGACACGTAGCACTGACAGCTAACTGATGACCGATTTGACCTGCCATACATGAAGCTGGTACGGGTTTATTTTTTGATGCGAGCGAAATGAACATTCATGCAGCTTATCGAGTCTATGAACTTCTATTACGATTATTAAGAAGACCGCGTTGAGAAATGTTAGTCTGCGTGCGTCAGCACCGCATGATGCTTGTTCCAGTACTTCGAGTACGCTCTCCAAAAGAGGTAGCGGTCATTCTTCGTCAGCTCCGTCATTGACAACTTCTTGAGAAGCGCAGGGGTGTCCAAACTTTTATAGAGCCTTCCGAGCTTGCAACCACGATGGTTGCCACCGCGAGGAGGATGCAGCTCAGGTGCATGGTGGGTGGTAACGGCAGGTTGGAGTGGAGTAATGTGGCGTGGAGGTTCGCTTGAGGTCGACGGTAAATCCTGAAGTGAATCTCTCTCAGGAGTGGTAAGTCTCAACTACAGCACAGGCTGGGTCTAGGAAATCTTGCGTGAAGGCAACATGCCTCACTTGGACCAGGGGGCCATTGATCCTATCCAACCAGTTGAAAGTGTTCGGACCTTCAGACAGGAGGGCGCATCCCGTATCCTATCGATGGCGTGAATCTCGAAGGGGCTTCTCACGCAACGCGCAACGATATTTAGCTCACCGATGATACTACTGGTATTGGATACCAAAGCACTCATCAACGTTGACGAATGCCACTTGGATACCAAAGCAGTCATCGATGTTGACGAATGCCAATGTTGTATTTTGTACTCACGATAGTGGCTGTTTGGCGGTACTCTTTTAATATTAAAAATATGACAAAGGCTACGGCTGGTAAGTTGACATCTAACGTGACTACCAGAGTCAAAACGCGATCGACGTTTGCACACGCTCACCGATCGATGTTAGGCATCGTAGGTGGTGAGGCTAGCCTATTATGAGGTTGCGTTCAAACCCTCTACAAATAAGGAGAGCAAAGTACGTATGTCGTTTACATCTTCACATTCTACTTGCTTTGCATAAAGCAGGTCGAAGCTTTTTTGTTTGCAAGTACATTACCTGTTTGTGGTGGGGAGCTTCGAGAGTATAAGGTTCGGCAGCGATGTTTTAGCGATAACAAACCCTATAAATTATAGGCTATAATGCCAGCTTTGCACATGGCATCCCTTCGAGTCTTAGACTCTAGAGACGCCAAGCGACGCGAGGCTCGTCAAGTCCAAGCCAGAGAGCTCCATAATCCACGCTCCATGCAAGCTCCCGCCGCCTCTCTGCGCTTGCGCCTGCTCGAGCCGAGCGTGGGCGTCGTGTCCGGCGGCACTCGCGTGGTGCTGCACGGCGTCGGGTTCCGTCCAGCGCCGCACTCGCTGACCGTCCGCTTCCGCATGAGCCTGCAGGACCCGGAGGACAGCGACGTCCAGCACGAGAGCGTCCACGTGGACTCAACCGACCACATGTTCTGGTCCTCGCGGCAGTCCATCTCCAACACGGTGGACGTCAGTGGACGATTCCTGCTGCAAACGCAGTTGGAGTGCGTCCTCCCGAGCTTCGAGCGCCAAGCCAAGCGCGCCATCGCGGCCCGCACGAGTCTCGCAGCGTCCTCCGCATCAGTTAACAGCGCGCCGCAGTTGGTCCCTTTGAGCGTCGAGGTGATCCTCAACGGGGGCGAACAGCGGTCTAATGCACTCACGTTCAAGCTGCACCAGCCGCTAGAAATCCGGCGCGTGTGTCCTCAAAGCGTCCTCATGACCAACCCAGCGGTGGCCGTCACCACGACGCTGAATATCCTGAAATTACCCACTCCTGTCCTCCATCGAGCGACAGCGAAAAGTGGACAGAAATCGCTCGAAGTTCTGGAAGAGATGAATGCATTACCTGTATTTGTCCGTGTACGGCAAGCGTCAGAGCGGACGGGGGCAGTGTCGGAGCAGATCAGAGAGGGGAAGTGGAAGTTGTCGCCCCTTGGGGTCTACGAGGTGGAGTTTGATGCAGCCACGATGGGTTTTGGAGCCGCCAGCGTGGAGCTCAGTCTGAACCGCGTGGATTTCTTCCGATGTCGGAGTGACGCCCCGCCTGAGGCCTATGGCTATCGTGTGATTCGAGACGTGACTTTACGAGCGGTGGAGCCCGCGTGCATCAGCGTCACGAGCGGACAGGTTACGGAGGTGAGGTTGACTGGGGATGGCTTCGTGGATACGGGGGATATCGTGGTGGCGCTGTTGCAGAGGGAGTTGCCAGCTCAATTGGTGCCAGAAGGCGATGGAGATGGAGCTATTGTCAAGAAGGTAGTGGCGAACTCGAAGGAGGTTCAGGTGGCGCAGCTCAACGCAACGTACTATGGCAAGAACGAAGTTCGCTGCACGGTTCCGTCCAATATGTCGTTTGGATGCACGTCCTTCAGTGTGTCGTTGAATGGTGGGAGGCAGTTTGGGCAGGCGCGCATTGTGGGGCTGCTACATCGGGACCGCGCGTTGCAGGAGATCTCCCCGGAGAGCAGCAGTCTAGCGGGGGGAACGCAGATCGTGATCCGCCACGCGTGTCTGACGTTAGAAGATGTGGACGCGTTTTACCAACTGCAGCGAATTGACCCGCCGCGCCGTATAAAAGTTCGCTTCCAGCCCATAAGTTACAATTTAAGTGACGTTGGCGGAGCTCTGGCCAAGGTGGTGACTGCTGAAGCTTCGGCCGATACGCCGGGGGTGTTAATTTGTCGGTCGCCCAACTTTATGGATCATATTAAGGCGTTGAATGGTTTGAGATCGGGTGGAGGCAGCGAGACGACGGATAGACATAGCGTGCCGTATATGTGGCGTTTTACAGTGGGGATTGCGTTGGGCGGCGAGATATTCCAGGGCGCGCTGCCGTTTGTGTTCTACCTTCCTCCAGTGATTCGATCGCTGTCGCAACACCACGGGCCTGCGTCGGGAGATACGTGCGTGAAGTTACGGATGAAGCACAAAGTTCCTCCGAGGCTGAAGCTGCTTGTGCGCTTCTCGACCCTGGATTTCACTACCACCATGACAGTCGAAGGCCACACCGCGACACAACCGAGCGAAAAGGCAACAACCCCTTCCAACGACGCTAACAATACTACGCCATCAGAGGCAATACTAACACGCCGAGACCTAGACGAAGACCCCGAGTACTTAATCACGTGTCAGACGCCTCCGTGGGCTGATGAAAGCACGAGTAACGAGCCTCACTTGACTATCGTCCAGGTCTCGTACGACGCTGGGGTCACCTATTTCCCTGCGATTGATCCCCCACCGTCGACGACTCAGCCCAACCCGCTAGCCAAGGACCTGTCGTATTTGTGTTTCCTGTTCTACCCGCCTCCGATCGTGCGCACTGCGATTCCTCTGTCTGCAGACATACTCGGCGGTAGCTACATTCGCCTCCAAGGTGAATACATCATAGACCACGGCGCGCAACCGTCCGTAATTTTCGAGTCGCCGACGATGAGCCGCAAGGTCCCTGCTTTCGTTGAGAAGGGCGAGTTGAGATGCTGCGCACCTGCATTCAACGTCGGGCTTGCGCGCGTCTTCGTGTCGCTCAATGGAGAACAATACACATTGTGCGAGCTGCACGACCCAGAGACGCATGCGCCACTGGAGTTTATCTTCTACAGTTCACCGACGGTAACGCGCATCAGTCCGCTGTGCGCGTGTGTGCGGCAGTTGAGTGAACTGAAGATATTTGGCACCAATTTGATTGAAACGGAGCGGATTAAAGTGCGCGTGAGTTTTCCCGCTAACGCCCATGGATCAGGACGCCGATTGGTCTTCAAGGATGTCCCCGGTACAGCGCGTGACGGAGTTATCACGGCCAAGACGCCTCTGTTTTCCGATGACTATGCGAACCAAAACGCTTACGTGGATGTCGCCTTGAACGGGGCTGATTTTTCAGAAACTTCTGTTCCTCTTAGGTATTTTTCGACGTACGGGATCACACGCGTGGATCCACCCCTAGGCGCGTTTGAAGTGCCTGTAAGTTTGACGGTGTACCTTACGCCAGCGATTGTGACCGACAAAATGCTCGTGCGTATTCGCTTGGGGGTCAACAGGGCAGTCATCGAGCACGAATCTACAGATAAGGAGGACTTGGAGGTGGTGTTTGGACCTATTGAAGCTATTCATTGGACTTCATCCAGTGTGGATTTTAAGGTTCCGCCGTTGAGGACGCTGGTCGAGACTCTGTCCGTCTTAACTACGGCGTATCTGGAGGTATCGTTTGATGGGGTACGCTTCCACGGGGTGGGAAACTTGCGAGACCACTACCGAGTGTACAACATGCCTCAACTCACGTCTGCGACCCCTTTATTCGGTGTGTCCGACCGCGAGACGAAGATTGTCGCCCATGGAGTGCACATGCGACCAGGAGATGTCGTCAAGTTGACGTTGTATCTGGAGTCGACTGTCGTGGAGAAGTCCAAGACAAAGACTAGAGGACGCCGTTCCGCTGCGAGGGTAGCACCTGTACCCGTCACCACAGTCATCGCTGAGGTAAACGCCAAGCGACAGCGTCTAACCTGGACTTGCCCCTCACTTATTCAGCTTCGCGCCAGTCCAGATCGACAATTCGCTCCACTTGTTGCTTGTGCGCCAACAATAACGAATGGATCGCCAGATCGCCGCGTTCCAGGCGATGCAGCTGGAGGAATGCTTCTACCCGAACGAGTTCTCATGCAGATCAGCGTGGTGGACGGACAACCGACGTCTCTCCCCTACGTATTCCGCTACTACCGAGCTGCGACGCTTGTGGCCATGAACCCGCGCGTGGGATACGTCTGCAGTGGATCGCTCGTCTCTTTCGAGTTCGCTGAGCGCATCGCCACCCCCACCGTCGACTTTCGCTTCGGTGACAGCCTCCCGATGAGCGGCCGGATCCGTGACGAGCGATTCGTGGAGTGTTTCTCGCCCGAGCTGACTGCGGGATCCCATAACATCAGCATCTCCTTCAATGAGCAGCACTACGAGCCGGCTGTGCTGGTTGAACGACCACTTGAACCTCCCAAGGATAACGATGAGCCGCCTCCGAGTTCCGCCGCTACGTTCCACGCGTTCCCACTTCCAGTGTTTGTACTCCCTCCCGCTGGTCGAGAGCGCGTCTACGCCTTCGGTACGACCTCAGGCGGCACTGTGGTCGTCATTAAGGGCATGGGATTCGTCCCGGACACCAAGATCTACGTCCGCTTCGCGTCTCAGTTCAGTGACGCCTTTGACGGTGACTCCGAGATCATTGTGACCGCAAAAGTGGTCGATAACGAGACTATTCGATGCATTTCCCCGCCGTCAATGCGCTTGGGTCGCGTGGTTCTCCACGTGTCGTACAACCTGCAGCAGTTCAGTGATTCAACGTGCTTCTTCGAGTACCATGCGCCCACCCGCTACAGTGCAAAGGGAACTCTGTGTGGGCCAATCTCGGGTCAAACTCCTCTACGCCTCTTTGTCGAGGACACAAAGGGGCTTCCGAGTCTCACGCAGCTGCTGCAGTGCGTCGTGCGGTTCGAAAGCGAGAGAACCCGGCAAGAAACTCCACACGCACTCGACATCGAGGCCCAATTCGACCCGGAGACACGAATAATCTCTTGTATTACGCCCGCTTGGCCTTCGAATGAGCTGGTTGGGGTGCGCGTTTCACTGGCCCGTGGAGAAGCAGAACTGTTTGAGGACACACGGATCAAGTTCCTCTTCTATGATCCGCCTGAGGGTGTGATCAAGATCGAGCCTTCAGCCGGTCCGGTAGGCGGTGGGACGGAGGTGCTGGCGTGGTGTGGAAGCATCGTTGAGACTGGCGAGATCACCGTCTCCATTCAGCTGTATAGAGATGAGTTTGAGCGTCCGATCACTAAACGACGATCGAGAGAGAGCGTCGTGGGGGGTATCATCCCATTATCGTCATTACCGCCGCAGAAGCGGAGGCTGAGCTGCAGGACGTCACTACAGTCGATGTTGGTCCGGGGAGAGATCGTCGGTGAGGCCGTGCGATTTGTGTCTCCAGCTGTGGAAGGTCCGTGTACGGCTGTGCTGAGTATTTCGCTGAACGGTATCAACTACACTTCAACGCAGAGCCCGCTGCAGTTTACGTACTACGTGGAGCCGATTCTTCGTCGGATTAATCCGGGTTGGGCTGCGATGGAAGGAGCCAACGACGCGCTGGTGCTGGAAGGTGAGCACATCCGCGATTTCGGCTGTCAATTACTGGTTCGCTTCACGCTCCAGGACGAGAAAGAACCCGATGAGAACGGCATCGTAGTTGACGCGCAGTTCATCGCCAACTCTGCAGCTTCTGCATCAGGAGACGGCGCGTTGCAGTGCGTGTTTCCAGCCGCACCCCCAGGGTTTTACGAGCTCGAGGCGAGTCTAAACGGACAACAGTTCTCACAGTCTCTCTACGTCAGCAAAACATTCGGCAACTTGAGTGGGACGGCGTGCACCGCCCTCCTCCCATTCCGACACTTTGGCTCGCCCTTCTGTCTGGCCACAGCGACCGGGCCTGCTGCAGGCGGATCGACCGTCGTGTTGTTTCTCGGCGGTAAATTACTGAAGATTTTATCACGAGAAACCAAGTGCCAGGTGCAGTTTTCGCCTATTCGAGGGGTGGAGAGGGTCATGCGTCCGCCGCCTTCAAACCCGAACGGTGGGACGAGCCCTATCAAGGCGACGACCAACGTCGCTGCAGACGTTATCTGCATGGTGGGGGAGATCGACCACGCTAACGCTCGTGTCACGTGTCGAGCCCCCTTACTACGCGTCGCCTGCGTATCTCTCGTGGATATTCTACTACCAAGTAGCAGTGGGTCTTCGTCTGCGTGTCACCTCTTCGGCGTGCGGCAGAGTGATCTGGAAAAATACTATTCGTACGAATCTCCAAGCATTACCGAGATCGCTCCAAGCTGCGGCCCAACGTCAGGCGGCACTCAACTCGTCATTGAAGGCATGAACATCCTCGATACAGCGCAGATCTTCGTACGCTTCCGCTCCAGTGTCAACGAACGGGAGTTCGTCCTCGTTCCTGCTCGATACAGTCGCACGTTTCCTGGCGGTTCAGCGAGTGCCTCGCCGCTTATCATCTGCAACACGCCGCCAGTCGAATTCGTGGACAAAACGCTGTCCAGCGGCTCGGATTTACCCGGTCAAAGCACCGCCTTGCTGCCCCCACAAGCTCAGCCGTCCCCTAGGATGCGTGAAGGCGCAGCGGCGGGTAAGGTGCGCACGCAGACGTATCAAATGCTAGCGGAGCAGAGTCTTCGGGTTCAGCGGGCGGCTCTAGCTCACGGAACCAATGACAATGAATTAGCTGCTCTCGGAACTCTCCGAATTACGCGTCCGACAGTCAAGAATACGCCTCGTGGCAACGCGGAAGCTTCAGTAAGCGAAGGTGGGGCGACGGTGCTGGTGGACTTTACGCTGAATGCTGGGGAGCAGTTCATTGCACACAGCGTACGATTCCACTACTACCCAGAGATCGAGCCGCACCAGGTCAAATGGTTGCCTAGGCACCTGCCGACGCAGTGTCTAGGTGGACGTCAAGCTACAGATTCACGGGTGTTGACCGTGATGCTACCAAAGTCTTTCAAGCTAACGGACTCCCCCGAGCGCGTGTGTTTCCGCTTTGACGGCGTAGATTCAAACCCTCTGGTCACTAAACGACGTCACTCATTTGTGCTGCTCCACGAGACGGACTCGCGCACGGAGCTGGTGATTCCCAACCCTCCGAAGCTTCAGAGACTGTCGACGCTGAGACGCTCTAGCACCTACTTCAAGAACAGCGCCATGTCCTCGGACAACGAGATTATCGCTGCAAGTCCACCTATGACGCCTGTAAGCGGCACTCCATCATCTGCGCGTCGTCCTGCAATTGCTGGGATAGCGACGAATAACACGCTAGCTACTCCCGAAGCCCCTGCTTCTCCTCGACCAGCGATGGAGGAGTCGTCCCCTTGCATCGCAGCGAAGGTTGTCAGTGCCAACGAAGTATCGTGCACTGTCCCCGAGTTTTCCAGTCCGGGAGCTGTCCAGGTTTTCTTTTCGCCGAACGCGCAGCAGTTCGTGCGCCTAGGAGAGCTGCTGTTCCATCCCGCGATGACCATCAAGGACGAATTTCACCAAGCGACGTTCCGCTTCTGCTCGAACGTTGGCGGCAGTCCCTTTGCACTGCAATGTTCGCCCTCAACGGTGCTGAAGTATCTGGCACCGGAGGACATGACCACAGCCGAGAAGAAGCACGTGCAGATTCAGAACCTTGGGCTGAGGAAGCGCAGTGTGGCGCTGGAGCACGCGAGGTCGAGTCTGCCACAGATCCCACAGGACTTGAAGGAACAAGCGGCCACCACGATCCAAGAAGACGACGACGACGACGACAGCGAACAAGAAGAAGACGAAGCTTCAGAGGCTGCAACTAATGGGGATGGCAAGAGTGACTTGAGTCAAGAACCGTTTGAGCGGTGGCAAAGCCGTTTATTCCACTCCATGCAACTTTTTCTAGTACCGTCGAATGCAAAACTCCTGAAGCGCGTGGTGGTGACGGCGACCCGAGTGGACAACCAGTGCGTGGTCGGCAAAGCTTCTCCAGATGATGCGGGGCGCTGTGAGTTTGACATGTACAACTGGGGCGACCAAGTGCTGCTGAGTGCGGCTCTACCGTCGTCTAACGGATATTCATCATACTCCACAGTGTATGAGCCGTCCGCAGACCACGAAGCAGTATCGGCAAACGCAATGACGTGTCTGGTAATGACTCAACTACCTGCTCCTTCAAAGCTCAACATCGCTGCTATTGGCCCAAGTTCGACGGAAATTCGCATAATTATCGTCGACCCCAGTGGTAAAGAACTTCTGGAGGGTGTTGCAGTCTCGTCGGAGCCCGAAGTACGAGAAAACACAAGAAGTTTTGTTGTTTCCCTGGATCAGACGGCCATCACGGATGCGGTGTGCGGCTTGTGCTACGTGTGCGTTCGCTTTGGCTCAACAGATAGAGACGCACCGTCGAACGTCCAAGTGCTTGTATCCGACAGCAACGGGGTCCATGTGTGTCTCTGCGGTCCTCCAGTCGAATCCGCAGTGTGGGTTGTAGCTCGACTGCAGCCCAATATCGACCCAAACAGCACAACTCCCCAGTCTTCACGAACCGTAATTGAACCTGTGGACACTCTGATTCAAGACGCAGAAGCGACTTTGAAGGGCACTTTAACGAAGCTCGCGGTGTCGCCCAAGCGTTCCAACACTGTGACGTCCCAGTCGTACACAGTCCCCGTGACGTTCGACTTCACCAGCGCCGACTCGACCCGTGGTAGCTCCGCATCGTCGCGGGCACGGCTCGTGCTCTCAGGGTCCGACAATTTCCAGACTTTGCTGGCGCTGTCGCTCTCGCCGCAGATCAAGAACGGCCCCACCGTGACTTTGGAGTGCACAATGCCAACTCTGGCGTTCAGTGGCCCCGCGACACTCACGGTGAGCTGCGGGGGCGTCGTGTTCTCCAACAGCGTCATGGTTCACTGCTATGACCCACGGAGCTGGCGCGTGCTTGGGCTTTATCCTCCGTGCGGGCAACTTCCTTCGCCTCAAGACGCGAAAGAGCTGCAAGAATCCATGACGCTGCGACTCAAAGGCGAACACTTCGTCGAGAACCGCAAGATCGTGGTGCGCGTGTCCGATAAGGAGCGGTTCTTCACCTCGTCCGGCAGAGTGGAGCAGGTTCACGTGCTGAGTCTGCGGATCTCTGCAGTGAAAAACTTGAAATCGCTGCTAGCTCCGCTAGGAATTGGCACTCAAGTACCAAATACCGGCGCCAATGGGGCGGCGGCATCGTCATCAAAACGTGATGAGAGTAAGTACTTGAGCTCAATTGTCGGTGGAACCACCAGTGGCGGTTCTATCGTGACAGGAGTGTCAACGTGGACGACATTCACCTTCACGCTGCGGATCGAGTGCGGCGACCAAAGACTCTTCGCTTCCTGTCGGGAGGTCAGCGTCTTCGCGGCTACTTCGTCCGGTTCCGTCTTGAGCTGGGAGGAGGAATTCGAGGTTCGGATCGCCTCGGACCGACGCGCGCCGCTGCTCATAACTGCCGAGCTATCGGAGTCTTCGCTTCCGAAGCCCCTCGAGCTCGCGCAGGCCTGGGTGCCGTTGAGCAGGATTCAAGAAGGGTCTGCAGATATCCGCCGCTACACTGCGCGCTTCGAGGAGCACTTCAAGCGCGGGAACTACGCTGGCAACGAGACGATTTCGGCGGGTAATGGCTCAGCGACTGAGGTGGATCTGCTGCTTCAACTGTCGCCGTTGATGTTGAATCCGGACTACATCATCTGCCAGCTCCCGTATCCGCTGCTCTTACAGTTGTCACCTCAAAACCTCGACGTACAGGTGTCATCGGGGGATGGATTCTACTCCACCCCTCAGTCCTTCCTGGTGTACAACCCCCCCACCGTGACGCTGACAACCCCGAGCGTTCTACCACGATCAGGAGGAGGGGAAGTGCTAGTCACTGGCACCGGATTCGTCAATAGCGGGCGCGTGTGTGTGCGGTTGTTCGCGTTCAAGAAGAACCGGTTCAAGAATGCTGAAGAAGAGCAGCGCGCGCTCGCGATCATCAACCGCGTGAAGCGATTCCAGCGCACGGAGAGCACGAACGACGGCTTCTTGGCGTATTTCTCCCGAGATGTGGAGGGGGCGTTCATCTCCAGTACGAGCGTCAAGTTCAGGATGCCGGCGCACTTGACGAGCTACAACGTCTACTACTCCGTGTCATTCGACGGACGCGCGTTCACGGAGGCGTCGCAGGTCTCGAGCGTGCTGATGTTCAGTATCAGCGCTGTGACTCCAAAGGGAGGGCCGATCTCGGGCAACACGTACACGACACTGCACGGCACCAACATCGACGCGTGTTTGTCCTCACGGATTGGGCTGACGCCCTTAGTTCGAGTCACGTGGAAGCGTGGAGCGCGAGACCTCGAGCACGTGATGGTGCCCGGGGAGTTCTACCCGCACGAAAACGCAGTGTACTTCTACTCGCCTCAGAGCAAGTTTGGGCTGTACAGCATCGCTGTGAACGTCGAACTGGCGCTGGTAACTCAGTCAGGGGCTGCAAGTTCATCGGTAGAAGGGCTCCCGCGCTTCGGTCGTGACGAAGTGTCCTTCGTCATGTACAAGACGCCAGTGATCAAGTCTGTGGCTCCATTAACCGCGCTCGTATCGGGGCTTTCGACCACTGAAGTGATCGTCCAGGGCTTCGAGGAGAGGGCCGTGAGCAGCATGAAGCTGGCGCCAAAGCTGCGCTTCAAGCGTCGAGGGCAGATGCAGGTGTCAGATGCTCAACTGGTGTCGGAGTCGCGGTTCGAGTGCTTAGTACCGCGCTTCAACGTGACCAACGCGGTCCCCACCGAGCTCCCGTTGTCTGTACTACCGGGTTTCGCTCCAACTCCGAGGCTTCGAGGCGGAGGCAACGCTGGCGGGTTCAGTCCTAGACGTTTGAATGGCCCGCCCAAGCTGTGGACTCGTACTGCAGGTGTGTTTGTGGCGTTACTGGGGGCGCGGGGTCTGCGCGCGTCCAAGAAGAACGCGTGCAACCCGTTCGCGGTCGTGTACGTAGGCAAGACCCAACTCAAGAGCACGCGCAAGGACGGCGCTTTCTCCCCCGTGTGGAATGAGTTATTCGACTTTGAGTGGGCGGTGGGAGGTGACCCAGCGAGTCTTCCGTCTGTACGCGTGGTGCTTGAAAGTCAACTAACTGCGGACCAGAGCGAAAGTCTCGGACACGTCGAGCTCACGTTCCCGGTTAAGGAGCAACTAGCGCAGCCCTTCGCTCTACGCGCGTGGTTTCCACTGCGGCGCATTCGAGGGAAGTACGCGCGGAAAGAGAACGAAGAGGTGGTTGTGGATCAGTCTCAGTCAAAGTCCAAGAAACCAGCTCCAGCTCCAGTCACAGCGCCAACGTTGGGCGAAGTGGAGCTCGCGATCGCGTTCGTGCCTCCTGTGGCGCAGATGAAGAAGAACAAGAAGGCGTTGCGCTCGTCCCTCATCTCTGTCATCTCAACTCACCCGCAGTCTGGAAGGCACTCGGCAGGGAAGAACCGAGGTGAGAGCGCGCTCAATGCGAAGAAGGAGAAGCTCCTTCGTGCGTTCCGTCAGCGTGGGGCGCCCGTATCTCTCGTTCCCACAGAGCTAGCGGTCGAGTTGGCCCTCAATGGTCAGGACTTTTGGTCCGTAGCGCCGTCGAACTGCTACTCGATCTTGACCCCAATTGTACTCGATGTTGAGCCGAAGTTCGTCTGCATCAGTGGCGGCTCGCTCCTGTGTGTTACGGGGAACAACTTTGTCAACTCTGGATATTTACGGGTAGCCTTCGCGGTACTCTCGGATGAAGGCGTCACTCAGACGATCCGCAGTGATCGCACCGTCCTCGTGGAGGCCAAGTTCCGCTCCAGCACCAGTCTGGTCTGTACTACGCCGCCACTACTGGACTTGGCGACAGAGTCATCCTATGTGAACGTGTACGTGTCCGTGAACGGTACGGACTTCGACAGCATCGCACTCCCCAAGCAGCTTACGAAACTCGAAGCAACCGCGCTAGTCTCCGAGCCTGTGGCATCAACCCCCAGAACTGATGAACGCATTGAAGAGAGCGATGAAAATATGGTTGAGGAACCTCCAAGGAAGAGCCCGAGGAGAACCGCGCAGAATGCGTCGGAGAGTGCGGTGGCTTTGGTCAGTGGACAGTACGTCGTGGACTGGAAGAAGGTAATTAAACTGTCACGAACTAGGACGACTGATTCAACCGGAGCGAAGCAACCTGGTCGGTTCTCCCCGACTCGACTGGTTACTTCAACCAGACAGGGGAACTACTTGCTCGTACCGCAGATCCGTGTCTACTTGGCTCCTAAAATCACACGCGTGCGGCCTACGGATGGGGTTTACACCTCCCACCTGACGTTTGACGGCACAAACTTCACCAACACGGGCATCGCAATTGGTAAGTTTTGGGTTTCGTGTGGATTTCAGCATTAACGTGTCTTACAATGTTTTCTGTTTACAGCGCGCTTTACCACCCAAGCCGTAGATCCGGAAGTCCGCACAGCGCGACTTATTGTCGTGTCCAGTACACGCATGGAGTGCAGCGTGCCTGATTTCCCGAGAGGAGTTATCGTACGGGTTGCGGTGGCCATGAACGGCGTCGAGTTTGTGCAGTGTCCCGGTGAACTGCGTGTGTTCCAGTCCCCACGATTAACGGAGCTCTTTCCGAGCTGGGTGTCGGCCACTACGACGTTGGAGCTCGAGCTGAGAGGCATTAACCTCACCGCTACGATCTCTGCAACCTCCATGGAAGACAACAACCGAGGACAACACGAAGCTGCCAGTGTCCAGGTGTCTTTCAGCAGCAGTCGCGGCCGGAAGGTTATCCGTGGAATCTGTGAGAACGGCCAGGTGCGCTGCCCGATTCCGAGAGAAATACTGCAAGCCTCATCATCGCTCGGACGAGAAAAATCACCCGCTCATTCAGCCACAGCGATGGCGTCCCCCATCCTCGTTGACATTTGGCTGGGTGGGAAACACAACGCGGTATGTTTTCAACACTTTTGTGGGTTTGGCTCGTTCGTTCGTTCTAAGGCATAGTTTTACTGACCAACTTGAGTATTTTGTGTTTGATAGTTCACCGGTTCGCCACTGTCTTTGAATGTGTACCGAGAAATCCCCACAGTGAACTTGGTCTCGCCTATGGATGGACCGGTTTACGGGGGCTTTGCCGTCGTAATTGAGGGTCGTGGATTCATCGACACTGGTAAAATCATCGTGCGGTTCCAGCTCTACACGGAGCCGCAGCAGCAGGAAGCCACTCCTCGAATCGAAGAGGAAAACGCATCTCAAAAGGCCCCTCAAACGCAGGGGTTGTCACCAGTCAAGAGCGCGAGTTTTCTCGACAAACGTCCAGTTGCTAACAGCGAGACATCATCACCCGCTGTACCGGAGCAGGCCGCATCGTACGTCGACGTGGTGGCCAAGTTCGTGTCTTCCGAGCGAATATTGTGCCAAGCCCCAGCTTTCCCCCAGGAAGGGGTGTACACTGTACTGGTGGCGTTGAACAGCGTCGAGTTCAGCCGCGTGAGTGACGGATCGTGGTTCCTGTCGTGGCAGAACTGGCAGAAGCGCAAGCGGTTGCTCTCTCACGCTTTGTTCTCTCGAGCTACGGCAGCCGAAGAGGCCGCGTCGGCTGCAGCCATCTCCGGAGCTGCAGCAGCTTCTGCCTCTTTAGCTGAGACCGACATCGAGCGACTGCGACGGAAGTCGAGCTTCATGCTGCCCAAGATCAAGAGCGCAATGGCTTCGTCGTCTCTCGTGGAGTCTTCATCGTCCTCATTCAAGGCGAGAAGCGTCGACTCCGTGTCAGAGTACAGCGTATCGTCCGAGGAGGCCGAGGACGCATTGATGAAGGACCCTCGACTGCTGCAGTGGCAACCTACATCCGCTATGGAGGCGCGAGTCAGCGGTCGGCCGCTGCTATCCCTGCTGGAATACCTGTGCAGTGTTCGCGAGACGCAGCAGTTTATCTGTCGGGGCGTGCGCGTGGCCTTCAGGCTGCAGAGCGCCAAGACTCAGGGCACAAACGAACCAACGGATACCGTTCCTGCGCTCCGCTTCCAGTCTTTCGTTGAGGCGATCCGCATGGTGTTCCCCAGTGCGTTGATGCGCGACCTGGAGGAGCTCTGGCACGCTGCAGAGCACCGACCGGACGGGACCATGACCATCAAGCAGCTCTTACGGCGGCTACTGCGCAACGTTGCGTCTGACCAGCGCAGCTCGAGTCCGGAGCCAGGGCCGACGCACTATGACCCGCGATACTCCATCGTGACTTCGCGGGAGACCGCAGCGATCATCTTGCCTCCGGTCGTGCAGCCAGAGCACATCCTGGACCCACCGTCAGCGCTGTTCATGGACTACGATGCGGCGGTGCAGGCGGTGAAGCCCCGCCCGCCTCGACCCGTGTTCCGCAAGCGGAAGTTCAATACATCGTGGTGCAATCCGGTAGTGGAAGGCGCGCCGGAACCAACGCCGCCAAGTCCGCGCCCGCCCTCGGATACGAGTCGAACAAGACCGAGTCCACGGACTCAAGTGACTGGGGAGGAATCAAGCGCGTTGGCCTCTGAAGACACTGCAGGCATCGTTGATGACATGGTTGCGACCGCCATAGTCGAATCCGTTGACGAATCTCGTCCAAATGAGACTAAGACGGCTGACCAGCGGGCAGCGAGTAAGGAGGACGTCGTTCGAACTCCTCGATCCCTGGCTCAAGCGACGATCGCCTCGAGTAACAAGCGCGTACGCAGTCCGAATAGCCCACGAGGGACAAGACCTGCCATCTCCACTACCTCCCAGCCAACTCCACCTACTACCACTACAACTCCATCGGCGGTGATGCCTCGCCAGAGCACGTTGAGCGGGCCGAACCCCTTCTACAACGACATCGCGCCGCTGTACGCCAAGTTTCTCAACTCTGCAGAGGTCAAACGGTTTTTGAAGCAGTGAAATGGAAGTACTAGAAAGTATGGATGCGTTCGTTCATCATTGGCACCTACTGCGAGTTGAAGGGCAGCTTCTCGCCACCACTAGCGCAGTAATCCATGAAGGCTGCTAACTGGATAGCGCCGATGTTGTCGGCGTCGAAGTACATGAAGATGTGGATCACTTCCTTGTCCGTCAGAACGGCTGGAAGCCCACGGACGGCGCTATTGGCAGGGAGGGCGGCTCCAGTGGCCGAGAAAGCTGCTCGGAACTCGTGCAGCTCGATGTATTCGCGTCCGTCCTCCTGTTGCGGCTGCTCTCCACCTTTCGCCTTCACTGAGCCGTGTCGGAGCGTGTCCATGAGGCGTTTGCCCGTGTCAGGGTCCGACTTGAGCAAGTGCAGGAGTCTCTTGAGTGCCGATCGTTGGTGCACACTCGCACCATTGCGCTCGTCGTGCAGACAACCAGGCTCGGTGGCCTCTCCGTGGCGCTTGGACGGATCATTGATCTCGTTCGTGAAGGTGCTGGAGCGACCAAAGGCGTTGCTGCCGTCCGAGACGGTGGTCGGGAAGTCGAGGCCGACGCCTGTGGTCATTGCGTACGAGTACCTGGTGACGGGGGCGCCCTTCAGGAGGTCCAGCTTCATCTGGTCAATGCTGTCGGTCTCCGCTCTGGTCAAGTGCTGGACATTGCGGTCAACCTGACGAGCCAGCGCCCCATTGCGGCCTCGAGGGACGCGCTTCATCGCCAGCGCCGACGTATCCATAGGCAGGAAGGAGCTTTTCGTCACTGTGATCCGCGCGGCCGCCTGACGTTCGAGTTCTTCCTCCTCACGCTCTCGAGCGCGCTGTTCACTGTGCAGGCGTCTCGCCGTCTCGGCCAAGTACTGGTCTCGGAGAGAGCTTCGCGGCCCGGGGCCAGGCTTTTCAGCAGCGAAGTCGGCGTACCGCGTGCTCGCTTGGAGCGTCGTCTCGAAGGGCGGGGGCGTGATCTCACTCGCGTGGCTGTTGCAGGTCAGCCCCACCGAAGACTCGTGAAGCAGAACGCGCTTGTGGGTCGACTCGATGCGAGACTCCTTCCGATCTGGTAATTCAGTTGGTTAGTAAGTTCCTAGAGCAGGAGAAAGCGAGGCACTTTGAAGCTCTTAACTCACCTGGTGCGAATAGTGGAGCAGGGATTTTTCGTCGGGAGTAGCCCGTTCGGTCCTGCAGCGCGTCTTCTTCCACCCAGTTGCCAATGAGCGCCCCGATGCTGTTGGTCTTGTTGTACGACGCGTACATGTTGGTCATCTTGCTCGTTACCAACAGTGCCTTGCCACCTCGTGGGTCAATGCTTTGTGTGGTACGTTTTTGAAGTCTGGCCTTGAACAACCACCGCTAAAAATGCCGCTCCCGGGCATCCGTTGAAAGCTGTCCATAGCAGACATTGCCACACGAGATATCTCCACCTTGCGCCTATAAAAAAGGTTGTCAAATCTGCACTGGTCTTACGTCGTTGCATTCACCCGGTCATTCGGTTCGAATGGCGCTATCGAGTGCTCCACGGAAGCTTCGGCTCGCCGATCCGCACGCGGAGCTGCCCATCAAGAACCACAAGTATGTGAAAAACTGCACGGAGCTGTACATGGCCAACAAGCGCATCGACAAACTCGCCAACTTCGACGCCTTCGTGAATCTGGAGGTGCTCTGGATCAACGGCAACCAGGTACGAACGTCGTCAAGCTTGCGTCACATCTCCATCTCCAACGATTCCACCTCACGAACCTTGTGCTCTGGCCAGATCCAGGAGCTCGATGGGCTTGACGGCTGCTTTCGTATCAAGCAGCTCTACGCTCAGAACAACTGCATCCGGTACGCGATGGCTTGTCACCCCCTTTAATGTCTCTAATACCCGGTCAGGTTAACGTGTACGCGGCACCGAATCCTTGCAGGTCGCTGGAAGGCTCCTCCCTGCCGCACTTCAAATTCCTCCGAGAGCTTCGCCTGTACGACAACAAACTCAAGGACTTGCAGGGCACGCTCGAGGTGCTCAGTCGCCTGTCGCACTTGCGAGACCTCGATCTGTTCGGCAACGCCGTCGTCGAGGAAGAAAACTACCGTTTGCAGGTCATTCGAGCTATCCCGTCGTTGGATGTGCTGGATCGCCATGTTATCACGGACGAAGAGCGCGCCAAAGCAGCCAGGTAACATATCTCTGGCCGTGCCTCGTGGGGTGAGCAGGTTTCCTAACCAGGCCCGTACAGGTTACAGATCCATGGTGTTGACGACGGAGATGCCCACGGCAATCAACACGGCGGCAAGAAGATCAAGAAAAAGCAATCGGGGACTGTGGCTGGTGCTCCGCCGCAGGTCTTGTCTGGGACCGTGAAGATGCTGTTCAGAGAGGTGGCGGCCATCAAGCGAGAGCAGCAGGCACGGACCTTATCCTGTATTGCACAACGTAGTAGTAGTAGTAGTCGCCAGCTGACGTTATGATCTGTTTGTTGCGACAGAAGCACGCTCACGAGGCGGCCGAGCGAGAGCAGGAAGAGCTGAAACGGACTCAGCAGCAGGCGCTCAACGCCACGTCGACCTCCAGGAGATCCGGCAACAACAACAACAAAGCCGAAGAGATTCCAGGCCTGGGCGACTGGGAGGTCACAGCGCTCAAGAAACACTTCCAATCGCTCGAAGAAGCCAAGAACAGGTACGTCCTAGAGCGTTCTTGAAAGTCCACAATCGCCTGACTGAAAGTGTATGTTTGGCTGCAGTGGAATCGCTCTGGAAAGCCTGGAGCAGGCGGTTCGATACCTTCGCACACGCGGGTACTCAGTCTCGTACAACGGGACTCGACTTGAAGGGAAGCAAAGCGATGTGCTTCAGCTGGAAAACGTATTGCCGACGCCTGGTAACATTCAGTGGAAATCATTCATTCAGGTAGAGAGGATCCTTTCTGCGTCAGTCCCATAAATGATCACCATGGTCACCTTTGGTTCCTCCCCTTTCGTTCAGCTCTTCGAGTCCAAGCAGCTGCAGTGTGATGTACTGAGCCCCCGAGAACTGCGACAGCAAGCGGCCGCCTGCTTCGACAAGTGTGCTGCCATGCAAGTAAGTGCTCCGGAACTTCAATGACAGCTGACCCTCCGCTTCGCCGAGCTCACAATTCGCTTCCGTGTCCAATTCAGCGGCGACTGCAAGCACTCGACACCAACGATGCAAGAGTAGAGGTAAAACTTCCGCTTGATAACAGCTCAGAACTCCGTCGTCCCTAGGCCTAACTTGTACCTTGAACTGCCCAGCACCTTGTCAAGGAGAGCTTCGAATTATCGCAGCAAGGTTACCATCTGCAAGCGTTGGCGGATGGCGATCAATCATCGAGCAGGTCCAGATCCTCCCGCGTACCCAGTTCTGCCGACACCAAAGAGCACTGGGAAGTTCCTTCGACATCGACTCCACGCACACGTTTCTACATGACGGCCTTCACGCGTGAGAAGACGCCAGTGCATTCGTCAGTATCTGCTTCGAGAGATTGTAGCTCCCGCTTCAGCGAGCTGAAATCCGAGAGCGAACACGTCACTGAAGCATTGGCCGGGAAGTACAAAATCCGGCAAAAGGTACGGGAGAATCGCGTCTAGTGTCGGCCAGATAGCTCCAGGGTAGCTAACACGCTGTGTTTGGGTCTCGTGGCAGGATTTCACGAAGTACCTGGCGAAGCAGACTCCCCAAACCACAAAACTTGTGCGTCGCAACTACCAACTGTAAGGCTCAGAAACAAAAACACACAAAACTGTCAGCATACAAAGCAATTGGCGTACCCACCGGGGAGAGCAGCTACAGTAGCCACACACTGTCTCCCCTCTCTATTCAATAAAATCTTCCAGATCCGCGAACGCGTCTGCACCATCTTCTTCGTTGAGGAACGCATCGATGATAGGGTGGCGGCTGCGCAGCCGCTTCCGACGCTTCCTCACGATCGGCACGACACCAAGCAGACGCTGCCTTGCCTTCGCCTTTCCTCGACGAGCGCTTGCTTGGTCTGTCGGCGCGATCCTCTCTTTCACTAAAGCTACCAATGCCCTTAACCGATCCTTCGAGGCATCCGAGAGTGCACTCTGCAAGTAATGATACTGCGTTAGAAACTGCGACCAATAGGAATCAAACAGGGTCCTGCGTACCTCCTTCAGCCATGACTGCGCGGTCCCCGGAACTTGCAGGAAAAATATATCCATCTTGAGTAAAGTTGCAGACACCTGGGTTTAAACATCGAAAACAAACAATTAGTCGGCTTAATTTCAGTGCAGCAACGCCTCCAAATGCTACAAAACGTACCTTGGTTTTCGTCCCCGAATCTTGACTGGCGTCCTTAATTCCGTCGACCCACGTACGAGACTTCAAGGCGGACATCACTGAGGATTCATAGATGCAGATCACCGTGTCGGGCGGGAGATCAGCATCAAGACCACTCACTCTTCGCAACGCGCCACTTGCTTTGCCGATTCGCAGTCCAAGTTCGATCATATGAAGCACTTTCAGCAACACTTTCCGGGTCCCCCAAGAAAAATCACGACTGTCGCAAAGTGCCTGGTTGACCAGCTCGTGAATGCGGACGTAACTCAGAATCTCCTGGTGATGGAGAACCGTGCAGATCTCGCGCGCGCTGCTCTTGGCGGTGATGGCACTGAGTAGCGTGGACTGGGATTGTTCGAGCACAGTTAACACGGCCAGGATCGCGATACTTTGGCTAGCCTGCGACTGGAGGTGCGGAATACGATCTCGGGTCGGCAAATCAGTATGGCTGAGCCTGTTGGCGCTAGAGCTCGCTGTACTGGAATCGTTTGACCTGACAGAATCATCGGAATCGGACGAGTGGCTGGCGCTCGAGTCCGAGTCAGAATCCACTTTCAAGCCGTAGGGAGACCTGGCATCAAATCCTTGTCGGAGACGCTTCCGGCGCACTGAAGTTCCCTTCCTGTCTCGCTTCTTCTTGGCGGGCGCTTTCAGCTGACGATGGCTCTCGTTTGTGTCCGCAGAATCGACAGCAGTCGCTCCCGAGTCAAGTCCACACGCCTGAATGATGCCTTCAATCTTGCTCTCCATCGTCACAAACGTATCGACACGGAGCGCGAGGTGAGTCGGGAGGCAAATGCTCAACAGAAGTCGAAGCAGTCGCGGGTTGTACACGACGTTGTCGCACAAGATGTCAAAGGCGAGGGAGGAGAGAGCACACCAACGTGAGGAGACCGCATTCTGGTCCGCCATCTCGGCGCCGATGTCACAAAGCCGTTTGCTGAGTGTTGCGCAAGCCACGCCTAGTTTCGTAAACCCATCCAGCTGAACGCACTTCTTCACGTCACCCAGAAAGTAGTGCGATAGCCGTACAAAATTGCAGCTACTGGTACCTTCGGGCGGCTGGTTGACTTCGGGCCACGAAATATTTCGCAGTACGCCTCCGATGTGATCATGCACTGAACCAAGACTCGTGCTTTTCATCATCATCTCCAGTGTCCGTCCAATCGCTGCGCAGACATGCTCCAGCATCTCCTCTCCACTTTTTGCGTCCAGCAACACGACCGCCTTCGCAGTTTTCGCCGGCGCTACCAGATGCCGAGCTGATACAGGGAGTTTCACGGAAATTGAATCGGCAAACACTGAAAACTGGGACCTGCAAGTTGACTGATCGTCCTGGTTGTCATTGGCGAGATCCGGGGCTGTCAACACGCGATCACGAACATTGAGGAAAACACTCAGCAACACTTCAAGAATGGAACCTGCTTCGCTTAGTCCACCAGCGTTGCTGCCCCGAGATAAACACGAGCCGTACACACCTTCGTCTCCAAGAGTGCTACAGCACGAGTCCAACGTGAAAAGAACCGCGTCAAATGACATCCCGCTGGGTCTATCAACTGCAGGTACGTTCGCCCCAGCGCTCTCCAGTAGGGTAGACTTGATGGCGGTCAGAATTTGGAGCTTTTCAGGCTGCAGCACTCGGTGAAGCCCGAACGTTACGGCCTTGACGTGCTCCTTCGAGAGGCTCGTCTCCATTTCATTTGTGTACTGAGCAGCAAGCTTCTGAATCATCCGGTGCAAGCTGAACTCCACTTCCATCAACGACCAAACCGAAATACCTCTATCATCAGTAGAAAACGCCACGGAAAGCTGTTCATCCTTGTCTTGATCAGCAGAAGCTTCGGCAGACTGCTGCTGCATAAGCATTTCAATCGCAACATTGCAAACTGCACACCCAATGTAGATGCGGGCTATGAGCTTCCACCACGCACTCTTCCCACAGGCTCTGCCTTGCGCTGACTGGTTCAACAAGTCGTTGGAGTCCTGGCAAATCCAGTGGAAGAAGTATTTCCAGTTGGACGCCAAGTCGACGAGCCACTGCTTGATATCACCATCTTTCTCGCCGAGGCCCTCGATCGGAACCCCCTCGGACGATACCTTCGATCGGGTTGCAGCTTTTTCGAATCCAATTAAACACGAAAGAACCTTCTGGAATATCAGGCCTATCGACGCTGCTCCATCCACACCAGAGTTCTGCTGATAGAACGAATCAAGCGAGTCAAATCGAAACCGCTGTAGACCTGAATCCTCGTCGTCGTACTCGTCTCCACTGTCGCAACCGTCATCAGTTCCGTATCCAGCGATAATCGAAGTAGTCGGCTGAATGAACTTGCCAACCTCTTGGGATAGGAACCGATGAAGCTCTTCCCATGAGCTTTTGCGCAAGGAGATGGCGGGTCCCTCGACTGGAGCAGCGCTACACTGGAATATTTGCTCCAATCGACCAAATGACCAAGCCTGGATATCGTGACAAGCTGTCATGCTGTTCTTGAGAGCAGACACAATCTCCTCCTGCCGACAGCAAGGCGTTAAAAATCGATCAGACTCCAGTACAACTACTGTAAAGCAAGTACCTCTTGCTGCTCACTGAAAGGCAGACGATGATTTAGCCACGTGCACCACATATCAACAGCAAATTGCTGGTGCGACCGATTGCCGGTCGACAGTAGCTTTCGTAAAAATATCATCAGAAAGTTGTACAAATCTGGTTGACACAAAGGCCGCGTGTCAGCTTTTCAGTTTAATTTCAAGCAATCCAGTTTTGAAAACGCACCTTTATATACCGTTGCCAAGCGGGAAGCAATCAGAAAGTAATCGCGGGCACTGTCAAATGACCGTTGGAACTGCATGCTGTATGTGGCATCAGAGAAGGTGTCAGATTTCGACACAACAAAAAAGTCGTGTATGGCTGTTCGTAGGTACCTGAGCCAGTCTTGAATAGCATTTAAGTGAGGGAACAGCTTTCCTGATTGCGAAATAAATAGTTGCGAAAGCGTTTCCGCCGCGATCTACATCAACGCACCGGTTAGGTTCATCCATTTGTTTGAATACGACAGTCCTACAGCGGCCACCTTACCTTACTCTGTGAGGGCTTTTGACATCGTTCAAACAAGCAACTGAGCACTTCCGAGCGTGTTTCTGAGGCCTGAATGTTTGAATTGCAGGAACGAATTAGGCACATACGGGAAAAGAGGACGAACAACAGACATACCGTCTCGAAAATCGCCTGTAATAACAGCAACGCCGTTGCAGACTTGGATGGCGAGTGCTCGCCCGTATCGCCCTGCTCTATCCAGAAGAAGGAAATGTCCATCAAAAGCAGCGCTTTCCACTCGCGAGCGTGAATTTGCTTGCCACCGAAATTGATAAGAAGCTCCACTTGGTCAAGTATGTGTTTCTCTATGGTTTTCGCCACCGTTCGGGATCCTGCGCTCTTTGACGCCGAGGTACTGGTGAAAACCCTGATATCACTCTGCACAATCCGCCACGCGAGCTGTTCAATATCTGTAAACACGGAGGCTTCCGTTGCGACGCGAGAAGACGATGTTCGATGGTGCAGGATGGGCTTGGACGCCTGGAGAGAGTGCAGCAGCAGGAAGAGGTCACGCCAGTCCAGTGCGAGATCCAATCCGCTATAAGCTGGGCCATCAAACAAACCGCTGGCGTCCGTCATGTTGACGTCGTCCGACTCCGACAATTCGCTCGAACGAATGGATTCGCACACAAGTGCAACAATTCGTGGTGACTGCTGGAAGCTCTGTAAGGCCAGAAAAGCGAGTAATTAGTCACAACCTAAGTGCGCATCATTTCACCACGAAAAAGACTCATACCATCTGCAGGTTGAACTCCGCCTCCTGTCGCAGGTGCACGGGTAATTGCCGGAGCAAATAGCGCGCGATGCCGATCCACTTGTGGTCGCCCGTCACATTCGCCACCAACACGCACTCGCGAATCACCGGGTTCATTGTCTCGCTCGCCATCTCGGGCGACGTCGTCACCATGCGCTCCACATTCTCCTACCAACACAAAAAAAACACAACCAAAAGCCAGCCATCAGCAACACAACCAATAAATCGTCAATAAAAAAACTCCGCACCTGAAGCTGCTGCCAGCTCTCTCTCGACATCAACGCCGCATCATCCACCAGCACATCCAGCAAACTCGGCACCGTCTGGCAACTCCACGGCAGCTCCAGCAACTTGGCCAAATTCTGCAACAACAACACATCTCATCAGTTCTTCTCCGTAATAAATCAATAAAGCTCTCACCACTTTACCTCCTGGACGCCTGCGCCCGCTTCCTCGTCCCCTACCTCGCCCATGAGCCCCAGAAAGTATGGCACGAGGCCCAGCAGCTGCGGCAGCACCTTGGTGGGCTTGGCGGCCTCCACGACCTCCGTCAGGAAGGAGAAGACGATGTCCAGCACCACGCGGATCTCGTCCAGCAGCAGCCGCCGCCTCCTATCCCTCCTGCTGTTGCCGCTGCCTCTCTGCTGCTCCTGCAGCTCGTCCAGCGCGCGCGCGTAGCCGAGCGTGACCTCCGTGAGCAGCTGCATGCTCTCCAGCTCGCTGGGGCTGCCGCGCCGCAGCACTTGGATGATGCGCGAGGCGGCGCGCAGCCGCGTGGCCTCGCACTGCGCCAGCAGGTGCACGAGCGGCAGCCAGTCGTCCTGCACCACGAACGCGCCCTTCTGGGCCTTGCGCTTGGCGTCGCGCGGGGCGATGCCGTCCAGCAGGCCGTTGAGCTGCGGTTTAGAGACGGTTTGAGAAGGTTAGAGAGGGTTGGAGAGGGTGAGGGGGACACACGAGACGCACCTCGTCCGCGTCGATGGACTGCAGGTACTGGCGCACGGCGTCGGCGTCCGTGGCGCTGGCGCGCAGCAGCTCACGCGCGCTGCTGCTGCCGTCCTGCATGGCGGTTTGGAGTGGTAGAGGACGGGGTAGAGTATGGAATTGTACCCCCGGGGGCAGTAGGAGTGATTGTGTATTTGTACATGTGTTTGGTGATTTGTGCAATAGGAAGGACAGAAAACCCACTTCAACTTGCTACGGGTGCTGGCAAAACGAGCGGCGAGCTCACGATTTGGTGTCAAGATGGACAGCACCGTGCTGCAGTGGTGGTGGTGTCCACGTAGCGTTGCAGAACAGCTCAACTGCAAGGGCAACTTTGCACTCGAGGGCTATGTACGGTTCGGCAGGGCACCATGGGCACCAAGAAGAGATCTTCGTCCCGCGCAGACGCAGTCCAGCGGTATGGGTCTATAGTCGCACAGAACATCCGCGCGTTGCAGGCCACGATGGGCAACATACACGCTGCCGTGGAGCCTTTGCTCAGCGGCACCATATAGGAGAGTGCGGGGCAGGTCGTCAGTCTGATCTGCACTAATGCAAGCTACTAGCTAAGTACAGAATAATTGTTTTCGATCGAGGCGTGTGTGCGCATGTACGAGTTGATTGGGTGGCCCCATCTGCAGCCCACGCTTACTACTAGGGATCCCGCCCGGGGATACTACTGCAAGTCAAAAGTTTAATCAACTCGTAACATCAGCATCGCTGCACCGGTCGGAAAAGCGCCAAGCTTGTTGCATCTACCTCCATTCCGTCATGTTGAAGAACCTGGTGCAGAACACCTTTGAATAGCTGCTTCAGCCGCACAAGCACGTCCGCCGGCATCGCCATATCGGCCCAGTCCGTGCTGAAGGTGTCACAGGCTCTGTAGACCTCCAACTGTCACGCCATGGACGTCCATGCACCGCAACTTTTAGCACGGCCTCTCACACTTCGTAGCACTGGAGTGCTCGCCCGTCCGCGGCCACGAACAACTCTGCCTCCTCCATCTCGTCTTGGATGTTGTACAAATAACGCCAAAATAATGGAGAACCTGCAGGTTAGCAAGAAGGATGATCGAATTACTATGCGCCACCCACCCTCCTTACGTCTCAACCGACTTCCATCCTGCGTACTTGCCGCACGGGCCAGCGCCTCGCACCTTCGCCGTCGAATATAAAGGCGGGGGACGCCATGTTTCAGAAAGCGGTGCAAACCTCACTATCTGCCAATTGTCTGGATACGTAGCAAGTTGAAGCTCGTTTTTTTGTACCGAAAATGACTAAAACTGTATGTATTTTGCTTGTCAAGGGGCAACTTCTTCAATCGATGGCAGGACGCAACCGGCAAACATCAAACGCACTCCTATCGGTGTAAGTACAGTTGATTTTGTTAAAGTCTAATACTTGCTACTATGTCGTCGCTGCTCGCGGGCCAAAACGCAATTCCCTTCTTGCTTGCCAACGGGTCCGCAGCACTTGACCTGCCTAAGTCCTTCTCGCTCCTTCCCTCTCTATCTCTTGGTGTGGTTGATGTAGCGCAGCGAGAGCATCGAGAGCAGGCGGAAGATGATGATCGTCACGAACACGTAGCCGAAGTTGGCCCAGCGGTCGTCGTAGTTGTACTTGAACGTCGACTCGGATGTACTCCTTGACCGTCATGTGCGAGTACGTGACCGGCAGGCCCGACACGGGCTGGCAGCCGAGGTGCGAGCCCACGTTCTCGTACTGGCCCAGCGACGCGTTCCACGTCGGGCTCTCGGGGCAGTCGCAGAACACGAGCGCCGACAGGATCGAGATGGAGAACCGCTGCGGCACGATCGTGTAGAGCCACTTGTAGCCCTCCGGGATGGACGCCGCCGGCGGGTTGAAGCCCGCGAACAGCAGGAAGATCGAGTTGATGAGCGCGCCCATGACGGCCGCCACCTCGATGCTCGGGAACGCGTGGATCAGCAGCTGCGCGAAGTACATTTGGCCCAGCACGAAGAGCGACACGTGCACCCAGTAGAGCACCGCCGTCGCGAAGCCCTGGAAGCCCACCATCGGGTAGAAGATGACGATGAACAGCAGCGACTGACCGAACACGTACGGGATCTCCACCACCGTCGTGGCCACGAAGTACCACAGCGAATTATACGTCTGCGCAGCGCGCCCCCGATAGAAAGCCGAGCGGTCGATCGAGTACACGGGCAGCGTGCCCATGAAGCCGGCCATGGCCATGAACAGCGTCGACATGAAGACCAGACCCACGCCGCCCACCAGGCCGCTGTACGCCGTGTAGTCCACGCTCAGGAACGACAGGCCACAGATGATGGCCACGCCGAACACGATGCCGAAGCGCGTGAGGTTGAACGCCGGCGTGCGCCAGTACAGGTTGAAGAAGCGCTTCATGAGGAAGTACATCTGCGTCGAGCCCTTGGACGCGCGCTTCTTCGTGAACGTCAACGAAGTCCAGATCGCGCGCGCGGTCGTTGCTCACGCCGGCGCCGATCACCTCCAGCATCCACGTCGCCGGGTTCTGCTTGGGCGGGCACGGCTTGACGCCGGGCGCCGCCTCCAGGTACTTGACCAGCTTCTGGCACCGCTCGCCCAGCTCGCCCACGAACACCGACTGGCCGCCGCGCTTGAGCAGGATCAGGTGGTCGAACAGGAAGAACACGTCCGACGAGGGCTGGTGGATCGTGCACACGATGGTGCGGCCCGAGTCCGCCACCTTGCGCACGCCGTCCGTGATGAGCTTGGCCGAGTGCGCGTCCAGGCCGCTCGTGGGCTCGTCCAGGAACAGGATGCTCGGCTGCGCGGCCAGCTCCACGCCGATCGTCAGGCGCTTCATCTGCTCCTGCGAGCTGCCGCGGATGATCTGGTCCGCGATGTCGTGCATGTCCAGCAGGTCAAGACAGTGTCGTACTTCTTGCTGTCCGGGATGCTGCTGTCCTGGCGCAGGAACGCGCTGAACGTCAGCGCCTCGCGCCTCGTCGACGCCTCCGAGTGCACGTCCATCTGCTCGCAGTAGCCCGTGGCGCGGCGGATGGCCAGGTCGTTCGCCTCGGACAGCGCGCGCACCCAGACCCAACCCAAGAGGGGCAGCTGCCCCGAACATTAGAAAACTTCTTGGATCGAAGTGAGCCATGCAGCCAACACTTTCGAAGCCGTCTCCTCACAATCCAACTCGCCATGGGGAAGCCCGGCCAGAAGAAGAAGGCCGCAAGGGGGTCCCCTAGCGTGCTCCAAGCCGCCCTCCAACAAAAAGATTAACCAGACCAGTGCGGAAGAAGCCCATCTTCAAGCTTGCGCCCTCCATCCGTGACAAGAAGCATATTGACTACAAGGCCGCCGGCCAGGCATGCACGCCTCCGCTCGGCGAGGCTACCGTCCGGAAGGTCGTGACGAAGTTCAAGAAGTGCGAGCCGTGGAAGGGAGATCCATGGTACAAACGCAAGCGCGACCCGAAGCACGAACCTGTCCGTGTCAAGCGCAAGGTCTGGGACCTGCTTGCTACGAAGCCCGGCCTGTCCGACTGGGCGCTGGCGAGGGCATTGAAGATCCCACGCGCGACCTTCCAAGGCATCAACAAGGACATCAAACGTCTACCGTTCTCCAAAGTCTACTTCTCGCGGGGTAACCCCGACTTCCGGGACATCTATACGTTTCCTTTCCGGATCGCTCACGAGGGAAAGCTGCGCGCGTCACTCTTTTTTCATTGACAGACCCGGCCGTCGTGGCGATCCTGATCGAGAAGGCCAAGACGATGCAGGTCCAGCTACTCCTCGACTGGAAGATGGCGCTGTCATTGTTCGAACTACCCCAAGTCGAGGAGCTTGTGGCGGCGGGCGTGGAGGTCTATGTCCCCAAGAAGTAGAGCACCACCAACCATGAAAACGTAATCGTCTATCTAAACTATCTACAAGCTGTTACTAACTATTGTTTGCACAGACGATCGTAGTCGAGAACATCATGGCAACGACGGGTTCCGCGAACCCATCGTTCAAGGGCCTGGAGCTCTCCATCGAGAACCTGACACACCACTTTGAGCCCAGTGAAAGTGAGCACTCACTGCACTTGATTTTTCGTTTTGCTAATATGCTATCTGTACTGTTACAGTTGACGCGATCGCACATGAATTTGACGTCGGCATTCTGCCCGTGAACGCTCTCCTAGTGGAGGCTGAGTGGTTCGCAAGGGAGAAGGCCAAGCTCAAGCTGAAGGAGCAGGTCGCGGCACCCCGTGCCAGCGAAGGCCTGACGACGGAGGAGGAGCAGACGGCCCGCGCCACGATGAAGCGGGCGAAGAAGAACGCCAACAACAACGAGTATGCCAAGAAGCGACACAAGACGGACAAGAGCGCTGGTCAATGCGTGAGGTGCCACACAGAGACGCCGGAGGCAGGCGGTGTAATGTGCCAGTGGTGCAAGAAGAAGGAGAAAGTCGTGCGCGACGTCAAGAAGGACCAGGGAAAGTGCGGGTCGTGCAGCAAGCCGAAGCCGCGTCTGGACGGCACGCCTATTGCCAGGCGTGTCGCCTCAAGAGAGCCAAGGCTGCGGCTGACGCGCGAGCACCGAACTTGTGTATAGCATGCAAGAAGAACCCGTGCGCCGAGAAGAAGGACCGCTCCTTGTATTCCAGATGCCAAGACTGCAGAGCCGCCAACAATGCCAGCATGAGGAAGTCCAGACACGCCATGTACAACACGGGCTGGGCCGCGGCCATCAGCCTCAGCTCTTCCTCCTCCAGTCGGCGCGCCTCGATGTCGCGCTTCCTGCCGGTCACGTACTCGCACATGACGGTCAAGGAGTACATCCGAGTCGACGTTCAAGTACAACTACGACGACCGCTGGGCCAACTTCGGCTACGTGTTCGTGACGATCATCATCTTCCGCCTGCTCTCGATGCTCTCGCTGCGCTACATCAACCACACCAAGAGATAGAGAGGGAAGGAGCGAGAAGGACTTAGGCAGGTCAAGTGCTGCGGACCCGTTGGCAAGCAAGAAGGGAATTGCGTTTTGGCCCGCGAGCAGCGACGACATAGTAGCAAGTATTAGACTTTAACAAAATCAACTGTACTTACACCGATAGGAGTGCGTTTGATGTTTGCCGGTTGCGTCCTGCCATCGATTGAAGAAGTTGCCCCTTGACAAGCAAAATACATACAGTTTTAGTCATTTTCGGTACAAAAAAACGAGCTTCAACTTGCTACGTATCCAGACAATTGGCAGATAGTGAGGTTTGCACCGCTTTCTGAAACATGGCGTCCCCCGCCTTTATATTCGACGGCGAAGGTGCGAGGCGCTGGCCCGTGCGGCAAGTACGCAGGATGGAAGTCGGTTGAGACGTAAGGAGGGTGGGTGGCGCATAGTAATTCGATCATCCTTCTTGCTAACCTGCAGGTTCTCCATTATTTTGGCGTTATTTGTACAACATCCAAGACGAGATGGAGGAGGCAGAGTTGTTCGTGGCCGCGGACGGGCGAGCACTCCAGTGCTACGAAGTGTGAGAGGCCGTGCTAAAAGTTGCGGTGCATGGACGTCGGGATGTTGCCGACCACATGGCGTGACAGTTGGAGATCTACAGAGCCTGTGACACCTTCAGCACGGACTGGGCCGATATGGCGATGCCGGCGGACGTGCTTGTGCGGCTGAAGCAGCTATTCAAAGGTGTTCTGCACCAGGTTCTTCAACATGACGGAATGGAGGTAGATGCAACAAGCTTGGCGCTTTTCCGACCGGTGCAGCGATGCTGATGTTACGAGTTGATTAAACTTTTGACTTGCAGTAGTATCCCCGGGCGGGATCCCTAGTAGTAAGCGTGGGCTGCAGATGGGGCCACCCAATCAACTCGTACATGCGCACACACGCCTCGATCGAAAACAATTATTCTGTACTTAGCTAGTAGCTTGTATTAGTGCAGATCAGACTGACGACCTGCCCCGCACTCTCCTATATGGTGCCGCTGAGCAAACGCTCCACGGCAGCGTGCACGTTGCCCATCGTGGCCTGCAACGCGCGGATGTTCTGCTCGCGATTGGAGAAGCCCATGTCGTTGAGCTGCGTCAGCTGCGACGCGTAGATCTCCTCGGGGTTGCCAGCAGGTGCAGCAGGAGTGGAGCTTGCCGCGCCCATCGCTGCTCCACCGAAACCCGCGCCAGGGAAGCCGCCAAACATCGCAAACGGGTTGGCTGCAGCAGGATTGGCTGCCCCCGCAGCTCCAGCACCCGCAGTAGCTCCAGCATCGCCCAGGTTCAGACCTTCAAGTCTGTTGACATAGAAGAAGGAAAAAATGGTGTTAACACCACTAACAGCAACAATTCACCCCAACTATTGGAAAGCGTACCCTGGGACGAGTCCGGAGCCGCGTAGCTGGTTCATGGCGTTCTGCATCTGCATCATGGCCTGCAGGTTCTGCGGGTTCATGGCCTGGCGCAGGAACTCTGGGTTGGCCATCATCTGGCGCATCTGTGGGTTGGCGTTCATCATGGCGGCCATCTGCGGGTTCATGGCCTCCATCTGCGCCAGGAACTGCTCCGGGTTGCTCGTCACCTGGTCCAGCGCGGCCTGGAACAGCGGACTCTGCATCATCTGCGCCATCATCTCGGGGTTGGCACCGCCCATTCCTGCCCCCATGCCTCCGAGACCTCCCATTCCTCCCATTCCCATTCCCCCCCACGGGTTGGCGCCCGCGCCAGTTGCGCTTGCATTTGCATTTGCACCTCCAGTTGTCCACGGGTTAACACCACCAGTTGAAGTTGCCGTGGCCGGAGTTGAAGTTGCCGCAGATTGAGTTGAAGTTGCATTGTTGCCGGTAGTGTTGCTGTTGCCCCCACCGGCAACTCCGGGCATGGTGAAGGCGGGACCTCTGGCCGCGGGGGCGCCGCTGGCCGCCGCGTCCATGAGCGGTTCCTGCACGTCGTGGTACATGCGGCGCAGCGCGTTGAAGCCCTCCGGGTGGCTCTCGATGTTGCGCAGCGCCGTGTCCTGGTTGCGCATCATCTCGCGCATGGCCGCGGGGTTGCGCATGGCCTCCATGCTCTGGCGCAGCAACTCCGGGTCGTTCATGATGTGGTTGAGTTGCGGGTTCTGCTCCATGAGTTGCTGCATGGCCGGGTTGCTCTGCATTAAGTTGCGCATGAGGTCCGGGTTGCTCATCAGGTTCTGCATGAGCGGCGAGTCCATCATCTGCCGCACCATGTCCGGGTTCTCCATCATTTGCTGCTGCATCTGCTGCATGCTCGGCATGCCGTTGCCGCCGGCACCGCCGCCTAAGTTGCCGAACATGTTGCCGGCGTTAGCACCTCCGAGTCCCGGGAACAAGGGGAAGTTGAACGGGTTAGCACCAGGGCTAGGAGTTGCCACCGCTGGAGGGGGTGTTGCCGTTGTTGCTGGTGCTGCCGCTGCTGTGGGAGTTGCCGTGGTGGCGGGGGTTGTTGCCGCAGGGGGTCTTGTCGTTGCACGCGCCGAGCCTTTGACGAAGTAAATGGTATCTTCCGCCTGGATGCCTGAGAGTTGCAGCAACTTTTGCAGTTAGCACTAGCCTAAACCAAACCGGCGGTTAAGTGGTGTTAAATTGGCGGGGGTGTTGCCGTACCGTAGCTCTCGAGCGTGAGGTCGTCCTTGAGCACCTTGCCCTTGTAGATGAGCCGCTGCAGCGCCGCGGGCACCTCCGTGGACGCCACCAGCGCCTCCTTGCACTGCAGCACGGTGCTTTCCAGCGGCACATCCACCTCGAGCTTCTTCCCCGCCGTCGTCTTGACGTGAAGGTTCACCATTGTCGCGTTACGGTAGTGTTAACCGGCGCCAAGCCGAGGTTCTCTCCCTCTCTGGAAGTTGGCCACGTTCACGTAATGCGCTTCCAGAAAGAAGGCACAACTATCTCGTACTTTAGAGGGTGAACCGATTACGCAAACTTCACTTAAATTTTATGATAGAGCTAACCGCCGACCAGTTAGGTAAATTATGTCGAGCACGCCTGAGGAGCTCGAGCCCATGGACACGACGCCACAGGAGGCGCCGCAGGAGCCCGTGACACAGGAGGAGGAGGTGGAGGTGGTGCCGCCGCCTGCCAAGCGTGCCAGAGCCGAGACGTCCGGGCGCACGTGCCAGTTCTGCAGCAGCAAGAAGCAGGTGGCCGCCGGTTGCAAGAATGTTGCCTGCAAAAAGTGTTGCCTGGCACGCGAGGGGGAGTGCAGCACCCATCCGAAAGGTTAGTGTACATACAAACATCAAGCTCACGGTTAGAGTTACCTTAACCACTGCCTCTTGGTGACATTTTTTGCATTTTGCAGAGGTGGAAAAGCCCGAGCGGGCGGAGCCTGTCAAGCCCAAGAAGCCCGTGATCAAGAACGAGTTCCGCGAGACCAATTTCCACTGTCGGTTGCCAACAATATTATTGTGTTTTTTTATTTCATTCATCTAACCAATAATTGTTATGTTGCTCGTAGACTACGGCGAGACCGTGACCATCTTCTGCGTCAAGGACTTCTTCGAGAACAAGAAGCTGAGCCAGGGCGTGCTGAACGACCAGGGCCGGGCGGAGCGCGTCGGCGGCAAGGACTGGGGCCGCCGCAAGAAGAAAAACGCCGCCGACCCGCAGCTGAAGGAGCTCATCCAGTGCGCACTGGGCAAGAAGCCAGCCCCCGCTGGCTACGGAGACGTCCTGGGGGCTGTTGCCAACGCTCCTCCCGCTGCTGCTACTGCTGTTGCCGCCGATGCATAAATTGCAAAACAAAACTCAATTCTCAATTTTTTTCTTGTCTTGGTGAGTCTTATATTCAAGGGGGGAAGAGGTGTTAACGTTAACCTTCTTTCATCCAGCACGGCACGTCGTCTGCTTCAGCGGTCTCTGGAGAGAGTTTTGGCTCAATGGGCTGACAATTACTGTTGGCTGATGCTGAATTATTGTCACTTGGCGAAGGGATTGGAGAATTTGTTGTTGCTGCTGTTGTTGCTGCAGTTGCTGCGGTTTTACGGTTCTTGAGGAAGATGATCTCCTCCTGGAGCTGCTTGGTGCGGAATTGGCAGTCGCGGCAGTATTTGCGCGCAGTTTCGAGTTCCACCGCGGCGTCTTCGAGTTTCTGCTCCTGGACGGCGTTGGCATTCTCGAGAGCTGCCACTCGAGCCTGCAGGTGCTTGGTTTGAGAGCCCATCTGCCCCCTGCGGGCTTTCAGCTCGAGGTTTTCCTTTTTGAGGGCTACAAGCTGCTCGTTCAGCTGGTCCTCGACTCGGGACAACTCGTTCTTCTTCTTCTCCACGTCGGCTGCTCTCGAACTCGCACCTTTCAGCGTCTTCATCAAACAACAACATCCCGTTAGGCAAAACTGACAAAAGTTTGCACTGCTGGAATCATTTAGTCCGCGTACCTTCATCAACGCTCGCTGCTTGTCCTCAAGAGCAGCCTTTTCCTCTTCGAACTTCTTTGATAACCTTTCAGCTTCTGCACGCTTCTGTCTCTCACTAACAAGAGCCTACACCGACAGAAGCAAGTGTTAAAGTGACGTAAAACTCGTAGACGATTAACATCACTCACCTCGCGAAGCTGTTGACAAATTTGCTGAGATTCTTGAATTTCGTTTTCAAGTTGGCTGCACCTCGATTCGAACTGAGCAACCTGCGTATTCCGCCAACAATCCATGAGTTTGTGTATCCGTGAAGACAATAGCGCATTGGCAGTACACACCACGTTGGCTTCGCTTTGATGGTCTTGGAGGAGTCGCTGCAGCTTGTTTTCCAGAGCGTATCGATCGTTGACGCTTTTCTCCCGCTCTCGTCGAAGCTCGTCTACAATTTGGTGGTGAGTTTTGCTCTCTAATCGTGCTTGGGCTTGCTCCTTCTCGCGTAGTCTCCTTTGCTCAAGTGCAGCTGTGCGCTGAGTCTCACTATCAGCTTGTAGCTGCATATTACAATCGCACTGTCATTCGTAAACACTATCGATGAGGTGAGAGTTGAAGCAAAACGTACCCGTTCGCTCTGAATCTGCAGGTGCTGCACTTGTCGCTGCAGCTCCTGGTTCGTCGTCGTCAGCTCACTAACAACCCGCGCGTGTTCTTCCTGTTGCTGTCGTAGTTGGCGATCCTGCCCTGCAAATTCTGTATCAACCGCGTTTTGCTTGCACCGCAGCGTCTCCACCTCTTTTTCCTTGTTGGCGAGCTTGACCGTGAGCATTTCGATGAGTTCCTCCTGCACTCGCCTCTCCTCCTCCTGCACGAACGGACTGGATGACTGACTATCCCAGCTCGAACTACCCCGAACATCCTGCACCACAAAGAGACATCCCGTCGATGAGTACCCATCTAAGCTTACAGAAGTCTCAAATATTCTGCTTAATGTGCTTACAGATACGACTCGACCCACGCGGAGACCCCCTCCGCGTTTAACCACGGGCAGCTTCATCGGTTTTTGAGGCCTTTCATGGACTCCACTACTAGTTGACAGCACCGACTGGCGAGGTGCTCTCCACGACATGATGAAGGGCGAATCCTACGGAAAGGAGGCGCCCGTATTGCATGAATTTGAGGGTGAACGATACAAAAGTTGCTAGCGACGAAAATACTTGGGCGCGTTTCACGTTTGCTCGGGGTTGGCCTTGTTGGCCTCCTTTAAACTCGTTTAGAGAAATTCTCTCTCTCTGCAGCATGTCCAAGTCGAATGTCCGCGCGCAGAGCGAGCAGCTCTTCATCCTGCAGGTGCAAGGAGACAAGTACGCCCGACTGCTGGTGGAGCAGAAGCACCGACTCCGACAACTGGATGATCACTGGAAAAAGGTCCACGAGGAGCTCAAGGAGCTGCGACTGAAGCGAGGCGAGTGCGACCAACGCGGTGGCGGCGCCAACGCCGTGCGCGCTCGCATGGCCGACGAGCAGCGCGAGCTCATGAAGCTCGAGAACCGACTGTCGGCCTGCCGGACCCGAGAGAGCAAAATGGTCGCGTACAACGCCGAGCTGCGCCACCGAGTGGACGAGCTGCGAGCCAACCGGGTGCTGAGCCAAACCGTGTTCGAGAAGAACCAGCGGCGACTGCGCGAGATCCAGAAGCAGATGCAGGAGACCTTCCGCCAGTCGACCCAGATCGTGGCCGAGCGCGACCGCATCCTGTCCCAAGCCAACTCGTTGTCGGGCCAGAACATGGATGAGCAGGAGGCGTTTGATCAAGTGTACCAGAGCCTCGCGTCGATCATCAAGCGCGAGAAGGAGAGCGCCGAGACGTATAGGAAGCAGATTCTGGAGCAAGATCCGCTCGACTTGGCCGAAGATTTCGTTCGTGGCAACTTGAAGCTGGAGGACGAGCAGCAGCTCAAGAAGACGCTACAGAAGCTAGACACGACGGTAAGGCTGGGAGGATGTTGCCGTCGTTTTAGTTGTTGTTACTCATTGTTGTGAGGGATTGTAGATGCTGGAAGATAAGCAGAACGTCGCGTCTATCAATGAAAAGCTGCAAGAGTTCGAGACGACGTTCGCGGCGCTGCAGCAGGAGATGGGAGTGGACGACTACCACGAACTGGTTGAGGTGTATTCGAGGAAGGAGGAGGAGAACTTCGCCCTCTTCCGATACGTCCAAAGTACCAACAACGAAGTGGAGCAGCTCGAAGACGAGAAGTTGGCGCTTGAAAGGGAGATTCAGAAGTGAGCTCGTCGAGGTTTAGGAACGGTACCGCTCATTCAGAACGTCTCTAACTATTGCTGTTGTTTTGTGGTGTGTTTCAGATTGAAGAGCGACATGCTCGACGGCAGTGCTAATGCACGAAAGCGGATGGTCGACGCCCTCGTAGAAACTCGCCAAAAGTGCGTCAATACCATCAGCTTGACTGGGATGAGGTTCAAATGCACTCAATTGTGGTGACTTTTGTAGGATTTTCAAGGAGAACGCGGAGATCGAGCGACTCCGAGCTGCAGCCGCTCGAGAATTTCAGCCGCTGGCACGCGTCGTCGACCGACTGTACAACGCGCTCGGCTGCAACGACGTCATGCCGGTACGAAACTCGGGCTACAAATGGAGTGTCCGCAGTAGCCTCACCTCACCTGTTGTGACCTCCTCTGCCTAGCCTGTCGTGGGCGCCTCCGCGTCTTCCAGTGGTGGCGATTCCAAGCGCACTCGAAAGCAGTCGGAAGACCAACTCGCGATGGTGGTAAGCTAGCAAACGCGCTCAACCACACGATTGTGGTTGGTTACCTTACCCTTATTCATTTCATTCATTTGCTATTCGACTAGGCTCGTATCAACTCCATGAACGATCTTCTGGCTGCGCACGGTATCACCGAAGGAAATATTCTCCAATTCTTGGCGGTACGTAGCATCAGATCGTTCCACTTCAATCATGATACCTTAGTCGTAACATTGTTGCCGAGTAGATCATTGAACAGCGGAGCAATGAGCTCATCGAGCAGTTCTCACGCCGACTCCAGTACAAGAACCCGGCCGAGGCCCAACGCGCGTCACTGGGAGCGAATCTCCGTCCCAGCGACCCGACTCGTTCCGTCAACGCCGTCCGCGCTCTTCTCCCGGAGTTCTTAGGCGGGCCTGCAACAAACGGCGCGTACGGCGGAGCGAGTTCCCCACAGGTCACGAGCCCCGTGCAGTCGGCAGCGGCAGCGTCGCCATTCGCAGCTGCAGGCGTCGAGTTCACTCTGGACAAGCAGCTATCCGGCACCAGCGTCATGAACGCGTCAATCGCCGAGGACGAGCCCGAGTCCCCCAGGAGCGACGAAGAAGACTGCGATCGGCCACTGACCCGGATCGAGCTGCAGAAGCGAGCGGCCAAGAGCTTTGCCAGTCTCCAGGCCAGCCCTAAGCTGCAGCCTATTCGAACGAAACCGGTGTTGTCCAAGAAGAAGAAGTACTGATCCAATTGATACGGCACTGTACTGTAAAGTGCCCCATGTAGTAGACGAATTCCAGGATTAATTCAATCCGATCGCGACTAAAAAGTTGACGGTGTCCGATGGGGAGCGTCCGTAATACTGTCAGGCTTTCACCTGCAGCGAAGAAACCTAAGGTCACTGGTTGCATGAAGTCACGGAATGCAAACTACATGACGCCCTAGGTGTCAGCAGCTGACTCAGCTCGCCTGCCGGCTGTCTTGTCCTCGGGTTCAACGCCACCCAGCAGTGGGCGCTGTCTGCGCGTTGCAGACGATCAAAGTCCCCGTTTTATGGCAAATGGACCTCATGCATGCAAACCCGCCTTCAAGGTGTCGGTGGCGCGAGTCCGTCGTGATCCTCGACACTCCAGTCTCTGTGCACGAGTGATGAGGTGAGGTAGCATGACTACGCAACCCCCGAGCACCAACGCCGCACTCCACCCACCACTTTGTCATTTCTCGATTCGCTCCCAGACCATCAAACGATGAAGGTGTTCGAAGCAAGTGTCGCGGCCACGGCGATGGCGGGCTTCCTGCCCTCGACTCACGGCTGGTGGGACAACGGCCACATGCTCGTCGGCGAGGTGGCCACGCAGCTCATGAACTCGAGCGACGTCGCGACCATCGAGAGCATCCTCAGCCGCTGGGACGAGGACTTCCCCAACACGGGCGAGATCACGACGTCCGCCGTGTGGATGGACATCATTAAGTGCACGGCGCCCAGCTCGACGTGCACGACGCCGGCCTCGCCCTCCATCACGAGCATGAGCGACTGGCACTACATCGACCTGCCGCTCAACATCAACGGCGACAAGTGGGAGGACAAGGACGCCGACCTGTCGCTCTTCGACGACACCATGGGCGGCGACGGCGTGTCCGTCATCGAGGGCGCCATGAAGTCCTTCAAGACCACCAAGTCCAAGTGGGCGGCCAACCTCTTCCTGCGCAACTTCATCCACATCTTCGGCGATCTGCACCAGCCTCTTCACACAGTGACCGGCATCAGCGAGGCCTTCCCCGAGGGCGACGGCGGCGGCAACAGCGAGATCTTCGTGACGCCGTGCGCCTTCAGCAACCTGCACGCCGTGTGGGACGCCGCCGGCGGCCTCTACAGCCTCAACAAGTGGTCGCTCGACGTCAGCGACTTCAAGCCGACGCTGCAGAGCAACGCCACGGAGCTCATCGCGCTGCTGCCGAGCGTGCCGGACAACTTCACCTTCTCGCAGTACGAGAACGCCTCGTACGACCAGCTGTACGAGGCCATGGTCACCAACTCGGGCCTGCGCGAGGTCATCCTCGAGACGTACAACTACGCCAACACCATCGTCTACTCCAACCTGGACCTGAACGCCACGAGCTCGGGCAGCTACCCGTGCCCGTCGGCCTCGTACCTGGCCATGGCCGGTGAGATCGCCCAGAGACGCATTGCGCTGGCCGGCAGCCGTCTCGCCGTCATCCTCAAGCACTTCGCGGCCCAGCTGCGTGTGCTCGGCCTGGCCGACTAACAACCTCCTCACTATCAGGGAGTTGGAGATCCGAGACTATAAAATCCATTAAATCGAACAGCAAATTTGACTGCCACCATCAGTAGATCCGGTGCTCCGTTGGTCTTCTTCGTTCATGGGGAATGGTCGAGCAAACGTGCTCCATTGGTGTCAAGTTGGTGGTGGTTAAAAGTGTACGCGACGCGGGACTCGAACCCGCAACCCCCAGATTCGAAGTCTGATACGCTATCCATTGCGCCAGCCGCGCGTATATTAACTCATGCCAAACAAAAACTATAAAAATAGTTTTTAAAATTCTAGACCCAAAACAACTCGAAATGTTTTGTTGCTGTTGTTGTCTTGGGGCCCAGATCTAATGTACATGTATTAATACGTGCACATGCACACCGTTCAACCGAAGTGGTCGTCTCTCCGTCAAACGTAGGCTATCCATCCATCCATTTTACGTTGTTAACCTACCGGCAGCAGCTTCACTGGTACATTTAACGCTGCCGTTGCTTCACGTGTCTATTAATTAATGCGCACCTGGGCAAGCCATTCATACCTTTGATAAAAATCAATATCACAGTGGTGCCAGGTGCCTCGTGGTGCTACATGTAGAGTTCTACATCAACCTGCCTCGATATCCATCGTTGGGGATCCCCATCCACCCCGACCCAAGCATTTCGACCAACGTCGCTTCGCCTTCCTACTCTCACTTACCTTACCTCGCCGTATTGCTCGCCGTATGCAATATGCGGCACTGCATCACGCCCAGCTTCAGCTTCAGATCGCCTTTTCTTTAGTGTGCGAGTTGAAGTGAAGTGAAGTGAAGGTGTTGGGCTTACCGCATTTTTCGATACAGTTCTGACCTCTCCTTTGTCATACGCATGCGCCCCCATAGGTCTTGTTTTTTTCTCCATGTCGAGCAGCTCCTCTAGCCATAACGCCATCGCCTATTGTACTGTACCGAAGCGGAGTGAGGCCTGGTGATCCATGCAGCTGCTGGAGGCGTGGGCGACCGCGCGCCTGGAGGCGCTGGGCGTGGACGGCGTGTTCGCGCCCTACATCGTGGGCATGCTGCCGTCCCACGGCGGCGACGACGACAACCTGGAGGACGCCAAGTTCAACATCCACCAGGTGCTCATGGGCTGGCTGGCGCCCGAGGACGAGGAGCGCGCGCAGGAGTTCGTGGACGAGCTGGCCAAGCTGGCGGACAACCCGGCGCAGCTGACGGACGCGGCCATGGCCATGGCGGCGCAGAGCAACCGCATCGAGGACGACATCAACAAGATGCTGGCGCAGGACGAGGAGCTCAAGGCCTCGGCGCCCACGTTCGTGCCCCGCAGCAAGTTCCTGTCGCCCGTGGTGGCCGAGTTCCACCCGACGGGCAGCCCCGAGGGCCCGTTCGGTGGCGGCTTTGGCCAGGTGCAGGCGGCCGCGTCGCCGTCCCCGCCATTGCCGTTGCCGCTGTCGCATCTGCACAGCAGCGAGGTGTACGAGGAGGAGGAGGCTGTGGAGGACGGGGAGGAGGAGGACGACGATGAGGACAGAGCGGCGCTGCAGAACGAAGACAGCTTCTTCTGGTCCGTGGCCTACGAGGTAGAGTGGACTTGGACCCAGGACCTGGCTGACCCAACACGTCGCTACTTTCGTCGGGATGGAGACGCCGCGTTCTCGTTCTGTGCTTAGTTTTGGCTCTGCAGTAGTATTAGCTGCTGAGCTTGGTGGAGAGCGGGGAGAGGTGCAGGTGTCTAAAGTTTGTTGTTGTTGCTGTTGCTGTTGTGTTCTGGTGGTGCTGCGCAGCTCGTGAGCCACTTGCAGCTCAAGTTCCCGGACATCGACCCGAGCCGACTGTGCGACCTCTTGCGGCTTGTGGGACTGGACGTGGACAAGGCGCACGCGGTGCTCAAGGCGACGATCGAGCGCGAGTCCATCGGCCCCGGCCAGGTGTGCCGCCACTACTTGCAGGGCGAGTGTCGTCGCGCGGACTGCATGGTGCGTCTGTCATTTGCAATGCAAGATGAGCCTTGGGCTGTGTAAGAGGCGGAGTGGTTTGGATGCTCACAAAGCTTCCGGCTCCTCTCGTGTTGCTGCCTTGCCTGCCTGTGGCTGTAGTTCCTGCACGACACGGATAAGATCACGTGCCGGTTCTGGCTGCGAGGCACGTGCCTGCAAGCCGAGCACTGCGTCTTCGCGCACGACTTCTGTGAATACTATTCGATGGACGACAATGCGCTGGGCCAGCGCGACTACGACAGCGAAGACGAGATGGAGCAGAACGGCGCGCCGCTGGACATCCAAGCCGAGGACATGTTCCCGTCTCTTCAGAGCGCGACGTCAGGAGCAACAGCGCCAGCCTCGCCGCCGCTACCTCAAGGAAGCGATGGTCCCTCATTGGCAGCAGCTACCACGACGTACCCGTCGACGGAGGATGCTGTGGCGAATTTGACCATGAACTTTGCTCGAGCCGTGGCACTGCAGCCAACGCCTGGGGCGACCACCCGCCCTCTGGGCAATGGCAGCTATGGCTTGGACTCGACGCGACGAATGCCGCCGCCGGCCCCTGTGCACCGCCCGCTGTATCACAAGGCAGGGAGCAGCGAAGGTATTGGCACCAAGTGGGTATCTACGGGCCAAAGCGTGGCTACACAGTACCTGGAGCTGCGAGAGCAGGCGTACGAGATGGCTTGCGCCCGGAATAAGTGCTTCATGGGCGCTACTCAAGCATATCGCAAGTACGTTGTATGTGCCTCCTGAGTCTAGCCGAGATTGTATCTCACCTTTTCTGTTGTGTCTTCAGTGGTAACAAGGCGCTGGCTAAGGGGCTGTCGAAGCAGGGACACGAGTACAACGTCAAGATGAAGAACTTCCACTTCCTGGCGGCGTCAGAAATATTCGAGTCGCGCAACCCGCCCAACCAACTGTACATGGATCGGATGATGGATCTGCACGGACTGCACGTAGCTGAAGCCGTGGAGTTCCTCACACAGATGCTGCCCAAGCTCGCGGACGAAAGCGTGGACAGCATTTACTTGGTCACAGGCTCGGGACACCACTCGAAGGGGCCTGACGGCAACGCGCGGCTGCTGCCAGCAGTCGAGCGCTTCCTGGCGGGCGAAGGCTACCAGTACACACCCGTGGCGGACGGCGCTGGCTTTGTGGGGATGCTGCTTGTTGACTTGCGATGGTAATCGGAGGCTGTACGAATGAGCAAATGCAGACAGAAAGAAAATCATGAGTGGCAGCGTTTTGTGTGCGTGCATCTATCTGCTGCAGGGAGGGAGGGGATAGCATGGCGGCGTCTTGTTCATTCACGAGGTGACGATAACGCGGAGGACTAATGGGAAGGAAATACAGTGGTGGATCGGAGGCTTTACACAGTGACTCAGCTCAGCTTGTGCACAAATTGCTGCCGTGTATTACCGCATCAAACTAGCCGCTCCTTTCAGGCCCTGCTCCTCCTCCTTCAGCTGCTTGCAGATAAATTCCTGGAGAGCAGCAGTCAGTCTCTGTGCTGTACTTAGTTGTCGCGCGTGTAGTCGTGCATCTCCTTGACGTCCTGGTGCACGACGTGCTTGAAGCCCTCGGGCTTGAAGATGTAGACGTTGCAGATGCCGCCACTGTAGGCGTCGCGGTGCGTGGCGTGGTAGATGGCGCGCTTGCCGAGCTCGACGGCCTCGTCGTCCGTCAGGTCCCAGCGCCAGTTGGTGTCCAGCACGCCGTAGGCGTACGTCGAGCCCGAGCCGACGCTGAACTTGGGCACGTCCTTACTGGCCGGGATGCGCGAGCCCTCGTCGTCCACGTAGTAGAGCACGGGCTTGCCGTTGTCGTAGCCCATCATCATCATGCCCAGCGACATGCCGTAGCGCTTGTAGTAGTTGCACGTGTTGGCGATGAGCTTGGACGCCGCGCGCACCGAGATGCGGTGGCGGTTGCGCAGCTCGTACATGCGGCACTGCACGGCCAGGTTGCGCTGCCAGAACTGGCAGTCGGCGGCGCCGCCGGCCAGCGTGGCCAGGATGTAGTCGTTGATGGGGTTCACCTTCTTGACCTGCTGGGACCCGATGAACGAGCCCATGGTCGAGCGCGAGTCCACGGCCACGATGATGCCGCCGTTGTAGATGAAGGCCAGCGTGGTGGTGCCCTTGGCAAAGTTGAGCGTCTGCTCGTTGTCCTCCGTGTACTTGACCTTGAAGTGCTCGCGCGAGTAGGCGGCCGGGTCCGCCACGGGGGGCAGCATGAAGCCCGCGGCCAGCGCGTCGCCCGCGCCCGCGTCTACGCGCAGGTCGTCCATGGTCGCCATGTGCATGTTGGGCATCGCGCCGCCGTAGTTCACGGACGCGCCGCGGCTGCCGGCGCGCAGGAAGTCGAGGTTCACCACGGGCGCGCTCATTAGCTCGATCTGCTCTGCTCTGCTGGATTGAAGGGGGGGTTCCGCTAGAGAAGGATATCTATCCTAAAGTCGGGGAGGAGATCCAAAATGGGAAAGGTTGCGCGAAGAGCCGTGTATAGAGGGAGCACTTCACGTAACACTAGTGCGACATCATATATGATGTGCACCACATGATTTTGGAATAAGTACGGTTTGGTACATTGTACCAGATTGACCCGTGAGCCAGGGCGCCCCATTGCTGTTGCCGGCGTTGGTCACGACTCTTCCTGGGACAAGGCGCATTTGCATTGCACGCGGTGGGTCTTGTTCGTGTATTGCACTGTACTGTTCCCTGTGCCCAAGGTTGAAGGCCGCTAATCGGCACCAAACCTGTTAGTGCGCCGCGGAGCGGATTAGCGGACGCGCTGGGGCACCTGCAACTCGACCGTAATCAGCGGAGTGGCCAGGAGGAGGAGGCTTGCGCACGTGGGTAAATTGAGACGTTTGTGTTGCCCTCGGCTTGGCGGCATGGGGACCAGCAGGGCGTCTATGCGCTTCCAGCGGTTTTAGCTTCGCGGCCTGGAAGCGCAAGTGTTAGTGTAGCTTCGAAGCAAATAGACTAAGTAGGCTAATGGAGAACTGCAGTAGCTTCAACGGCGATGCATTCGATAACAACAACAAAAACACCTTCGTTCAATCATAAGTTAAGTTAGTGGCGATTGCAGCTACTGTAGAGAGCTCACATCTGCAGGTTGTCGATGTGGAACCGGATCATGTCGTCGAGCACGCTGGGCTGCGCTGTCATCGACTGCTGCTCGTTCAGAAAACTGTTGCTGGGTGCAGCGCTCGGCTGCGAGTCCTCCACCGTCACTGTCTCGTTCAGGATGGACACGAGTTCGTCGAGCTGCTCCGGGTCCATCGCAATGTCCAGCGGCGTCATGCTCGGTATGGGCGACGCGCCCGGGGAGGCGCAGGACGAGCTGGGCGCGGGGCTGCACGGGGCCACGTCCACCGTGGACACACTGGAGGCGGGCGACAGCGGCGTCCGGAGCTCGGTCATCATGGAGATGTGCTCTGTGGCCTGCAGCAGCTCGTCGGCGCACGTGGGGCTGTCGTAGGACGCGTCGAGGCCCGGCAGCGGGTTCATGTTGGCGGCCATGAGCTTGGTGTTGCGCGTGTCGAGCTCCGGGTGGTGGCCCTTGATGTGTCGGTTGAGGTTGCCGGCCGTACTGAAGGTCTTACCGCAGCCGGGCGACGGGCACACGTGCACGGGGCTGCCGAGGTGGAACTTCATGTGCTTGGAGAGCTTGTTCTCGCTGCGGAACGTGCAGATACAGCCGGCCACGGGGCACTCGAGCGGCCGGATGGGGCCGTGCAGGCGCTTGTGGCGCGACAGGTTGCCGGGCGTGCTGAAGCGGCGGCCGCAGGTCTTGACCGGGCAAATGTGGCGCTTCTCGCCCGCGTGCTTCTTGAGGTGCTCGGCCAGCGAGAAGCTGTCGCCGAAGGAGCGCTCGCAGTACGGCACCGAGCACCGGAACACCACCTGCCGGGCCATCGCCGGGTCCACGCTGGCTGTGGGCATTGTCGTCGCGGGGGCCTGTGTAGCTGAGTGAGTGCGTTGTTGACGCGGCGCGTCCAATTCCGAAATGGGGGACTGCCGCTTGCCGTTGACGGCTCGCTGAGATGGGGCGCACGCGCCGCGCCAGTCTCAGAAAACGGCCAGCGGCAGGTCCGGCCAGGTGCCGGCCGACAGCCTAGGTCGTCGCGACCACAGCGACGATGAACACGCCCCCGTCGGCGCGGAAGTGAGAGTGCGCGCCGGCCTTGAGCGCTGGTCTCGTGGCTTGCTACATGTACATGTAGCTGGAGCTGGAGGCGATGGCAAGCGCCGCTGCCACGCTGACGTTGTGACACGACACGTAACCCAGCTACATGTATAAATATCCGGCTAGAATAGCCAGCGAAACGAGCTCTTGGCTGAGCGGGGCGCCGCCGACATGGAATCGGCGTCCGCGAGTGCAGAGTTCAGCCGTTGACACTTGGTCACAGGGCGGGGTGCGACATCCTCCCTCCGCCCAAGACACAGCACGCGGCGTGCACTACACATGTACACTGTACGTCGATAGCCAAACACGGCGGTCTCCATTGAATGGGACTGAAAGCCGGCAATTCAGTACAAAGCCCGCTTCGGTGCAGCTTAGCCACGGCGCCTTCCCGTCGCAGGCATGATGCCTCAGGCAGGGCAGCTGGGTCAAATCGCTCGCTGCGCTGCTTGGCAAACAGCAGGCAGAAGCTCAATCACGCCGGCCTCCATACCGGCGAGGCGTGGTAACCGAAGACCATGCTGGACCTCTGAGCCGGGCGAGGCGGTTCGTCACGGCGGACTTGCCTTGCTGGTCAAGCTTTGACTCAATGCGCGGCGCCAGGATGGTGAGCTGGATCGCCGGCGGTGATTGGCAGGACTTACGTACACAGTCTATGTTCGGTGATATCTTGGAGTTTGTATAGGTAGCCCATCACCCCACAATGTGACGACCTTCCCGCAGGACGGATGTCATCCGCGGGAAATGGCTTTGCTCCGCTGCGCTCCGCAAAGGCAGTCGCTGCGCTCCTGCGATAAAAAGATTCTCTCACCTGGCGAGAACAGTGCTCGGCTCGCTGGAATGCTCTTCGCTGGGCCCGCCTCCGCAAATACCGCGCGGCCCTGCTACGCCGGCACCCCGCGCGGGTTTGCTGCGGCGACGCTCCCCGCAACCGCTAGCCTCCGTTGGTCCTCTTCTATATCACATTCACCCCCCCTCGACCCCCATCAAAAAAGACTGTGTACGTAAGCACTCCCGGCGGTGATTCGCCGCACCGCAATCGCAGCGGCCCGCCTCAGGACGGCACTGCTGCTGCCGCCGCTCGATCGCGTTGTGGGCAATTCATTGGGGCGAAACGAGCGCTGCATGTGGCTCCACTCGTCGACCGTCTTCAGCTTTTGCCGCTTCAACACGGGAGTGCTTACGTACACAGTCTTTTTTGATGGGGGTCGAGGAGGGGTGAATGTGATATAGAAGAGGACCAACGGAGGGCCTATACAAACTCCAAGATATCACCGAAAATAGACTGTGTACGTAAGTCCTGCCACTTCAACACTGAGCTGGGCGATTCGCATTGTCCCAGACGCTGACTAATCAGCGCAGTTTGCGCAGCTTACCACTGCAACCACAGCGCGCTTGGCTGTAGACGACGGCGATTATTTGCTGAGTATCCACCCGCTGCAGCCTCGCGCCCGGCGCACGAGATTCAAATGATCCCTCGCCTCCGTCTCAGTCGCTCCAGGCCTCGGCGGAGCAGCTCCTGGCGAGCTATCTTGCCACGCTGGATCGCGTTGAAGCAGTGAGCCGGGCGGGGTGGACGCTCAGTGTAAAACGGAGCCCCTGCGAAGTTCTGGCAGTCGCACACATCAAACACACATCAGTCTACAATCTGCCCGCCGAGTCGAGCACTGCTGCAAGGTGTGCAGCTGGAAGCACGATTACATTTGTCAGCTGTGGCGTCGAGCATCGCCTCCACCGCCGGCCTGACCCAAGAACGACAGCCGCAACGGCGTTGCCAACGCGCCAATACCGTACACTTGGAGCATGTACTATGCTGGCCCAGGTGCTAGGTGCTGGCTGAGTTTAGCTGATGAGAAGTGCTTGGCGCAGCTAAGCAATCGGCGCGAAATGGTTCCTCGTGTGACGCCAATTGTCGAGATATGACCATGCTTGCGGACAGCAGCTATGCCTGCCTTCCCAGAGTCCTTTGTAGCAGTAGGCATTCGACAACGGTCCTACTCGTAGAACATATCGCCGCCTGCGCGCTATTGATGGCGCTTTCGTTCGACCGCGCGACTTCCGCGAGCTCCGTCCCTGACATGGAGACCCATGCCCTGTTAAGTTGATCGCTGTGTAGTCTTTGAACGCTTCCGTCCTGGTGAGCGAAAACCCTTCGTGCGGTCGATATCAGGTGCAGTACTGTCGAGCTGCGCTCAGCAAACCCACGTGGAGCTGCCTCGCGAAAAATCACTCCATTAGCCCAACGCCGAACGCCTGAACCAGCACTAAGCAGAGTGCCATAGCATTCAGAGGTTTTCGTGCGATTTTGCGGAGCAGATCTGCGCGCCTGCAACAGCTTCTGCTTTCAAGATCGAACACCAAAACGTTACGAACGTCAACCCTGGCTGCGCGCACACCTTAGTGTACTGTCCACCATGGTTGACGTTCGTAACGTTTTGGTGTTCGACCAGGAAGGTCGAGCGAGCGTCGACCTTCCTGGTCGAGCCAGCGTCGACCTTCCTGCTGTGTATCTCGGCACTGCCGAGTCGGCAGCCAGCTTCGCCGTGCTGGACTAGATTTGAAGTGCACCATACTTACGTCACAAACTGGACCAAAAATCAAAAGAAAAACTTTTTTGTGATTTGTGCAGGAATAAAATATTTCTCGGGTCGACAGGTCAGCTCCTGATAACTAGTACGACCGTACCTACAGTCCGACAGGAGTCGGCGCAGTGGTCTGTCCTGCTGGTCGTCCTCCTTGTGTGTCCTGCTGGTCGTCGTCCTTGCTGGCCATAGGCTCGTCGTCTAACAGACACAACAGCACCTCGAGCAGCTCTTCGTCGGAGACGTCGTGCTCGCTGCTGGCGTCCAGAGCCAAGTCCTCGCCGATGGGGGTCACTTGGACGGCGGCAGCGCTATTGCTGCTGCTATCACCGCCCCACGCGAACAGACTGGCCGGATCGGCGTCCACGCTGGTGGGCGACTGATCCAGCTTCTTGGCCTCGCTCGCCAGCGGGTGGCCGAAGCGGATGTGCTGGTTCCGCATGTGGCGGTTCAAGTTGCCCGTGGAGCTAAAGGTCTTGTTGCAGTTGGCGAACTTGCAGCGGCGCGTGGGCGCGCTCATGTGGACGCGCATGTGGCGCTGCAGCTTGTGCTGCGTGGAGAAGGTCTTGCTGCAGGCCGGCGCGGGGCACGCGAGCGGCTGGAGCTCGTCGCCGTGCAGGCGGCGGTGCCGCGCCAGGTTGCTCGTGGTGGTGAAGCGCTTGCCGCACCCGCGAGCGGGGCACACGTAGGGCTTTTCGCCCGTGTGGGTGGCCAAGTGCTCCTGCAGCGCGTAGCGGCGCGAGAACTGGCGCGGGCACTCGCCGCACTGGAAGCTGAGGAAGTGCGCGTGCGACGAGAGCGCGATGGGTTTCAGTACCTCCGTCGCGAAGCGCGGGGTCATGCTGGACACGTATTGGTACACGGCGGTGGACATTGCTGCGGTCGGTGTAAGGCTCTTGTGGGGTCAACGTTAAGTTGGGGAATGAGCTTGTCAGTGGCCAGCGCAGTCAGGTGCGCTCACCTGCGAGAGCTGCACCCTCTTCGTGGGCGAAAAATTGGCGTCGTCATCAGCGCTGATGCCCATGTGGCATTTCGGTGTTCCCCAGCGTAAGACTCTGGAGAGGCCGAGGTGTTCGTCGGACCTTGAGACGCCGATCTGATGGCGCGCGTCTGCGCGCAGGCGTCTCCGGGTGAGTCATGCTCGCGCTTGCATGGTGGTCTCGGCGGCGGCACGCCAGCCAAGCCAGCGGCGATTCGAACCAAGACAGTGCTACTACAGCTCGCCATGCTCGGCCAAAATCCAGCATGCCGCGCCTAATACATGTCCAGCTAAACTTTTTCCTAGGCGTTGCGTGCTTTCTTTCGCAGCTATTACAAGTACAAAGATGAGGGGGCCGCCGCCGCTGCTTCACTGGAGGCGGGCGCGCTTCAAGTCAAGTCGCGCGCGGTGGTGCTCGTAGCCATCTTGACGTTGCCGCCCCAGAGCTTGATTTTCTCGCGCAGCGCGATCGATTTGCACGATGTGAAGCCTGGCGATCACCGCACCACCGCAGCTCTTGTGTTGGACATCGGCGCCAGCAGGGGAGCCATTTCAGAGCCGAGCAACATCAGCAGCAAGCGGCGGTGCCGGTCGTGCTGCGCTGCTTGGTGTCAAGTTATCAAGCTTCAGCTTTGCCTCGGTCAGCAAAGGCGATCGTCAGTGCCGCTCGCGCGTGGATACTGCGGTCACGCAAGTCACGCCACGAGACCCGTGTTGGACTCGCCGGTGCCACGACACTGCGCGCGCTGCCTCGGACGGCGCGCACGCCATTTAACACGCCGCGTATGCGTCACCACGGGCTCGTGCAATGGCGTCGCGAATCAGCCTCGCGTGCGTCGAGACCATGGGTCAAGCCATCGGAGACCGTGGTCGTCGAGGGCAACACCCCCCGCCACGCAGGACAAGGAAGGCAACACACACAAGAGCGCTCGGTGATTTTTGTTACGTTCATTCATTTTTTATGGGGTTTTCTTGAAAGTGTCCGTCCTGCAGGCCGCACGCCGCCCATGCGCCTCTCTTCCAATTCTCGAGAGTGCACCCCGCCGCAACAGGCAACAACCGAACGACGCCTTTATCCCCCGCCAGTCATTGCGCCATTCAGCCATTGCCAGCGTGTTCGTCTAATCCGCCACTGGCGCCGCCCCGGGTGCGTGCGCGTGCGACCGGCAGCAACGAGACACTCGGGATGAGCAAACTACTGGGCGGCGGCGGGCTTCTCCTCCTCCGGAGCCTTGATGGTGATAGCGGTGGCGCCCAGCGTGATGACGCCCGCGGCGGCGAAGATGGCGTAGCTGCTCTTGGCGCCGTCGATGTTGTTGATGAGCTCGGGCTTGTAAGTCCAGAGGCTGTGGCGCGCCGCGCAGAGCAGGTGGTAGCTCACGGGGAAGGCCACGAGCGCCTTGGAGACCGGCGCGAAGAGCGGGATCGAGTCCTGCGCCAGGTGGATGAGCGCGGGCACGTCGGCGCCCACGAAGCCCAGCGCGCTGCCGCCCACGAAGGCGCACGACATGCCCACGGCCGAGAAGCGGTTGGCGATGGACGAGATGGCGGTCACGGGGAACGCGTAGATCTCCACGTGCGGCGAGATGGGGCGGCCCAGCGCCGCCTGCGTGGCCGAGTAGTTCTCGGTGCTCACGGCGCGCGCGAGCGTGGGGGCCACGGCGCGCGAGGCCAGCTTCTTGCTCAGCACCTGCAGGCTCATGCTTGGCTTTATGTGTGCGTGTGCGGGGAGAGGCGACCTTCTGGTGGAAAACGCGGACTGAAGGCGGAGGGCCGACGCAGCGCGCGTGGAAGCATCTTACCTGCGAGAACGCATACGTGTTTAACGGGTTTTGTAGGTAGAATTAACAGGGAATGTGACCTGTGAGAAGTATGAATCCTGCAATATCGTATACTGAGACTGTGCAAGCTCAAGTTGGGTGAGGATAAGATCACGCAGGTTCCGGTGGTCTCTCTCGACGCCTGCGATTGGCTGAAACGATTGCGTTTCAGCCAATGCCGTGGGGGGACCCGGCCGCCGGCATTTGTGCGGTCCGCAGCGCAGGAAACCTCTCATCGCGATGCTGGCTACGACCCTGCGCCGCTCGGCGGCCCCCAAGCGCGCGCTCGCGCAGCTGCAGAACCAGCGTCGCCACGGCGGTTCGCTCCACAAGAACAAGCACGTCGAGGTGTGTGCGCTCTCTAGGCTGCGAGCAACAGCAAGGCGTAAATAGACCTCCGACCGAGACTGACCTCTCTCTCTATTGCGTCTGTGTCTATAGAACTGGAACAACTGGCGGGGAGACTCGGAGAAGCGCTTCAAGTTCGACAGCGGGTTCTTCACGTCCATGGTGGCCTGGGGCGTCGTGCCCTTCGGCCTCTACTACGTCATGGCCGCCGACGAACGCGTACGTTGGTCGAGCTAGGCGAATTGGTTGTAGTGCTAGACGGTAGCGTGACTATTTGTTGTTCTTCTGCTGTGTTATTTTGCAGCGCAAGCGCGACCTGCACAACGGCGTCCCGGAGAATTTCCGCCAGTAAACAGGCGGAAAGGAAACACAGATCGTCTGCCTACGCCAACGGAGAAATGCGAAGCGGGGCTGGGTAGATGGATAACGACGACTAGGAGCTGGCGAGGTGGTGAAGCTCTCGAACGTCTCAGTGATAGTGTTTGAGCCAGAGGATGAGGATGCTTGGTCGTCTCCCGCCGGCGAGTCGTACTCGCCCGTGAAAAAATAATCAAACTCTTCGGCTTCATTGCGCTCGCCAACTTCACACTGCCTCAAGCAGCAATAAAGTTTTTATTCCGTCCTGGTACCTGGGTAGCTATTCCAGCCTAGGCATTACTACGTGAAGGTGGTTCTGCTTGGCGATCGATCAAATGATGCTGCACGGCGCTGATCATGGAGCAACTTCACCTTGGACTCATCGCTACACGTCGTACTTACTCGAGGAATACAATCGCCAAATTATTTTGACGGACGTATCCTGCTCCAGCAGACCACAAGCATGCAGACGAGCAGCAGCAGCAGCAGCGACGCGGTGCTGGGGGCGTTCTATGCGCGCGTGATGCGTCGCGCGTGTTCTTCCTATCGGGACGAGAGCGAGTTGCCGGCGGACGAGGCCGTCGCACGACTGCAGCAGGTTGGCACGCGCTGTCCAATTGGTCGCACTTGGTTCAGAGAGGGGTCTCTCACCCGTTCTGCTCCACCTTGCTGCTAGAAATGGAAGGAGAAGCTGGCGCTGTACACGGGCAAGCGGGGGCAACCGGACGCAATAGTAGACGATGTGGAGACGTCGGAGGCGGAGGCGGTGCAGCCCTCCCTTGAGAGCGAAGCGTCGGATGAAGAGGACGACGAGGTGTCGTCCGTGTCGTCAAGTTCGTCGTCGTCGTCCATCTCTTCACTGGCCTCTTCCTTCGCGTCTGAAGCTGCCCCACAAGAGCCCATCGGTCGGCCAACTGCGCAGTTGGTGAGTGATCGAGTGCTGGTGGTGTGAAGGTCGGGCGTTGTGAACTGACCGAGAGGTTGATGGTACTGTAGCCGAGTGTCGCGCCGAAGACGACCTCGTCCATTTTTGCCAAAATGGTACGGATATTGTGTGTTGGCTGTAGTTGAGAGGGTGTGACTGTAGATTGACGTTTGTTTGTGCGTGGCCAGCTTGGAGGCAAGCGAAAGCTTAATCAGTTGGATGGCTCTGCCTCGGATGATGAAGACACAGTGGAATGGCAAGACGCTGCTGAGCCGAAGGTGAAGATTCTCTTGCTTAAGTTAACGAGTGTTAGGCTACTCACTAAGAAGTTTTGCTGCTTTTGGTACCTTCATTGCAGCGCGAGGAGCTGCATGATGCCGATTCAGCAAGCGTTGGAGGCTCACCTTCGGCGGTACAGCCTGCACACGTCGAAGAAGATAGCACTCATGAAGAAGCAGAGGAGGCGGATGACATAGTTCACGCAGATATTGGAGAGGAGGAAGAAGAGAAGGAAGAAGACGTTCGACAAGATGACGAAGAGCCACCGTCAAGTCCTGCGGAATCGACGACGTCAACGTCATTGCTCGTTTCCGCAGATGATATAGCTCCTGTATCGGGACTCTCGGGTATTGACCTGCCACTGCAGTTGGCGGCGGAGTATACCAAGTTCGGGCATCGTGGCATTCGCCGTGGGTATATTGGCAATCTGCGCGCGATCGTGCTGACGTGGCCGAGCAGGCTGAGTGCAAGCGAGTCCGTTCTTCCTGGGGAATTGGTCTGGTGTTATGGGGAGCACGGACTCGATGGCCACATCGGACTCGTGAAAGTGGTTTCACTGGGTGATACGCTTGATGAATTGAGGGTTGAAGACGCCAAGGGCGCTGTCACCACAGTTCAGATGCACCAAGTACGTCGTCTGAAGGAATACCTTATTCGCAAGGGCTCCGTCCAGCTCCGTGGCAGTCGGTAGTGACACTAATGTGGTAGGTATTCTCAGAACCCCACGATAGTACTCCGTCGATACTTCTTACCTGCGAGATCGAAGTATTTTTGTGCTGCTGGAGTTTGGTTGAGCTTGACGTCGTGTTCAGAGACATGAACTCCGTCGAGGACGTCGCTAAGAGGACGAGCAAGGTCCGACAATCTCCAGCTCCAGCTCACAACTGACTACGCTTCATTTTGCTGACATGGGGGCTCCAGGTCACGAGGTTGGGTGCTTCGGGCTCTCCGGGAGCTCTTGTCATGTGACGCACCAAGGGCTGTTGCAGTACCAGAGCAAGGATGACAAGTGGAAAGAGCGCTGGTTTATCCTGAACGGAGTCAAAGCCGCGCTGATCAAGTGCAACTCGACCAACCACCAACCATCAGGCTCGTACGGCAGCGTGCTCGGTGGAGACGTGCTCATCGCAGATGCGCGGCCCCTTTCAGAGGCTCAGAGTGGTGTAGGAAGCGATGAAGAGGGAAGCAATTCAATGACCGGGTTTGAAGTAACCACTCACGGAGGAGCCAAAATCGCGTTTCGGACCAAGTCGTTAGCAGATCAAAGCTCGTGGTTGGCTGCAATCAACAAGACGTCAAGCGGATTCACCTCTGGAGTTGCAGATCGGCTGGCCGATCGCGAGTTGCTGGCGGGCAAGTACTCGTTAGTTCGAGAGCTCGGACGAGGTGCATCGGGCATTGTCTCCCTCTACACGTGGCAAGGCAAGCCATTCGCGATCAAGAAGTTCGTCCCTCAAAAGGCCAAGGGCATCCCCAATCGCCGAGCGATTCCCGTGGCTACAGGACGGCGACCATCAGTGCAAATTAGTCAGCCAAACGCAATACCCGACGACGTCCGACGAGAAGTGGCCCTGTTGAAGAAGGCCAGCAATCTTCCCTACGTCATTCGCCTGCACGACGTGATCCTCGACAACGAGAACCGCGAATATTACCTGGTGATGGAGTACATGGGTGGAGGCGCCATTGCCGAGTGGGACGGCTCGCGGCACTGCTACGTCAGTTCACGAGCCAAGAGTGCCGCTAGCGGCAGGGCTTGCTTGCTGGAAGAATGCACTGTCCGTACGTACGTGACGAACCTCGTGCTCGCTATCCAGGGCCTTCACTTGAACAACCTGGCACACCGCGATATCAAACCCGAGAACTTGATGGCCAACGAGGAGCGCACGCTGTGTAAACTGGGTGATCTTGGAGTTGCGCACTACTTTAAGGAGGAAAACGGCGAGCTCCGCGACGAAGAAGACATCGAGGCTATTGAGCTCTGGGATATCAATCAAGGCTCCACTGCACCTTCCTCTTCTACGATGAACAGCGCGGACGAAAGTAAGCGCCACCTCCGAGGCATGATCAAGTCCACGAAAGGAACGTACCAGTTTCTCGCCCCCGAGTCGCTCAGTGGAGATGCCTACTGCGCCTTTAAGGCCGATATTTGGGCGATCGGCGTGACAATGTACGCGCTGTTGTTCGGGTCGCTCCCGTACTACTCGAGCGACGTGAGTGATCTCTTTGATAAGATTGAGAACGACCCGCTGGAGTTCCCTGCGTCTTGCGAAGATAACGACGCCAAGGACTTGCTCAAGGCGATCCTGGAGAAGGACTCGGAGAAGCGCATCTCGTTAGAAGGCATCCTGCAGCACCGCTGGACGCACCGCAACATCGACTCGAAGAGTCTGCGCAAGCAAGTGAACGCGCTCAAGCAGGCGCCGACGCTTTCGATCGAGGATCACGAGCTGGGGAGTGCGGTGTCGGTGCACCAGAGCAGGTTCCTCAAGATGGCAGCCGCGATCCGCCATAACACGCTGGGCGACTTGGTGAAAGAAGGCGATGCAGACACCCCGTTGCCCCACGTTGAAGAGGAATACCGCCCCAATCCTGTCGACACGAAGACGACCGAGCTCCCTCAGTGGTTCCAGCCGCACCGAGAGCTCGTTGCAGCTCAGATGCACTATGACTGGTGTCATGGCAAGTCGTTGGCTGGCTGGAAGTACGGCGACGTTCGAGACGATGCACGCTTGCTTCACCCTTGTATGCTGCCGATGCGCGCGCTCGATGACACCGCCCGAAGTCGCAACTTCTGCTCCGTGGACGAGATCATCAAGTGCGTTGTAGCGCTTGGAGTTCACGTGAAGTACAAGCGCCCAGCGAAGCAGAAAGCACGCGAGGTTCCCTTCCCGATGGACCACATCCGCCTGTCATGGGACCTCATGATGCTCATCGATCTGCTCGCTGAAAACTCGCACGAGGTCTGGGCAACTGAATACGCGGCCAAGGGCTGGCGCTTTGGTCCGGAGTTCGACGAGGCTGCGAAGACGCATCCGTCTCTCAAGCCATACATGCTCCTGGACGAGAGCGACAAAGTCCTGACGCGTGAAGGCGTGACGTCGGTGCTCAAGTCGTGCATTTATCTCGGCTGCAAGTTCTCCATCTCTCACCACGGACGCAAAAGCGTCGAGGTTTAAGGCAATAGTATGAAGTAGATAGTGATGCAATGTTTAATCGAGGAAATCCTTTGTCAAAGTTGTCTGAGCTGCTTAATGGTGAGGGGTGGCGTTATACTCTTCCGTACCTTGAGAGCTAGCACTATTTGAGCGAGTTAGTCAGCTAGGCCGAGTGTCCGGAGCTGAGCAGCGAATTGCTTGAGAACGACAGCGAGGCGATTGCCGCCAATTGTAATGATCTGCACGTGCAAGAGCAGAACACAACCACATCATCAGTTGAGTCCGCACGCAGAGAGCCCAAGTCGTCGTCTGCATACTCACCGGTTGCGCAAGCTCCTGCTCCGGCACGCCTCAGCCAACCACTTCATGTTTAGGACCGAGCGCCATGAGGGCGCCCTCGTGTAGATGGATAGCAGCAAACAGACAAAGACATCAATTCAGGTTCCATTTTACTCGCAACACAACAAGCACAACCAGAACCTTACACTTGGTAGCACTTGCGAAGTCGACGCGCGCTTCAGTCCAGTTCCGGTTCCAGTTCCAGTCCTCGTTCCAGTTCCAGTGCCGCCACGCGTCGCCGGTGTGCACGCCGTCCAGCCTCGTCCGTCCCGCGTTGCCGTTGCGGACGCCGTCTTCCTCGCATCCGTTCTTCGGTGTGCTGCACCTGTACCTCTCGCCGTTCAACTTCTCCGGGTGCGCCGCGTGCGTGACCTCGTCCGCAGCCTCGTCCGCTCGTCGCCGACGGGGCCTCCATTTTCGCCGAGCTCGCTCCTTTTCTTTCTGGGGGAGGAGTGGCGACGCACATTGTCACACGTCACTTCGTGTCGACATCTCATTGGTGCATTTAGCCCAATCACTTCCGCGTGTCCATACGCGGCGCCCACCTCGACCTTCCGCTTGTCGCCTCGGCTGTCACTTGCAAACAGTGCGCAGCCGAGTGTAACATCTGCGTCGGTGGCCGTTACGAGTTTAGTAGTAGGAGTCTTTGTGCTCCGAGGCGGGCTCGAGCTAGCGCCGGACGGAATTGCACCAGTTGCTTCCTTCGAGACACTGGAGCAAGTGGTTGGTACTTGTCGGAAGCAGAGCTCCAGGTCGAGCGTCTGTGACTCCGTTGGGGCTTAGAGACATTGTCGGAAGCAGCGCTCCAGGGAGTGCCTGCGACTTCAAACTTTGATTGATTTAGCTGAGGAGCTTGCGCGCCCCAGCCATCTTTTGACGACGTGGCTAGCGTAGGCGCAAACATGGATGAAGCAGCGATGCAGCACGCGGACAGCGTGCAGCAGATGTTCGCCTCGCTCGCGGCGATGATGCGCGAGCAACAGCAGTTCATGGCGCAGACAGCGGAGCTGCAGCGCCAGATGGCGGCGACACTGCAACAGCAACAGCAGCAGCAGTCTGCCTCGCAGCAGCAGCAGCAACCACCGTCGCCCGACTCTACTTCTCAAGACACGCGCGAGTACCGTGCCGAGGGCATCTCCATGCCGAAGTTCTCCAGCACCAAGGACGACGACGTCGCGGACTACCTCTTCAGTGCCAAACTCTACTTTGAGTCGAAGAACATCAAGTACGGCGCCGACTCACCGCAGCAGCGCCCCCTGTCACTCTTGGTGGCGAACTTGAAGGGGCCAGCAGCAGCGTGGTACCGCGAGTACGTCTCCCACGACGGGAACTTCCTGCACTCGGTCTCGCAGTTCGAGGAGCTGCTGACCAGCGAGTTCACGACCCCCGATCGCCAAGAGCACCTGCGCGACCAGCTCCTCAGAACAACTTCGCCTGCCTCGAAGATTACGTGTCGGCCTTCCGGCACATCATCTGCAAGGTAGAGGACATCAGTGATATCGACAAGGTCATGCATTTTCAGAAGGGGTTGGTCGTAGAGATCAGGCAAGAGGTCAAGCTGCGCCAGTTCCGAAACACGACGGACGCGATTTCATTTGCACTGATGTACGACCGAACGCACGCTGTAGGATCGCGTCGAACCCATGTGAACCGCGGAGGTCAAGGTGGCCAACGCCTTCAACAGTCGTTACATCGCATCGAGGAGCCGACACCGATGGAGATTGGAAGCTCGCGCTTCGTTTCTCGCGACGAGTGTCTGCGCAGTAATCTGTGCTTCTACTGCAAGGAACCCGGGCATCGCCTGGCCACGTGTCCAAAGAGGCCAGCGCGCAACAACCCCTGGGGTGTATCTCGTCCTCCACAAGGGCGCGGTCCTTCCGCGCTAACCAGGGCTCGTTCCGCCGCATTGTCGAAGACGACGTATCCGACGAAGACGAAGACGACTACGTAGACAGCCGTGACGACCACGTCGTGGTCATTGACAGCTTGCAGTTGAACATGGTGTCCATCGCCACCGAGTCGTCACCCAATCGTGAACTGTTGCGATTCGAGGGGGCGATGAACGGGCGGGCAGTGCGAATCTTGATCGACAGCGGTGCAGAGCGCAACATTGTGCGCCCTGGCCTCGCCCAAAACTGCGTTGAGTCCACCAAGATCACGGCGGAGCGCTTTGACGGTACGACAACGCCGGCCCGTACGGCGCAACAATGTTTGGAGACTATCAGCTTTGCTGGCAGAGACTTCAACGGAATTTCCCTCATTGAGTGGGAATTGTCGACAAATCAAGACGTGATCCTCGGGCTTCCATGGCTGGTGCAGTTCAACCCGGTTATCGACTGGCAAACCGGAGTGATGCGGTTCCCCAACAAGCGCTTAGTGCATGATTTCAGTTCGGTGAACGACAGTCTCGAGGTAGCGGGACCGTCAGTGGCTTCAGTGGAAGTGAAACCTGAGTTCCTTCAGCACCCCCTGCCCCCGAATCTGCGGTAGCAGCTTGACGCTCGTGTAAAGGCAGGCTACTTCAGTATGCCTTTGGGGCCAAGCTCGATAACAGCGCTAGAATGTCAGCCATTGCCACGCATCTTTGACAACGAAGGCGATGACGACACGGATGCATCGTCGTTGTGTGTCCTCTCGGCGGCAGAGTTTGAGACAAGGTGAAGGCCGACGAGTACGCCGAACTGTATAATGTCACAGTGAAGACGTCGCCCAAGGTGAAGTCCGTGCCGTCGCAGCTTCAAGCAGTACTTGACGAGTTCGCAGATGTCTTTCCGTCAGAGTTGCCGCCTGGATTACCACCGAGCCGCTCAATCGAGCACGAAGTGGTCTTGAAACCAGGTGCGACGTCCAGCAACCGCGCCCCCTTCAGTCTCTCGAAGGTTGAGCAGGAGGCATTGGACATCTTTGTGGCAGAGCTGCTGAAAAAGAACTGGATCGAAGTGTCGGACTCTCCATGGGTATCAAACATCTTTGGCGTGCCCAAAAAGGATCCCGCGACTGGCAAATTCCCATCACGCTTGGAGTGGCTACATTCGAACAATCCGCACATGCCCATTCGATGGGTCATTGACTATCGCTTGGTTAATGCGGCTTCAGAGGTTGCCATGATACCGCTGCCGCACATCGAGCAGCTCTTCGATCGGATGGTGGGAGCAGTGATCTTCTCGATTCTCGACCTCGCCAGTGGATACCACCAGATGCGTATGTCTCCGACGTCCAAGCAGTACACGGCATTCAGGACAAACCATGAGATATATCATTGGAACGTGGCGCCTATGGGCCTGGCCGGCATGCCGGGCACGTGGACGCGCCTGATGCGCAAGCTGCTGAGCCATCTACTGTTCGTGGTCGTTTATCTGGACGACATCTGCATCTTCTCGCGGTCGATGGCCGATCACGTCGAGCGCTTACGGCAAGTTTGTGAAATCCTTCGGGCTCACAAGCTTTACGCTCGTCCGGACAAGTGCGACTTTGGTCAAGCTTCGGTCGACTTCCTTGGCCACACCATCTCAGCTGATGGCTTGCACGTGGACGCTCGCAAGACTCGAGCCATCGCCGAGTGGACAGAGCCTAGCAACATCAAGGATCTACAGCGCTTCTTGGGCCTCGCCGGATATTATCGTCGCTTCATTCATCAGTTTGCGACACTGGTACTTCCGCTGAGCTCTTTGGTCAAGAAAGATGTGGCGTGGGTATGGGATGACGGTCAGCGCCAGGCTTTCGATGCCATCAAGCTTGCGCTCCACCACGCACCGGTACTACGTCTGCCAGACTTCGACAAGCCGTTCATTGTGACAACGGATGCTAGTCACGCGTGCATTGGTGGAGTCCTCTCTCAGCTGCATGGCGGCAATGATCTCCCCGTTGCATTTTTAAGCAAGAAGCTTGGTCCGCATGAGCTGAACTGGCCTGTTCACGAGAAGGAACTCTTTGCGATCAAACAAGCGCTCACCCGTTGGCGCCATTACCTCCATGGAGTCTCGTTTGAAGTGTACACGGACAACTCGGCGTGCAAGTGGTTTCTACAGCATCCCCGCATGTCTGGTCGCCTGGCTCGCTGGCTGGACTTTTTTGCGTCCTTCCAGTTCACGCTGCATCATCGTCCAGGCGCTTTGAATGTCGTCGCCGACGCGTTATCGCGCCCCCCTGATGCTTCTTCAAGTCCGGGGGAGGAACTGGAGGCTGGTGAAACCGAACCCGAGCCGCTGGCAGTGTGTACGGCGTGTTTGACGTCGCCGACATGCACGAACATTCGCGACGCGGCATCGCGTCGTACCAAGGCTACGGAGAAGCTCCAAAGCATACCGACTCGCGATCAAGCCGTGATGCTTGCCGTCAAACAGCCAGCCGCAAGGGCACATGGTGTAGGCACGGCACAGTGGCGTATGAGATTGAACGCAGCATCGATGGAGGACAGCACGGTGATAAGCACACTCCAACTGGATAACCAAACGAAGCGGGCGTTTCAGAAGGCATACAGCAAATATTCAGTCTTCAAGCCGCTGTGGAAGTCCGGTCGCCCGTCGGAAGAGTACGAAATCATTCGCGGGATGATCTATTTGAAGAGCAACGACAGCCTACGCCGCCTCTGTGTGCCAAACAACCGGAAACAACGCTCTTGTGAGATGGTACCCGCCATGGACATGTACGCGTCCGAAGGACAGGGGTAGTCCCCAGAGCTGGTAGCATTCAGGTCCAAACCGCCGTACACGACCGAGTCGGCGTAAGCGTACGTCTCCAGCACCACCTCGCGCAGAGCTGAGTCGGTGACCATAGCTGCGTAGAACTCGCTGAACGTCACGTTCTCGTACTGTGCGAAGTTGAGGCTGTCCGAGATGTTTGGCAACAGGGCGATGAGCTCCGAAGCGTTGCTCTGCAGCGTCGGCTTGAAGTCGTCGATGTCGAGAGCCCAGTCGTTCAAGCTGTACAGGCCGCCGGCAGCATCCCAGATTGCGTGCAGGTTGCTGAAGGCGCACGGAGCCACGAAGTACTCGCTGTTGCCGCCACCGTCACCCTCGGGGAAGGCCTCACTGATGCCGGTCACTGTGTGAAGAGGCTGGTGAAGGTCGCCGAAGATGTGGATGAAGTTGCGCAGGAAGAGGTTGGCCGCCCACTTGGACTTGGTGGTCTTGAAGGACTTCATGGCGCCCTCGATGACGGACACGCCGTCGCCGCCCATGGTGTCGTCGAAGAGCGACAGGTCGGCGTCCTTGTCCTCCCACTTGTCGCCGTTGATGTTGAGCGGCAGGTCGATGTAGTGCCAGTCGCTCATGCTCGTGATGGAGGGCGAAGCAGGAGACTGGCAGTACGAACTCACGGATGTACACTTGACGAGGTCCATCCACACGGCGGAGGTCGTGATCTCGCCCGTATTGGGGAAGTCCTCGTTCCAGCGACTGAGAATGCTCTCGATCGTGGCGACATCGGCCGAGTTCATGAGCTGTGTGACCACCTCCGCGACGAGCATGTGGCCGTTGTCCCACCAACCGAGAGTCGATGGCAGGAAGCCCACCAGAGCCGTTATGGTGACACTTGCTGCGAGAAGTTTCATCGTGGTTTCTTCCTGGTCTGCTGGCGAAAGAGAGAATGACAGCCTTTGGCCGTGACGGCCAAGTAGCAGAAAGTGTCATGCTCGCGAATCAATGGAGATTCGACGTGACTACCACGACGCGGCTTCTGGTCCTCCTGCGTGAATGCACAAGGTCCAAGAGCTCGTCTGCAGCAAAAAGTGGCATGACCTGGCACAGCGGTCTCTGATGATCAGCCAATTCGTGAAACACCTTCCGTTAAGTTGCAGATGCAATTTAGTGGTAGCACCTCGTCAAATTAAATGAAAACTGAGAGCCCTCACAAAGCGATTAATACAGCTGGTGTCATTGTTTTCGTGTGGATGAAGTGCTTGCGAGCTTCAAGCGCATCAAAGCTGCGTGGACTCGCCGTCGGTCTCCGGTGACCTTCCTCCTTGGGCCCCACTACCCCCGCTCCAGTCCATTCCGTCATTTGCCGGCTCGCGCGCACCAAAGTCTCCCGCTTCAGTCCCCCGCGCGTCCACGACCAAATGCGCTTCCTCCGCCAGTTGCTGCCCGCGGCCATGGCGGCTCTCTTCGGGTCCGTGGCGTCGGTGTCCGAGCCGCGCTGCTTCCCCGAGAGCTTTATGTTCGGCTCGGCCACCGCCTCGTACCAAGTTGAGGGCGCCGCCAAGGAGGGCGGCCGCACCCCGAGCATCTGGGACGACTTCTGTCGCGAGAAGCCCGGCATGAAGTGCGCCAACGTGGCCGACGACTTCTACCACCGCTACAAGGACGACGTCAAGCTCATGGTGGACACGGGCCTCGAGTCCTTCCGCTTCTCCGTGTCCTGGTCGCGCGCCATGAACTGGGACCCCGTCACGCGCCGCATGAAGCCCAACGCCGAGGGCATCGCGTGGTACCACAACCTCATCGACGAGATCAACGCCAATGGCATCACCCCCATCCTCACCATCTACCACTGGGACCTGCCCAGCGAGCTGCAGACGCAGCTCGAGCCCAAGGGCTGGCTCAACCCGGAGATCGTCGACCACTTCCTCGAGTACTCGACGCTGCTGTTCAACGAGTTCGGCGGCAAGGTGCAGCTCTGGACCACCTTCAACGAACCGCTGTCCTTCGTGGGCGCCGGCTACGGCCTCGGCATGCACGCGCCCGGCTACTCCGGATCGGACACGCAGGCGTACACCGTCTCCCGTAACGTGCTGATCTCCCACGCCAAGGCCGTGCAGAAGTTCCGCGAGCTGAAGACCACCGACGTGATCAGCGACAAGGCCCGCATCGGCATCGTCCTGGTTTCGAACTGGTACTACCCGCTTCGCGCCGACAACGAGAATGATGTTGCCGCTGCCAAGCGCGCGTTCGACTTCGATTTCGGTTGGTTCTTGAACCCCATCGTGAACGGCGACTACCCCGCGGTCATGCGCGAGCGAGCCGGTGACCGTCTTCCCAAGTTCACGGCGGAGGAGTCTGCGCTGCTCAAGGGCTCATACGAAATCTTTATGATGAACCATTACGGTAGTCGCGCCATCACTTCCTGTGACTCGGACGAGTCGAACACGCCGTGCTCGACGCTGCTGCCTGGTTACCCCGCGGACAAGGGCGTGGACGACAGCCACCTCATGCCGGGCACGCGCCCCGGTAAGCCCGACCGCTTCGGCAACAATTACTGCGAGATGTTCACGGGCTACCCGCCCGGCTACCTCGACATGATCCGCTACCTGCACTCGCAGGACACGACGGTGGACATTCTGCTGACGGAGAACGGCTGGTGCGGCAACGACGAGGTCGACAACATGGACCAGCTCTGGTACTTCAAGGCCTTCGTGGAGCAGGTGTACAAGGCCGTCGTGGACGAGAAGATCCCCGTCATCGGCTACACGGCCTGGTCCTTCCTGGACAACTACGAGTGGGGCTCGTACGGCCCGCGCTTCGGCATGTACTACGTCAACTTCACGGAGCAGACTGGCTCGCCCGATTTCTACGAGCCTAAGCCCACGGACCTCGCTCGCATCCCGCGCCCGTCGGCCAAGTGGTTCCACAAGGTGGCCACGACCAAGTGCCTCGACGGCTGGAGCGAGATCGACGCCAAGGCTGCGACCGCCTCGCACGAGAGCAAGTCGTCCATCTTCGGCATTGTGTTCGGCTTCGTCGCGCTCGCCGCCGTCGTGATCGGCGTCGTGGTGGTGCTCGTGTTCCGCCACCGCCGCAGCGGCTACGAGCCGCTTGTGTCGCGCAACTAGGTCGCTCCGGTGCGCTGAAATCGGGCGTCTTCCGATGTGGTTTTTGCGTAGGATTTTTGAAAGGCAAACACGCTATCAGAATATAAAGAGCTAGACTGCCTTGCATCCACGTGCCAGTGTCTTGATTCGTACGTTGCTTACCAGTACTATACATGCACGCACCCGCTACTGTAGTCGTCCACGCATCTTGCACGGACTCGTGCCTGGCCATTCGTTCGCGTCGCCCTCATTGATGGCGTGTACTGAATGTAGCCACTTCAACCTTGGTGCGTGTGTGTCGATCTTCCCAATTCGATCACCGAAATGATTTGAAGTGCGACTAGCAAATCCCTGCAGCGTTGTCCTGCTTCAAGGTCGCCGCCCACGAGCTCGTACCCACCATCAAATATGCGTGGCTTGAAGCAGCGAGCTGCCCGCTCACTCAGCGTTTTGTGAGCAAAATCTTCCGGCATTCTCCAGTTCGCTCAATTGCCCCCAAGAAGCTGCTGCGGCGACCATCAATACTGTAGCATGAAGTGGGCCTCCGTCCTCGGGTTCGTGTGCAGCCTGGCGACTGCAGTGCTGTCACCTGTCGGGGCCACACCCAAGCCGCGCTGCTTCCCCAAGGACTTCATGTTCGGCACGGCCACCGCCGCCTACCAAGTCGAAGGCGCGTGGAACGAAGGGGGTCGAACTCCGAGCATTTGGGACGAGTTCTGCCGTGACCATCCCGGGATGCTGTGCGCCAACGTGGCCGACGACTTCTACCACCGCTACCCGGACGACCTGAACCTGATGCAGGACGTGGCCCTGCAGTCTCTGCGCTTCTCCATCTCGTGGTCGCGCGCGATGACGTGGGACCCGGAGAGCCGCCACATGCGGCCGAACCCGGAGGGCATCGCCTTCTACCACGCGCTGATCGACGCCATGAACGCCCGAGGAATCGTGCCGATCTTGACCATCTACCACTGGGACCTGCCTGCCGCGCTGATGCACGAGCTGACTCCGAACGGCTGGCTCAGCCCCGAGATCGTCGACCACTACGTCGAGTACGCGACGCTCATGTTCAACGAGTTCGGCCACAAGGTCGACTACTGGACGACGTTCAACGAGCCGATCGCGTTCGTCGGGTACAGCTACGGGACGGGCATGTTCGCCCCCGGGCACAAGGGCTCCCCCACGGAGGCGTACACCGTCTCCCGCAACGTCCTCGTAGCGCACGCGAAGGCCGTCCAGAAATTCCGCGAGCTCAAGACGAACTCGGTTGTCGGTGACAAGGCTCGTATCGGAATCGTGCTCGTGTCTGCGTACTTCTATCCTCTCGACCCTAACAACGAGGACGATGTGGCCGCTGCGAAGCGTGCGCTCGACTTCGACTTTGGTTGGTTCCTGGAGCCAATCGTGACCGGTGACTACCCCGCCGTTATGCGTGAGCGTGCTGGAGATCGTCTTCCCAAGTTCACGGCGGAGGAATCGGCCCTGCTCAAGGGCTCGTACGAAATCTTTATGTTGAACCACTACTACAGCAAAGCCATCACTTCCTGTTACTCGGAGGCGTCCAAGACGCCTTGCTCGTCGCTCACCGCTGGGTGGGAAGCCGACAAGGGTGTTGACGAAGATCACGTCATGCCAGGAACGATGCAGCCCCGTCCGGACAAGTTCGGCAACAATTACTGCGGCCGCTACACGGGCTACCCACCCGGCTATCTCGACATGATCCGCTACCTGCACTCGCACGACCCGAGCGTCGACATTTTGCTGACGGAGAACGGATGGTGCGGCAACCAGGAGGTGGAGAACTGGGACCAACTCAAGTACTACAAGGCGTTCGTCGGACAAGTGCACAAGGCCGTAGTCGAGGAGAAGATCCCCGTGGTGGGGTACACTGCGTGGTCGTTCCTGGACAACTACGAGTGGGGATCGTACGGCCCTCGCTTCGGACTGTACTACGTCAACTTCACCGCCGAAACGGGCTCACCGGACTTCCAGAAGCCCAAACCGACGGACTTGGAGCGCATTCCTCGTCCGGCTGCGAAATGGTTCCACAAGGTGGCCACGACCAAGTGCCTGGACGGCTGGGACGAGCTGGAGGCTTCCGCGGACAGCTCTACCGTGCGATCGGTGGAGGGCTTTGGGTTCTGGGTCGCCTTTGTCGCTATTGCGGTGGTTGGTCTAACTGCAGTCGTGATCACCCTCAAGCGTCGCCAGGGATACTATCGCGTTCCCCGCGCTGCGTCAAACTAACTAGCAGCCCACGACGAAGAACTGCAGGAACAGCACGCAAAAGCCGAGCAAACACGGCACTACAATCGAGTTTTCATTAGCCCCTGGTACCCCCCCCATACTTCGTTCAACTTCCCGCTTCGCCACCACTCATCCACTTCATCAGCTTGAATTTATTTCTCAGGGACCGTAGTGGTGTGCCTTCCCGACGGGAGGGGCTTCAACTTCACTTGTGTCCTGCTCACTTCAACCATCTGCAGCACTAGCACGCGTGTGCATCCACCGATCATTGATGGCACCTCGTTAGTAGAATCCCCACCAAACTCACTTTTGAATTCGCTGAGCGTTGTTCACCCATGCGGATCCTGGAGCACGGTCTCCGTTTGGCCGGTGGCCTCGCCGCCTTGCTGCTGTCTACCTCCCCGTCCTCCGTGACCGCGGAGCCTCGCTGCTTCCCGGATGGATTCATGTTCGGCTCGGCCACGGCGGCCTACCAAGTCGAAGGCGCGTGGAACGAGTCCGGCCGCACGCCCAGCATTTACGACGCCTACTGCCGCGAAACCCCGGGCATCGAGTGCGCGAACGTCGCGGACGACTTCTACCACCGCTACCACGACGACATCAAGCTCATGGTCGAGACGGGTCTGCAGTCCTTCCGGTTCTCCACGTCGTGGTCGCGCGCCATGACCTGGGACCCGGAAACGCGTCGAATGCGCCCCAACCCGCCCGGACTCGCGTTCTACCACTCGGTCATCGATGAACTGAACGCCAACGGCATCACCCCCATCCTGACGCTGCACCACTACGACCTGCCCCTGGCCCTGCAGACCGAGCTCGACCCTCAGGCGTGGCTCAACCCCGACATCTCCAGCCACTTCGATGACTACGCGGCGCTCATGTTTAACGAGTTCGGAAGCAAGGTCAACTTCTGGACTACGTTCAATGAACCGCTCGGCTTGGTGGGCTATGCGTACGGCATGGGGTTCCCCAACATGCCTCCGGCCCGCAGAGGATCCCCCACGGAGGCGTACGAGGTGTCAAAAGGAGTTCTCATGTGCCACGCGAAGGCTGTCAAGACGTTCCGGGAGCTGAGAGAGGCTGGTGTGGTGGCCTCGGGCGCTCGCATTAGCATGGTGCTGGTCTCCAGCTACTTCTACCCGCTCGACGAGTCCAACCCCAAGGATGTCGCCGCCGCTCAAAGAGCAATGGACTTTGACATGGGCTGGTTCCTGCAGCCGCTCCTCACGGGCGACTACCCCGCCATCATGCGTGAGATTGCCGGTGACCGTCTTCCTCGCTTCACGGCCGAGGAATCCGCTCTCCTGAAGGGATCGTACGACATGTTCCAACTCAACCACTACTCGAGCCAAGCCGTGACTTCCTGTGATTCCCCGACGTCGACGGTGGACTGCGCGTCGCTAGCTCCGGGCTGGCAGGCGGACAAGGGCGTGGACGACTCGCACATTATCCCCGGGACGCTGCACCCGAAGCCGGACCGCTTCGGCAACAACTACTGCGCGAACCTGTTCACCCCGTACCCGCCGGGATACCTGGCCATGATCAAGTACATGCACGCGCATGACCCGACCGTCGACATCTTGCTGACGGAGAACGGCTGGTGTGGCAACGATGAGATCGAGAACATGGACCAAGTCCACTTCTTCGAGGCGTTCGTGGAGCAGGTGCACAAGGCTGTGGTCGAGGAGAAACTCCCCGTCATTGGGTACACGGCCTGGTCCTTCCTGGACAACTTCGAGTGGGGCTCCTACAAGCCTCGCTTCGGCCTCTACTACGTCAACTGGACGAGCGAGACGGGCTCGCCCGATTTCAACAACCCCAAGCCGACCGACCTCGCTCGCATCCCGCGTCCGTCGGCCAGGTGGTTCCAAAAGCTCTCCACCTCCAGGTGCCTCGACAAGGTCAGCACCAGTAGCACCATACTGGCTTTTGAGGAACCGACGAAGGATATCACCGAGTTGTTCGGAGCTCCTCTGGTCATGCTTGGCGTTGTGGCGCTCGTTCTTCTGGTGGGGATCAAGACGCAACAGCGCAGTCAGAACGACGAACGCACCCCGCTCGTGTCGGCGAATTGATCAGTCTAACAACCAAAGTCGCTACATATCGGCATGAACATGTATGCTTGCAATACAACAACCGCTTGTCCGTTGACAGACTCCATGCAATGCAATGCATGGATTAACTGGTTAGGAAAACTCGACAAAGTTAACATCGTGGGAGACCGTTCATAGTTGCAGAAGTACTGAAGCCTACAGCAAGCGAGTTGCTTCGTTGGCCGAGCCTTCATCGTGGCCACGGAAGTGGCGCCAGAGGCGGCGACCGAAGAGGAAGACCAGCACAACCACCGCCACGAAGGCCGCAGCAGCGAACGCCACGATGCCGAACAGCCAACGCCACACATGGCGACTGTGACCGGTACTCTCGGGTGTCGTCGCAGTGGTCGCAGCAGCCTCCTTCTCCACTCCCAGACACTTGGTCGACGCCACCTTCTGGAACCACTTGGCCGACGGACGCGGGATCCGAGCGAGGTCGGTCGGCTTGGGCTCGTAGAAGTCGGGTGAGCCCGACTCGGACGTGTAATTGACGTAGTAGAGGCCGAAGCGCGACTCGTAAGACCCCCACTCGTAGTTGTCGAGGAAGGACCAGGCCGTGTAGCCGATGACGGGGATGTGTTCCTCCGTGATGGCCTTGTGCACTTGGTCCAGGTAGGCTTGGAAGTACCAAAGCTGGTCCTGGTTGTCGATCTCGTCGTCTCCGCACCATCCGTTCTCGGTGAGCAGGATGTCGGCGGAGGTGTCGTGCTTGTGGAGCCACTTGATGGTCTCGAGGTAGCCAGGCGGGTAGGCAGTGAAGGACGCACAGTGCGAGTCTTTCAGAGCCTTTTGACTGCGCTCTCTGGTACCTGGGACGGTCTGGGAGATGTCAACCCCGCGGTCGCGCTGCCAGCCCACCGCAAGCTTATCGCACTCCGTCTTGGAAGCACTCGAGCCACAGAAAGTAGCGGCGCGAGTCGAGTAATGGTTGAGCATGAAGAGATCGTACGATCCCGTCAAGAGCTCGGACTCTTCCGGTGTGAAGCGGGGCAGTCGATCGCCCACAACCTCGCGCATAACCGGCGGGTAGTCGCCCGAGACGATCGGCGAGAGGAACCAGCCCACGTCGAACTCCATCTTGCGCGAGGCGGCCTCAACGTCGGCAGCGTTCGACTCATCGAGAGGATACGCGTAGTCCGCGTTGAGCACGATGGCGATGCGAGCCTTGTCGTTGATGACTTCAGTGTCTTTGAGCTCTCGGAACTGCTGGACCGCCTGGGCATGGGACAGCAGCACGTTGTGTGTGGCCGTGTACACTTGAGTCGGCGAGCCGGTGAAGCCGGGCGCCTCCCTGCCGGTGGCGTATCCGGCTGTCGTGAAGGACAGCGGCTCGTTGAACGTCGTCCAGAGGTTCACCTTGCTCCCGTACTCGTGGAACATGAGGGTGGCGAACTCGGCGAAGTGTTGGACGATGTCCGAGTTGAGCCAGCCTTGGGGAGACAGCTCTGTGTGCAGCTCCAGCGGCAGGTCCCAGTGATACAGCGTCAGAATGGGCTGGATGCCGTTGGCGTTCAGCTCGTCGATGAGCGAGTGGTAGAACGCGATGCCCTCCGGGTTGGGCCGCATGCCGTACAGCGCCGAGTCCCAGTTCATGACGCGCGACCACGAGATGGAGAAGCGGAAGGACTGCAGCCCCGTCTTGACCATGAGCTGGATGTCGTCCTTGTAGCGGTGGTAGAAGTCGTCGGCCACGTTGGCGCATTTCACGCCCGGACGCTCGCGGCAGAACTGGTCCCAGATGCTCGGCGTGCGGCCTCCTTCCTTCACCGCTCCTTCGACTTGGTAGGCGGCGGTGGCCGACCCGAAGAGGAAGTCGTCGGAGAAGCATCGCGGGTCCGCAGCGGAGACGGAATCCGTCGTCGCCAGCAGCGCCAGCGCCGCCGCCGCGCTTCCGATCAGATGGAGAAGCCTCTGCATCTTACAGCTACAGACTCACGAAGCTTGTCACGCTTGACGGAATTGCAGCAATGCATGGCGCCTGTGCAAGATTCCCGGCCGCAACAATGATGAGTGGCGCACGTGCCGTTGAAGTTGCGCAGGCTGCACCTTCAAGTTGGCTCAGCGCGACAATACATGTACTGTACCGGCAATACAAACGACAGAGGCTTCCAGGTGGAAAACCTTAGCCACCGGAGCGAAGTGGTGTTGCACGAAGCACTTTGCTTTGGCTTGGGGTACAGTACGATTGATTTAGACGTTACTGTAGAAGTGAAATACGGTACAACTTCAACTTGGCCTATACAAATCTCAGTACTATCCACGCCTGAGTCAGGGGTAGGTGTGATTCTATGATCAGACTTTGACCGCCATTGCCGGATTCGCTCGCCATCATGCGTCTCGCTGCCCGAGTCCTCCAGTTGCTGGGCCTGGCCGCTTCGGCCGCTGTGGCTGTGGCCGCAGCCGATTCGCGCTGCTTCCCCGAGGATTTCCTCTTCGGGTCGGCCACGGCCTCGTACCAAGTGGAAGGCGCCGTGAAGGAAGGAGGCCGCACGCCCAGCATCTGGGATGAGTACTGCCGCACGCAGCCAGGGCTCAAGTGCGCCAACGTGGCCGACGACTTCTACCACCGCTACAAGGACGACGTGAAGCTCATGGTGGACACGGGGCTGCAGAGCTTCCGCTTCTCCGTCTCCTGGTCGCGCGTCATGAACTGGGACGCCCACACGGCTCGTATGCGCCCCAACCCGGAGGGCATCGCGTTCTACCACGCGCTCATCGACGAGCTCAAGTCGAACGGCATCGTGCCGATCCTGACCATTTACCACTGGGACCTGCCCATTGAACTGCACACTCAGTTAAGGGAAGAAGGCTGGCTGGACACGGAGATCATCGACCACTACGTCGAGTACGCCACGCTCCTGTTCAACGAGTACGGCAAGAAGGTCAACTACTGGACAACCTTCAACGAGCCGCTGTCCTTCTCTGCCGGTGGCTACGCGCTGGGCATGGGGGCTCCAGGCTACACTGGATCGAAGACGCAGGCGTACACGGCGACGCACAATGTGCTGCTGTCACACGCGCAAGCGGTGAAGAAGTTCCGGGAGCTCAAGAGCAACAACGTGGTCGGCGACAAGACTCGGATCGGTATTGTGCTGAACGCGGACTTCGCGTATCCCTTGGACCCGACGGACCCTGCCGATGTCGCAGCAGCCGAGAGGAAAATGGAGTTCGACGTGGGCTGGTTCCTCTCGCCTATTGTGTCTGGGGACTACCCCCCTGTCATGCGCGAGATCGTTGGCGACAGACTGCCTCAGTTCTACGGAGACCAGTCGGAGCTACTCAAGGGATCGTACGATCTCCTCATGCTCAACCATTACGGATCTCGCCAGGTTACAAGCTGCAACTCCAAGTCTTCTAACAAGGACTGTGATACTCTATCAGTTGGCTTTGAGCAAGACCGAGGAATCGACGATTCACACATTGTACCGGGTACCAGAGAGCGCAGTCAAAAGGCTCTGAAAGACTCGCACTGTGCGTCCTTCACTGCCTACCCGCCTGGCTACCTCGAGACCATCAAGTGGCTCCACAAGCACGACACCTCCGCCGACATCCTGCTCACCGAGAACGGATGGTGCGGAGACGACGAGATCGACAGCCAGGACCAGCTTTGGTACTTCCAAGCCTACCTGGACCAAGTGCACAAGGCCATCACGGAGGAACACATCCCCGTCATCGGCTACACGGCCTGGTCCTTCCTCGACAACTACGAGTGGGGGTCTTACGAGTCGCGCTTCGGCCTCTACTACGTCAATTACACGTCCGAGTCGGGCTCACCCGACTTCTACGAGCCCAAGCCGACCGACCTCGCTCGGATCCCGCGTCCGTCGGCCAAGTGGTTCCAGAAGGTGGCGTCGACCAAGTGTCTGGGAGTGGAGAAGGAGGCTGCTGCGACCACTGCGACGACACCCGAGAGTACCGGTCACAGTCGCCATGTGTGGCGTTGGCTGTTCGGCATCGTGGCGTTCGCTGCTGCGGCCTTCGTGGCGGTGGTTGTGCTGGTCTTCCTCTTCGGTCGCCGCCTCTGGCGCCACTTCCGTGGCCACGATGAAGGCTCGGCCAACGAAGCAACTCGCTTGCTGTAGGCTTCAGTACTTCTGCAACTATGAACGGTCTCCCACGATGTTAACTTTGTCGAGTTTTCCTAACCAGTTAATCCATGCATTGCATTGCATGGAGTCTGTCAACGGACAAGCGGTTGTTGTATTGCAAGCATACATGTTCATGCCGATATGTAGCGACTTTGGTTGTTAGACTGATCAATTCGCCGACACGAGCGGGGTGCGTTCGTCGTTCTGACTGCGCTGTTGCGTCTTGATCCCCACCAGAAGAACGAGCGCCACAACGCCAAGCATGACCAGAGGAGCTCCGAACAACTCGGTGATATCCTTCGTCGGTTCCTCAAAAGCCAGTATGGTGCTACTGGTGCTGACCTTGTCGAGGCACCTGGAGGTGGAGAGCTTTTGGAACCACCTGGCCGACGGACGCGGGATGCGAGCGAGGTCGGTCGGCTTGGGGTTGTTGAAATCGGGCGAGCCCGTCTCGCTCGTCCAGTTGACGTAGTAGAGGCCGAAGCGAGGCTTGTAGGAGCCCCACTCGAAGTTGTCCAGGAAGGACCAGGCCGTGTACCCAATGACGGGGAGTTTCTCCTCGACCACAGCCTTGTGCACCTGCTCCACGAACGCCTCGAAGAAGTGGACTTGGTCCATGTTCTCGATCTCATCGTTGCCACACCAGCCGTTCTCCGTCAGCAAGATGTCGACGGTCGGGTCATGCGCGTGCATGTACTTGATCATGGCCAGGTATCCCGGCGGGTACGGGGTGAACAGGTTCGCGCAGTAGTTGTTGCCGAAGCGGTCCGGCTTCGGGTGCAGCGTCCCGGGGATAATGTGCGAGTCGTCCACGCCCTTGTCCGCCTGCCAGCCCGGAGCTAGCGACGCGCAGTCCACCGTCGACGTCGGGGAATCACAGGAAGTCACGGCTTGGCTCGAGTAGTGGTTGAGTTGGAACATGTCGTACGATCCCTTCAGGAGAGCGGATTCCTCGGCCGTGAAGCGAGGAAGACGGTCACCGGCAATCTCACGCATGATGGCGGGGTAGTCGCCCGTGAGGAGCGGCTGCAGGAACCAGCCCATGTCAAAGTCCATTGCTCTTTGAGCGGCGGCGACATCCTTGGGGTTGGACTCGTCGAGCGGGTAGAAGTAGCTGGAGACCAGCACCATGCTAATGCGAGCGCCCGAGGCCACCACACCAGCCTCTCTCAGCTCCCGGAACGTCTTGACAGCCTTCGCGTGGCACATGAGAACTCCTTTTGACACCTCGTACGCCTCCGTGGGGGATCCTCTGCGGGCCGGAGGCATGTTGGGGAACCCCATGCCGTACGCATAGCCCACCAAGCCGAGCGGTTCATTGAACGTAGTCCAGAAGTTGACCTTGCTTCCGAACTCGTTAAACATGAGCGCCGCGTAGTCATCGAAGTGGCTGGAGATGTCGGGGTTGAGCCACGCCTGAGGGTCGAGCTCGGTCTGCAGGGCCAGGGGCAGGTCGTAGTGGTGCAGCGTCAGGATGGGGGTGATGCCGTTGGCGTTCAGTTCATCGATGACCGAGTGGTAGAACGCGAGTCCGGGCGGGTTGGGGCGCATTCGACGCGTTTCCGGGTCCCAGGTCATGGCGCGCGACCACGACGTGGAGAACCGGAAGGACTGCAGACCCGTCTCGACCATGAGCTTGATGTCGTCGTGGTAGCGGTGGCCACGACGAAGACTCGGCCACCGAAGCTACGCGACTTGGTGTGGCTTCAGTTTGTAGTAAGAGTCAGCTGCGATGAGCGTTTGACTCTAAAGCTTCAACCATCCTTGTATCTTCTATAGTCGCCTTTGCGATGACCTTCGCCATCCCCTCCGCGCTTTCCTCCGGACTGGTTTGCCCCTTGTGCTCGGTCATGCGGGTGTCGGGGCTCAGCACCAGCGCAATAATCTCTTCCTTCTTCAGGTCATGCGCGAGGTCACCATGTTGAGCGCCACCTTCGAAGCTCGATATCCGAACAGACCGCCGATATCAGTGCATGCGATGCTTCCCATGCGAGACGAAACGTGAACAACCTTGGCCGAGCCGCTCTTCGCTGCTACGAGCTTGAGATTGGGCAGGAACGCGCGTGTCATAAGGAATGGGCCGATGGTATTGACTTCGAACTGCTTCATCATCCTTAGTGGTCGTGTCGAGTCCGTCTCGCCCCCCGATGCCGGCGTTGTCGATCAGCAAGCCAATGGGCTCGTCCTTGAGCTGCTCAGCAGTAGCAATGATGGAGTCCTCATCACTTGTATCGACCTGAATAATCTTCTCCAGCTTGAGCTCCTTGAGCTGTTTACACGGCAAAACATGCTGAGATCAGACCAGGAATCCATTCAAGGCCCGAGTGAGTCAGTCAACGCACCTCGCTGGCAGTTTGTGGGTCCCGAGCAGCGGCGAAAACCTTCCAGCCGCTGTCCACATAGTGCTTGGTGAAGGCCAGGCCGATGCCACGGTTGCTTCCAGTGATCAACACGGTCTTGACAGTCATCTCGAGGGCGAGTCTTGGAGAATGAGGCAAGCAGACTGAAGCCTTCGACCACCTCTGATCACTCAACATGGTAATCCACCCGATAACGCTAGGCCAAAGGAATCAATCACACGCAATATCACATCGATAGTCAATTCAATCCTTATTCATTCATTCCAATCTCTTTGTTAGGTGGCACGAGTCAGCCTGTCCACTTACTGTTCATCGTCTCCATCCCTCGGATCGAGTCTCCCTTCCAGCGTCGTAATTTCCAGCGGCATCCCTCACACTTGCCGCGCCTAAATGAAAAACATGCAGTTCTTGAGGTCGTTGTGCAGCTCCGTGAAGTCGAAGTTGGACGAGCTCGAGTTGAACGAGCCCACCGTGGATGCACCGTCCGAGCCCTCGTTCAGGAAAAAGCGCGCGCGACCCGCAGCCAAATGCGCGTAGTACGCCGGCGTCGCGAACGACACCGAGCGCGTGCACCTTGCAAACGTGTACCCGAGATGGTACGTGAGGCGCTGCACGTCTTCCGCCGACAGCTTGTTCTCGTCGTGCAGCACCGTGTAGTGGCACGGGACGCTCGTGCCCTGGATACCGCTGTGGCCGTACAAGAAGAAGTCGAAGCGGTGCGAGTCGACGATCCCCGTGTCGATCACAGTGCCGGGCACCACGTTGCCCTTGCGATCAGCGTCGCGCGGGTTGATCGGGAACGCGCGCATGTGGTGCCGCTTGTTCACAATGATGAAGGTCACCGGCGGGTTGTAGCCGTCCGAGATCATCTTGAAGGCCTTGCGCAGCGCACGCATCTCCGTCTGCAAGATGTCGTAGAACTGCCCCTCGCTGACACCGTCACGGTAGTAGATCACGTGCTCCGGCTTGCGGTTCGTGCTCTGGTAGTACGCCAAGAACAAGTCGCGCAGCATGTGCGGCAGGAGCTGGATGTCACTCGAAGCCTTCTGCGCAGCCACACGCGCGACGTACTTGGCCGAGTAACGATCGAGCGACGCAACAACCGAGGCAATCGACGGCCGCGACCCCATGCCCGAGCGAGGGTGCTCCACATCAGCACCGATGATGATCGTTGGCGCGTCGCTCACCAGCGGCAACGACTCGCGCAGAATCGAGTTCTTTCCACTCAACTTCATGTTGATCTTCAGGCAGACGTTGGCGCAGTACTGCGGCTTCGCGTTGCGAACGTTCTGGGAAACGATGCACTGACTGGGGATTCCCAGCACCGTATCAGACATGCGCTTAATGTCACCGTAGGATCCAACGCTCTTATCTTGCTTGATCACCATGATGAGCTGCGGAGGGCCTCTGTTGCGCGACTCCAACTCCTTGAAGCACGTTTGCATGAGCTCCTCGACCTGAGCACCACGGAAACTATCCATGTGAATTATGACTGGGTTGCTGTCCTCAATCGTCAGTCCGCTCTTGCCAGCCATATCCACCATGTTGCGAATGAAACCTTGGACGTCGCGCTCTCCGACATTGGCAGTGATCACGACACCCCAGTTGCGCATAGTAGCACCCTCAACGAAGCGCTTATCACGCAAGTTCCATTGGCCGCCCGACGGCCGCTCCGATACATTAGCGTACTGCACGTCAGGGGGATCCATCACACGGGCGTCCGTCGATTCCAGACGCTGCTCCACCTTGATGCCGAACGCATCCAGGTATGGGTCGTTCTCGAACCCAGCCTGGCGAACTTGGTCAATGATATTTTCCTGGCGAGTGCGCGGGTTCTGACTGGTTTGTCGGATGATCTCTGCAGTGTCCAGCTCGTTGATATTCGGGCAGCGCTGTCCCGGCGCCACTTCGCAGAGCTCAATAGGCAGCCAGTTCTCCTTGCCCGGGCGCTTACTGCCCACGTTCACCAAAGGCAACTGAGGGTACCTCAGGTTCATGTTGTACCGCTTGCTGAAGTAGTCAGCCACAGACATCGACTCGCCCTTGATGCTCACAATCGTCTGGTTGGCAGGCTGCGCACTGATGCCGAAGATGGCACGCTTGCGATCCTTGCGGTGAGTAGGGACGACTTCGATCTTGCGCAGCGCACGCGCTAGGTTCTTTCCATCTCGGTCCGACAGTCCACGAATGTCGTTCGGCGAGCGCGCGTTCAGTGCAGCTAGCACAAGCTCCATCAGCTCCTTCGGGGCGTAGAACACCGTTGCTGCTTGGTCCACGTTCATGAGCACCTTACGATCCGCAATGCGGATAGCCTGGTGGTAGCCCCAGCACAGCTCCTTGCCGCCCTTGAGCGGAAACGTCTTCTTCATGGAGAAGAAGTTGCGACCCACAGCGATCAATCGCTGAGCTCCCAGGTGACGCGCGGCCACATCCAGGGCCTGGAGAACCGGCATCACGTTCACATCCGGATTCGAGTAGTAGTCCGTCAGTGAGCTGGTGGCGATCGTCTCAGCCAGCTTGATCTTCACGACGAACGTGCGGGGGCCTCGGAATGGACGGCGAGGCGCTTCACCAGCGGCTGGGGGTGCAGGCGCGGGTGTCGGACTGGGACCGTCCGGGTTAATGTCGACGAAGGTCTTGGAGTGTGCATCCCACGGCAAAATGGCAGGCGCGTACATCGCAGACATACCATCGTGGACGACGCGAATGCCCCCGAACTCGGATTCGTACTGTCGGAGAGCAGCGTTGATCACGTTGCGCACGAGCGAGCGCGGCAGGGGGCGTTCCGGACGCTGCTCGCGCTTCGGAGCGGCCGACACGTCGCTCATCTCCACGTCCTTGTCCTCCTTCTCGTCCTTACCCTCCTGCTTCGGCTCGTCGCCCATGGTTTCGTCCTTCTGATCAGCACCGGACGGGCCGTACTTGGAGTCTGCAGCGAGGTCCGGCGAGCGCTCGACATCCACGTGGTACTTGAAGATCTCTCCAGGCAGTGAGTCGAGCGATACTCCGAAGTAGTTGACCTGGAGCTGCATGGACTTGCCCCCCTTCGCCACATTCGGGCGGCGGCAGATGAGGAACTCCTGCTGGAGATCCGGGTCGTCCGCCCGCACGTCGCGCACGCCGGCGCGACCCGTCCACTCTTCCTGGAGACGCGGGTCAGCCACGGGCGCGCCGATGTTCTCATAGCCGGAGCCACTGACAGTGCCAACCCCGGGGCCAGCTTCTCCACGGCCTCCACCGCGTCCGCCGCCTCCTCCGAAGCGACCTCCACCGCGTCCTCCACCACCATATCCGCGGTCGCCTCCACGATCTCCACCGCGATCTCCACCGCGACGGTCTCCTCCTCGGTCCCCTCCACGGTCTCCTCCACGATCGTCACGGCGTCCGTATCCGCGATCTCCACCTCGATCGCCGCCGCCTCCATAGCCGCGGTCCTCTCGGCCGCCGCCGCCTCCCCCGCCGTAGCCACGCTCTTCACGACCGCCACCACCTCCATACCCTCGGTCTCCACCGCTACTTGCGCCATACCCGCGGTCACCACCGCCAGTGCTTGCGCCGTATCCTCGGTCGCCACCGCCGCCGCCGTATCCTCGGTCGTCCCGTCCGCCACTGCTTGCGCCGTATCCTCGGTCGTCCCGTCCGCCATATCCACCGCGCGAGCGGTCATCGTAACCGCCGCCGCTTCCACCGCCATATCCACGCGAGCGGTCATCATACCCGCCGCCTCCACTGCTGTAGCTGCCGCCTCCTCCCCCGTAGCCGGCACTGCGGCTCTGGTCGTAGCTTGATCCTCCATACCCGCCGCGACTGTCGTAGCTGGAGGAGCCTCCGCCTCCGTAGCCCGTAGAGCCGCCATACCCGCCTCGGTCGTCGTATCCAGAGCCCCCATAGCCTCCTCTGCTGCGATCGTCGTAGCCAGCGCTGCCGTAGCTCCCGCTGCCCGAGCCGTAGTCGCCGCGACTTCCTTCATAGCCACGCGAGCCGCCGCCGCCGTAGCCACCGCCGCCTCCTCCTCCTCCGCGACTGTAGTCGTCGTAGCCCGACGAGCGCGAGCTGTAGTCGCCCCCGCCGCGCTGGTCGTACCCTCCTCGTTGATCGTACCCCTGGCCGCGCTGGTCGTACCCTTGCTGCTGGCCGCGCTGGTCGCCATACCCTCCGCCGCCGCTGCCGCTGCTGCCCGGACGGTCGTCGTAGCGGCGCTGGTCGTAGCCGCGCTGGTCGCCGTAGCCACCGCCTCCGCCGCTGTAGCTCATGGCCGCTGGTTGCACTTGGGGATTGTATGCGCAAGTGCCACAAACACCGAGCGAGTTGAGGACTGACAGTTCGATCTGGCAGCGCGCGTATCCATGAAAGGAAATTGGACCAGACTCCGCGTTTCGGCCAATCGCCGACGCGCGTTGCCCGCCCTTCAACATACGGTACTCCGATCTCGACAACGGAAGGTTCCGCTGGAACGTTCACGCAAGCGGGCAACGGGTGCCACCGGTCCACCAAGGCTTGCAGGGAGGGAAAATTTTCAATGACAATGCCCGCCGTTGATGCAATCGGCGAGCTATCAGTGCGGTGCGTTGCAGTGACGCTCAGTGTGCCAGATTGATGCATTAAGTAATTATATACCAGCAAACCCAGCTACAGCTACAAAATTTAAAAATTATTTCAGAGCTAAACAATTCCATTAATTAATTAGAAAAACAACAAATTCCGATTAGTTTTCAGAGCTAAAATTTTTCCCCTTTCCCCTACAGTGTTGAAAATTCAACACTGTAGGGGAAAAGGGGAAAAATTCCAAAATCGAACTTTGTTTTATTTTGGACCTCTAGACTAAACACGGTCAAAACCTGTTTATACTTTTTTTTTGTTATTCACGACTCCATAGAAACGTCAAGTCAAGTGCAACATGGCTACAATCATAAACATATTTTTAATGATTTTTTTCTCGCGATAAAATTTTTTGGGGGAGGTCGGGGGGGGGGGGGGGGGGGGGGGTAACGATTAACAGTGTTGTTGGTATCTGGACTTTTGTTGCCATGACTGCTCCCTATGTTCACAAATACTTTGTTAAAATATTGGCAAAAAGACAAGGGTACGGTGCAAACTTATGTAGTCTCTCTCTGTATGTGTGTGTGTGGAGGGGGGGCATGCATAGCAGCAACGCATGTGGTCAAATAAAACTATCTGTATATGTGGTGTGCGTTTGGCAACGCATGGATAAAATATTTTGGTTAAATAAACTTATCTTACAAAAACTGTATGGACAGCAAAAAGACTATTGTTGGCCGTGTTCGTCTTGCCAGTTATTTTGCTAGAAACTTATGAAAGTACACTTAATAGGTCATCTGAATAATTATCTAGTCGGTCTCTACCGATGGTGAGCCATCAATCGCATCATCAAGTTTCATTTGAATCATTTCCCATTCTCACGCCCGACCCGAAGACGCAACACCAGGACGAAGTTACAGCGAAAAGGTAAGCCAATGACAGTATAGCCGCCAGGGCGCAGACTCAGCATGGCCTGTTGAAATGCACTCTGGAACGCGACGTAGCTTTAAACTCCAGTTGCCTGCTCCACGAGAGGGTCGAACGCGCCAGCAGCGACAATAACATCGACCGAATCATCCGTGAAAGGATCCGACACCCGCAGTTGACTCTCGGTGAACCGCGGAAGTGTAGCTGGCCACGTTTGCAACTGGTCCAGGAGGCCCCGGGCGAGGTCGAGACAGACACGAGACGAGTCCAACAACTCCACGCGAGCGGTGTGGTATGTCTTCAACACCTCGGCGGCTCCACGTCCACTGCCCGCGCAGATGTCGAGAACGCGCAGGTTACCACAAGTAGGCAGCGCTGCGCCGAGCTGCTCCAGCATCTCCCTGTCTGGTGCTGAGTCTATCGCCCGGCGGTGAGACCAGTGCAGATCCCTCTTCCAGCTCATTTTCTCTGTATCATGGGCCTGACAGGAAAGCTGCCGATGCTGGAGTCGAGCCTTGCTGGAACGGAGCTGCCGTGGCCGAGGCTTGCTGGGAGGGAACTGTTGATGCTGGGTCCGAGGCTTGGGCTTGCTGGATCGGCGCTGCGGAAACCGAGAGTTGCTGCAAACTTGCTGTAGTGGTGGGATGGTAAGCTTCATCTACCATGCTAACGAATGAAATGTCTTCACCTTCGGACCCGTCTAGCGCGCGCGACGTCTTCCGCTTCTTGGCGAGCTTGGGTTTTGCTCCGAAGGCTTCGTCGTACGCCGCCACCTCTGCACGGTGCTAGAGCTCCATGTGCTTGGCGAGTAGACGGGTCCTGTCGTGCCTGTTCTTGTTCAGGTCGATGCCCAAGTGGCAGCTTATGCACCGAATGTGGTGGGCGTCGCCATCGCCGAGAACATGATTTTCTACCGTTGCTTGAGCTGCCACCAGGAACGCGAACTGTAACGGGGTTACACGAGAGTTACCCGACGGGTTACGAAGTGGGTACACACTGTCTAACCTAAATCAATAGAAGAATCAGTACATGGCT